GCACAGCATGCGCAGGCCGGCATGACGGGCAGCCCGCGGCCCAAGATCGAGCCCCAAGTCCCCCTGCAGCTGCAGAAGCAGCAGCCGCAGCCTTCTCCCATGTCGCAACCCCACCACCAGCAAGGCCCGCCGCAACTTCAGAGCCCCTCCAACCCGTCTCCCGCCGTCAACCCCAACGCTGCTCCCGGCCCCATCCCGGCGACGACGCCTCTGGTCGTGAGGCAGGACGGCAACGGCGTCCAGTGGATCGCCTTTGAGTACTCGCGCGACCGCGTCAAGATGGAGTACACGATCCGCTGCGACGTCGAGTCGGTCAACATTGACGAGCTGTCGCCCGAGTTCAAGCAGGAGAACTGCGTCTACCCCCGCGCCTGCTGCCCCAAGGACCAGTACCGCGGAAATCGCCTCATCTACGAGACGGACTGCAACCGCGTCGGCTGGGCGCTGGCCCAGCTCAACATCCCGCTGCGCGGCAAGCGTGGCCTGATCCAGCGCGCCGTCGACAGCTGGCGCAACAGCAACCAGGACCCCCGCCTCCGAAGCCGAAGGGTCCGCCGCATGGCCAAGATGAACAGCCGCAAGCAGCAGCAGCAGGTCCAGGGCGCTCCGCATCCCGGCGCCCACATGTCGGGCCCCGGCGGACCAGGAGGCCTTTCTGCCGCTCCCGCACCCATGCCCACGGCTCACGCGCCCAACATGGGCAAGCCCACGATAGGCAGCATGGGTCAGCCTATGCACCACCACCATGCCGGGGGCCACCCTGACGGCGGCGCACCCGGTGGAGAAGAAGTCGGTATGTTTCACCAGATGTGATTTTTGACTGTCGCATCTGCTGTATTTGCATCACTTTCTGCCTTTGCAAAAAAAGAACCTCCTAGACAGTTTTTACGCCGTCGAAACGTTGTGTTGATTTAATGATACCAACTCCTTTTTTTACACCCTCTGCAAAAAAAGCACCTTTACACACATCTTGTCTTTTTTGAGAGGGGGGGGAGGGGCCCCTCGTTGTTCTTAATCAGGCCCCCCTTTTATTGTTTCTTTGTTTTGCCCCCCTTTCACCTCTGTTTTCCTCTTATTGTTTCCTCTCCCATCTTCGGCTCTCTACGACTTTAGGGATTTGGGCTTCTGTAACAACTCTTTGTGTGTTCTTGACGTCTGTTTGTTTGTTAAATAGCAATGGGCCGGCTTCGCTTGTCGTCTTACCGCGCATCATATTACCTATCTTATACAGCATGCCTTAATGGCAAGAGGTCGATAGTCGGTCCCTCGGTTGGCACAATCCTGTATATTACCATAAACGTCGCATCGGACTGCCGCTGCTGTCAAGTTGTCTGCTTTGCCGCTGGTTTTCGCGCGACTCTTAGATGAGTTGAAATACGCCTTAGGGCTATAAGAAGTTTACTCCCTCCCCTCTCTTCCCTTTCCCCCTCCCCCCTCCCCCCCCAGCTGGCAGCTGAACTTTTGCTATAGCTACCTAGTTCGGAGGAGCCTTTCTTCTCCCAGTACGCATGGCGGAATAGCTTGCCTTGGTCCTTTGCTGCCTTTCCTACCCTCCCTTTCCCCCGGGGTCCCTCCCCTTTTGCTATAGAAAAGTTTTTAGTCGTTTGGCGTGCTTTCTCTGTCGTTTGATAGTATTGGTCCTCTTCTCTCGTTCGCGTTTTTCTGATCATCCGCGTGTTAGTAAACCATATTGAGTAAAACAAAGGCTAACAGATTTGCCGAGGCAAAGGAAACAACTCATATGAGGACCAGCACCACCATCATCAGGCGCCAGCTGGTCAGATGCCGCCCTCTGGCGGGGACGATGTGAGACAGGCTCACGTCTTCGCGGGATATGCGGGCCCGGGCTCATACCCTGTCGGCGGCAGCGGCGGCCAGGGCGGGTCGATGTCTCATATGGCTCCCCGGACCAGCGGGGCCATACCGGCGAGGAGCCACAGCCGGGCTGACGACGGCAGCAGCAGCAGCAGCGACGGCCTGTTCCCCGACATCCCCGAGGCGAAGCGGCGCAAGTTCATCTTGGTCGAGGACAACGTGCGGGGGAACCGGCTCCGCGTGCGCGTCACGCTCGACGGGGTGGACACCAACGAGATCCCGGACAGCTTCCGTAAGGGGGCGAGCGTGTTCCCGAGGAGCTACTTCCCGCGGGAGATGCAGAGCCCGCCACCGAGCGCCACGGGGTCGCGGTTCTTTGCCGACGACTACTCGGACGACAACGGCGACGACGGCACGCAGGAGACGGAGGGCCGGGAAGCCTCGCGGCGTGGCGGCGGCGGCGGCGGCAGCTCTGACAAGCAGCAGCTGCGGGGGGAGGTGGTCAAGGTCTCCGTGGCCGAGGGCCAGGAGGTGGAGGCGACGATTCCGAGACTGAGGAAGTCGGGGCGGGCCAAGGAGGTGCGGCTCAATGACCTCGGGTACCGCATGGCCTGGTTGCAGAGCCGAGTGTTTTCCGGCCGGACGGTGTTTCTTCAGCGAGCTCGTGAGTGTTTTGATTTTCCCAAACTACCTATACCTTGACATGGTGGATGGACATATGCAGTCCACATAGCTGGTGTTGTAAGAAAAATGGCGAGGGAAAAAAGAAATGCTGACAGTAAAATTGTTCTAGTTGACTGCTACCGGAACAAGACCCGGGCGGCCATTGAGAGCACCATGGCCGACGTCCATGCCGTTGCGCCTCATTTCGAGACGAGGCCCGGTAAGCGACGATGGGTCGGGCGGATGAAGCGCGGAGCGAAGAATGGGGATGATTGAATGAGAGGGCTCTCGAGATGTGGCCTTCCTTTACGATGAAAACCCCAGTTTCTTTCGATGTGGTCTCTTTGTCACCGTGTAGGTATTACTGGTTGCTGCCAGTGTCCTGTGTCATGCATGGGATGGTGGTCAGTCAAGCCGTGTTTCGTTTGGGTGGAATGTTTGTTGTCTTCTTCGGGTATATTGGTTCATGATGAGCTACGTCCTTTTTCCCTCTTTCGATTTCTTCGTGCGTTGATTTGCTGCAATATTATGTCTGTAATGTATGTCATATTTCATGTTTCATGCTCTTTATGTTATTTACGTCGAGGTGGGAAGAGAGAGAGAGAGAGAGAGATGGAGAGATGGAGAGGGGGGGAAAAGCGGAAGCATCTTGGTCGAGCGTTTCTATATGCTGTGTACTCTTGATAACGGGACTAATAATGGGTTGGCTTTCTTGCGAGCGAGCAATGACTGACGTTGAGGGATCGTGGGGAACGACTCTGGGGTTTTGACTATAGGTAGTAGGTAGCTTAGATGGGGTGGCATTTGAGCGGGTTTTTTTTTGGGTATGATGAATATATCATGACACTGTTTCTTTTCTGTCATTACGGGGTTTTACTTTCCTTGCGTTATGATCTACACCAAGTGAAGTGTTGTCTATAGACGTTTCTCTTGAATGGCGTGTGTTGTAATACTAGGTTAACGGACAGCCCTGGTTCAGGAAGCTGATGAGGCTGGCCATGGACGCGAATGGGACGTATGAGGGAGATGATATGTGCTGAGATGGCGCACATGTGGGTATTTGAACAAAGGCTTGAATCGCGAGTGCCCTTGGCTTGACTGGGTAGATGTTTATGCAAATTACCTTGCTGGCGTCTGAGCTATGACTTTCTATGAGTACGTGGCATGAAGACAGATGTTGTGAAGTTGGACAGAAGGCGTCGAGTACAATTGATCACGAGTCTTCCATACCTCTTTACAGCGCATCTATACACACTTACAAGTGCCCAGGAACATTCTTCCCCTGCCTACGCAACGCCAAACCAAACCCAAAAGCTACCTTGGTGGGACACGACAAAAGCCCTGCCTGGTCTCTCCGAATACATGGGAAGGCTCGGGTACTGGTGGAGGGGGGGGGGGGGGGGGGTCGCCTTGGTAATGCAAGGGGAGGGGAAGAAGGGACGGGAAGACAAGGCAAGGCAAGGCAATTTGTCAAGGGCCTTGTCATGTCGTTTTGGCTCATCCCAGAAGGGCCCATTGAAGAGAGAAGACGCGGCATTCTCATGAAGAATGAGGTTCAGTGACAAGGGACGAGAGAAGACATGAGGAGAGACGCATTGAAGACACATGAGGAATCCACGTCTAGAGGAATCATACCTATCGTGCCTAGGTAGTACGCTGTGACGAGGCAGTTGGCCGCAGGACCCACAAAGGGACATGGGTTCAACGGCGACTTTCAAGGTTATTTAACGTTGTGTTAGTAGGTAGTATATTGATTGGTTTCAATGCACCATCAAGGATGCTCCATCCTTGAACAACTATATATATAGGCAGTAGTACGAGAGCTGGGGGCTGAAAACTGAAAGTGTTGGCAAGGATCTTGACTACCTATCTCGAGTCAGACAGATGTAAGAAGGACGGATTCATGTTTTTTTTTTGAGGCTTGGAATGGCTGTACAGGTACGTGCGCCAGAGTGGCTGAACTGGCGCTGCGTGGGAAGACGGCTGTGGCTTTTGGGGGCTTGTTATTGCGTGTTGTGTGCCTTTCTTTGATCTCGCTTTTTGGGTTCGGTTTGCTTTGGTGCAAGCAAGTACAAGTACAAGTCAGCCGACGACATCATCCCGTCTCAGCCTCATTCCTCCCCCCAACCTTAGATCTGCCACGACAGCCTTTCTTGTTTAGAACTTGCACTTTTCATACCTACCTACACACGCAACTCTCTTTGTATGTCTTGACGGTGTTTGAAAGAAGGCAAGGAGAAGACGAGTGTTCAAAATAGGTCTCCACACATTGCTTGGATGGCATCTGCACGATTGCGTCTCTCTCCACGATAGCGATAACGACTTGCGTGCGCCTTTGCGCCTTGCGACAAACTGTCCTCCTGCGCGACGACGACGACATTCACGATAACGGCAACGACGAACACGCGGCGTGGCAGCAAGCGATATTATCATAGCGACGGCGATAAAAAACAAACGAGAGGAAAGGGGGAGAGGGAGCGCACACACAGAGAGGGAGAGAGAGCCAGAGGAAGAAGCAAACCATGGCGCACTACCCATATCCGCACCACCCGCCGCATCCCGGCGCTGTCGAGCTCGACACGTCCAACTCGTCTCGCTATGAAGGCGAGGTCTTTGAAATGCCCGGCGACTCGGCGGTGCCGAAAGCGGAGCGGGAGCAGCAGCAAAGCAGGCGGCCGGTGCAAGCACGGGACGAGGAGCTGGGCGGCATGCAGGCGAATCCGTGGCCGTTTTACCTGGATCAGGACGTCAGGACGGACGCTTCTTCATCGCGGCATTGTGGCGACGCCGAGGAGAGCGCTGCGAAAGCAAAGACAGAGACAAACGGGCAGGGCGAGGAGGCGGGAAAACGTGTGGACGGAAAGGCTGAGCAGCCGCTGGCGAATCCGTGGGCCTACTTTGGGCCTACGTCGCCCGGTGAGGATGTGGGAGGGCATAAGGCTGCTGCTGCTGCTGCTGCTGCTGCTTCTGGCCAAGATGTCGGCGGCTTGGGTATCAGCGTCAAGGACTCTGAAGACGTCAAGGCCAAGAGTGAGAGCCAAGATGCCCCGGCAGCAGCGCCGGCACCGCATCAAAGCAAACACGGCGAGCAAGGCGCAGATGGTGCTTCTCCCTCTTCCCCAGCAGCATCTGCGGGCGAGCCGTCATCGTCGTCGCCGCCAGCACCAGGGTTCTACCCTGCGCCTCTGCGGCTGTCGAGGAAAGATGTGCCTCCCGCCGCTGCGCCGACCTTCAAGCCCTATGCTCCTCCCACAGACGACGATGGCGTCCCCGCGGTTGCGCCGCTCAATGTGAAGCATCAGAGGCCTTCTCCGGACGTTCCTCAGGGCGAGGCGACCACCACGCTGCCGTATAGGCCGTACCGCCCAGCTGGCCATGGCGAGCAGGATGTGAACCACCACAAGGCTGATGCGGCGTCATCTCCCGCTCCGGTGATGCCTCCCCAGCCGGCACCGGCGCAGTCTCATAGACCGCCGGTCACAGAAGCTGTTGCTCCTCAGGGCATGTCTCCGCAAGTGACGACTTGGTCGCCATCTGGATCGCCGAACCCAACCCAGCAGCAGCCGGCATCAGCTTCGACAGAGCCGCCTTTGGATGCGATGGCACCGCATCATCCGTCGGATCAGCCAAGCCAACCGCCGCCGCCAGCAGCAACTGGACATCCACCACCACCTCCTCCCGTTGCCGCTCCCCCAGTCCCTCCCCATCCTCCCCTGTCGCCTCATTCTCCTGCTGCTGCAGTTACTGCCCCTCCGCCTCCTCCTCCTCCTCTTCCCGTACAAGCACCCGTACCAGCGGTGCCACCGCATCCCTCTGTCCCTGCTCCGTCTCCCTATCCTCACACTCCACTTTACACGGCTCCCATACAACCCATTTCTCCACATCACCACACTTCTCCAAGCCCTTCCCCTCAGCATCCTGCCACAGGCTATCCTCCAAGCTCAAGCCCTGTCCCGAGCCTTCAACCCTATGGGTCGCCCCATTCCGCGCCAACCTCTGCGCTCCCAAGCCCGGCCATTGTTCCCTTTCAGTTCCAGCCCACGACCCAGGCCCAGCCGCACAACCTGTATCCTGTGTCAGCTCCCACGCCTCCGGTTGCCTCGTACACTCCCCCGGCTCCGATAGCCTCCCCAGGTCCGGTGTCCTACCACCCGCCCTCCCAACACTTCACGCCTCCACCTCCCACGTCCAGCTATGATATCCCACAGCCTACTTATGCTTCTTCGGCTGAGGTTCCGCCTCCGCAGCCGCCGCGGCCGCAATTCCAACAACCAGCCATGGGTGCCTATCAGTATTCTCCGCAGCCGTCACCGCAGGCTCAGCCTCCATCATATGGTTATGCCGGCACACCAAGCCCGGTCACTCAGCCTCATGTCTCTCCCCAGCCTTCTCCATACCACTCGCCTCATGGGCCAGCAATAGCGCCTCACCAGCACTACTACCCGGCGCAACCTACTTATGCAGCAGCAGCACCCAACGGCAACTCGCCCTCCTCTCCAGATCCGCAGGGTCAATATGCCGTTCCCCCCTTACCGCCGCGGCCGGCAACGGCGCAGCCGCAGCTCTTCGCCGGCTTCACCTCTCAGAACGTGGTGGTCTTCCCGCCGCCGCCCAAGAGGGTGTTTAGTCCGCCGCCCGTCGCTGCTGGTGCCGCGCCTCCGCCTCCTCGACGGCAGTCGGGGGGCTCGAGCGGCCGGCTGTTTAGCAGCTCTTCTGCCCTGAAGTGGATCGACAAGACGGGCAAGGGCTTGGAGAACAAGCTGGATGCGGTGCTGGGCTCTCAGGGGTCGTCTAGCAAGCCGCCTCCGCAGCCGCCTCGTCCTGCTTGATATAGCGAACTGCGGCTTGGGTGGAGTTTGCTTTGTTTCTCTTTAGTGTTAACTTTTTTCTTCTGTTATTCACCGTGTTTGCTGGGTGTAGTCATATCTGGCGAGTGAGATGGGCTCATGGCCTTTTGATGTGAGTGAATGAAGTGGGATATGGAGTATGCTTCTTGCCTCTGTAGCTGAATGGTCTGGATTTGTGGCTGGAGAAGGATCTTTGAGCTTCTTTGATTTGGCTATAGAGTATATATATGTAGCGTATTGAATTAATGGACTTACGATGTAGATGGACTTTATGGAAGATGCCCATCTCATCAACCCCTTGTAATACATCTCTCGTAGGACATGGATATTCTCATGCTATCGAATCTGCCAACGTGTCTAGGTATGTGATCAAGAGCCCCGATATAATATAACGAAAGGCTGCGAGTTAATCTGAAGGTTGTCGTTGACTCTTGTTCGACAAGGGAATCCCTCGTTTTCAACACGAGGAACGACTTTGCGAATACTCTGAGCAGCAAGATAAGATACGAAAAAGGGGAAAAAGGGGACAAAGGATGCTTTGAGTAGTAGTCGCTGTTGATAGGGAGTGTGTTAACAAGCTTAGAGGACAAACTTGACGAAACGAGTATACAGGCACAATGCAATGGCTTGTTCAGAGAAGAAAAAGTCCTCTGCGTGAGGTGTTTATTGGTAGTAAGTCGGCGTCTTGACTGCCGATTTTCAAGGAAGCCTACTATATATAGAAAGATGCCTTTCAAGGCTCAACTTTTGTCGATCGACAACGACTCCTCCCATGCCCAGCTCGCCCGGCAGCTGTCCTTTTTTCCAGATTCCTGTCATGACATTGTCTCATTTGTGAACCCCTTTTCTGTTTGTTCATTGAAAAGCATCGCTCATATTCCTTTCCATAGTAAGAAGCGTGGCATTCGTAGTGTCCGTCCCAGATTCCCTTGATCTGATTGCTCCCTGCACCAGGCAATCAAGCCCCCTATTCCAACATGGCCCTGAGAACCTGAATCTGCTCCAGCACGCTTGATCGGCTGGTACCGCCTTTAGCCGCCTTCGCCTCGACACTCGTCTCATACTCGAATGCCTCCACAATGTCTGCTGTGAACCGAGAATCAATGGCTTGCAGTTGCTCGAGGGTCAGCTTGTCCATTGGAATCTCCAGTTGTTCGGACTGTGCAACGACGCGTCCAGAAATGTGGTGAGCCTCCCTGAACGGACATCCCCTCCTCACCAGCCACTCTGCGACATCAGTGGCCAGCATCGTCTTGTCCAGAGCAGCCACCATCCGCTCTGGCCGCACCTTCAAGGTAGCAATGACGCCGTTGGCGATGCCCAGACTATCCGACACAGTCTGAACCGAATCCAGCATGGGCCCCCATCCTTCCTGGAGATCTTTGTTGTAGCAAGATGGCAAGCTTTTCAGAGTCTATCAAATTAAATAGTTAGCAGCCACTCTCCATACGCTCCCGGTCACCCTCAAAAGCCAAGTCAAACTGGCTGAGATGTTTGATATGAGGACTCACCATCATCAAACCAGCCATTTGGCCGAAAGCACGCCCTGACTTGCCGCGAAGAAGCTCCAACGAGTCCGGGTTGAATTTGTTGGGCATGAGAGAGCTGCCCGTGGAATAGGCGTCGGCCAGACGGACGAAACTGAACTCAGAGGTCGAGTAGATGATGAGGTCCTCAGCCCACCTGCTGACGTGGTTGGTGAAGATGGAGTTCCAGGACAGGAAATCGACGAGGAAATCGCGGTCGGCCGAAGTATTCATGGAGTTCAAGGTGATTCCGCTGAAGCCAAGCTCCGCAGCTATTGAGTCTCGGTCGATTCCGAATGGATTGCCGGCCAAGGCGCCACAGCCAAGTGGACTGAGGTTGACCCTCTCGAAGACTTGACGCAACCGCTCGAGATCCTGCTTGAACGCAGCGGCATAGGACATGAGCCATTGAGACCACCGAACTGGCTGAGCGCGCTGGAGATGGGTGTATCCGGGCATGATGTAGTCGCTGAGGTTGTCCGTCAGTAAGAGAGGGGGGGGGGGGGGGGGGGGGCATTTAGCTGGAAAGGTACGGCTGGGCTTACATTTCAGATTCGGCACGTGTGATAATGACCTTGAGGAAAGCAACGAGTTGGCTGTCGATTTCGCGGATCCGATCGCGAAGCCACATGCGCATATCACAGACAACTTGCTCGTTGCGGCTGCGACCTGTGTGAAGCTTTCCCGCGATGTCCTTGCCGATGACCTCTCCCAGGCGACGTTCGTTTGCCGTATGAATCTGGTCCATTGTGTCAGCCTCGAAAGAAGTTTGAGATTAGAATCGAGTGTGCCCTCTCACATCTTCGTCATTCGGCATGATGGCGAAAGTGCCCTGCTTCCATTCTTCCATCACTTGGAGCAAGCCACGCTCGATCGCCTGGAATTCGTCTTCGCTGATGATGCCAGCCTTTGAATTGGCCCTCGCAAAGGCAATGGATCCAAGGATATCTTCCTTGTACAGGGCCTTGTCGTACCCGATGGAGGCATTGTACTTGTGCATGAGAGGATCAATTGCACCTGCGCATCGCGAGAGGTCAGTATACTGAATCCGCAGCTAGATTTGCGAGGCTGCAACCTGTGAACCTGCCACCCCAGAGCATGCCGGCTGCCGGGGCGTCCGCCTTTTTCTCAGCCATGTTGAAGTATTTGTGATTGCGTTGGATGCGTTGTCGAGGCTGACGAAGTCGATGGGATCGATGAGGCCAATGGAGCAGATGGCGCGTGGTTGTGTCAATTGCTGGCCAAGTCCAAGGGCTTGAGTCGTTACTGTGAATGATGTTGAGGAAATAAAAAGCTCGAGATTAAGATCGAGAGTTATCAAGGTCGAAAACTTTGATAAGGAATTGACGTTGGTCAATCAGTTAGTCGAGACAGAGTCATAGGCAAGAATTGTATGGCCGACACCGGCCAACGTTATCGCCTAAGCGGCTTAGCGCGGATGCGCTACATAGCTGTTTAGCTACTGAAGGCCGGTTGAGGTATGACTCCAGGTATGTGTGTGCTAGAAAATGGAGATGGAATCGGGTTAGTATCTCAGTCAGATGGAAAGCGGAGAGATGCCCCTCCTTAAGGTCATTGCATTTCATGGCTCTGCACGTTGATGGAAAGGCTCTGTCTTCAATAATGAATACTACATCCATCTGCGTCACTCAATTCAGAAATCTAACTCCCACTCTTGACTTGCTGTGTCTACTAACACCAAGCTAATACGCGGCGACTTCTCTGACTTGTTCCAATTTCCAGCTAAACCTTCCCCGCCAATATCATGTTCGTGGCTTATGTACTACCAGTCTCCAAAGAGCCGCACAACATCCAATTTCCATAGACTAGACTAGTAATTGTATTCTCGCCGAAATATCAAGAGTTGAGGCCAAGATCTGTGGTGATGCTGCTGCTGCTGTGCGGCCATTCTGACGGCGCTCAAGTGGCCACCTGAGGACCAGGTGATTGGGCTCTGGTGATGCCCGCGAGAAGAGAGCCGTGTCTGCGTCTTGCGTGATGGCATCTGCAAGTTGTTGTTCCGCGGCTTTTATACCTCTTCGTACCGGGTTTTACTTCGAGATCATGATGTATATCTCATACATGTATGGACTACACATATCGGTAAAATTAGGTGCTAGTCTACCTAGTGATAAGAGGCGGCTAACAACCTTGAAATCAGTGAATTTGGTGATTGGTGTGGAGAAAAAGGCCCTGAATTCGGGTGCTTCTATTTTGGGCCGTGCACACAAGGACGGCTGACTAGGTTCCTGCTAAGCAAGTGGCCGCTGGCGGCGGCGGCCCGACATTGTGCACGAGCTACGCGGCACACACGCGCCAAAAAGGCGGAGTTTGGGGGGGATTGTATGTACTACTACTCGTATGTGATATCAGAGGTGTCGGTCGTCTTTGGACAAATGATTTGTCAATACAATACAGTTATTGGCATTGACGTCCAAAGCTGCAATGAGGGGAAACTATCATACTATCAGCGCCTGGGGAAATGGAAGAGAGGCAAGGGCGGAAAAGCCGAGTGGCCTTTGGCTCTTGACCGATAATACAGTCAAACCCAAGAGTAATACGAAACGCCCAAAAAGGCGGCCATGGATGAGCCGCGCTGAGACATTTTGTGGTGATTCAAGGCAAGAAACCCGGCGTGGCACGGGACTCATCAGAGATGCCCTCGCGGAGACTTTCCCCTCTCCCGCCACAGTCGAGCAATTTTGTGGCAATGATTGCAACTCGGAATCTTTGGGTTGGCGTATGTACTACAGTGTCGTAGTCCCGTCCATCACTGCTGTTGCTTTCGGGGTGGTGCCGAAGGACAACCCTGCTCTTTTTTAGGGCTTCCTTTTCCCTTTCCCTTCTCTTGCTTCTTTTGGTCAGTGAATCTAGGGGCTGAATCCAGAGCACAAACACCAGACTGGCTGTGCGTGCTATCATCCCTCGGCTTCCTGCTGACTATCATGAGTACCTACAAGGTACATATTGGCACATCCGACCGCTGGCTCGACTCGCTTCGCACAACTACGGGTACGTATGTAGGTATGTATGTACCACCAAGTGTGCGCTGAATGTAATGGGCGGAATTAGCGAGCTGAAGGGCGCAGTTTCGCACCCTCTCGCACCCTCTCCTCCTCTCGTCTTCGTCTTCTATTTCGCCCCCCCTTTCTGCTCTCTCTGCTCTCTCTGCTCGTCTCCCACTGCCTCTTCCTCTTCTTCTAGAGCGAGTGGGAGTTCAAAGAGCGAGAGACAGACTCAGTTTGCCGGCCGGTGTCACCGACTCGTGTTACAAAGGGTGCCGCAAAATGGAAAATTTGTCGAGCGATGGGCGCTCGGGATTTCGTCTACCCCAGGAAACGGACCAACCGGTGCCGATCTGGCTTCGCATGTCCAAGATGGTCAGGTGAGAGAGCGCATGGGTGGCGTTGGACTGAGCTGTAGGGGGTGAGATAGGCGACCAAGCGGCTTGCAAAATAACCGGGAAACCCAGAATATTTCACACACAAAAGAATATCATACACACACGTTCAGGCTCCACAGTCTGTCGATACTGCTGCACTTGTTTTCTGAGTGTACGCACGTATTCATTTTGCGGTCCCTATTAATTTGCAGACCGCTTGGCGACCTGGTGAGGCTGTACTTTTGCACTATGCGAGCAAGGTTAGTAAGTATAGTAGGACTTGTAGATGCCAGCATTGGCTCTTCGGGTTGCTGATCTACACTTTCGTCTCTTATTCCAAATTCTGTCGAGCGCATGCTTTGAGCTGTTTAACACTACCAGTTCAGAGTGCTCAATCCAGTGACGGAGCTCCCGAAACAGAGAGCGAGCTTGGGGTTGAGCTCTGGCCTGCAGCCAACCTAACCTTGATGGCGATGTTTCAAGGGACCGCAAGCTCGGGTACTGCGCAATATCATAAGTGTAGAAAGGGTAGTCAGATGCTAGATGATCCTCAACGCCTGGCCGTGTGCCGTGCTTCCTCGCCTCGTGAGGCAGATAGAAAGGTTGTCCAAGGCGGGAATTCAAGGCCACATCATGCATCAAACGCAATGCCCGCCTGCTCGCGACTTCTCCTCGGAACCCTCGTATCCCGAGATGAGGGCTGCAAGCGGGCAGACGAGGACCTGCCACATTTCGAGGCGTATTTGCCAGTTCATCGCCAGCGCACGTCAGCGCTGCACCTCTGGTCGCCTGCTGTCCAGTCATCATATGCAAGGCGGTAAATGAGGCATCTCGGTGAGCCGCTCCCCTGTCCTCGTGGCCAGTCGCGCAGTCAATCACCCTGCCAGCGGCATGCAGCTGAGGACGCCTCACTGCTAGGCTCACTATGCGCCGCCTGCCGCAAGCCCTCCCGTTTCCCTGCGATTTGGTTGCTTGGCTCAATATCGGCCTCACACAAACAATCAACCTAGCGCCGTCGTGCTTCACCGAGCCTCAGCTGTGCTGCCCACCATCGTCGCTCGCGGCCCCTCCCCGGCTCCAGACGCCGCACACGAACCAGAAGAGCGGTGATAAACGGGTTCGAGGCCCTGGTTGGACGTCTCCTCTCTCTGTTTCTGAGCCCTCTTTCTCCGTTTCACGTTCGGTTTGGCGCCTCCCCGACGCGGCTCATTGTACGAGTAGGCACGACAAAAGGCACCTAAGCGACCGCTCAGCTCCACACTTGGGTTGAACTGGGCTTCACCAGGCTGCAACGACATGGGGGAGAGGGGCCTAAACGACGAGCACTGGTTGGAACACGAAATCAATCCGACACCTGACTTGCATCTCGGCCCAGTTTTTATGTCGAGCAGCTTGAGGGAGGACAAGAGAAAGGCTGGCAAAGAGACGCTTCCTAGATAAGGGAGCAACGATCTGATGTTGTGCGCTGTCTTGACTTTGAAGATCAGCAGCGGCAAAACCAGTAATCATCATGAGGAAAAAAAAAGATTTTTGACCGGTACGAATGAAGATTAAGGTAGAGGCGCGATTCAGCAACCTGGCTGGCATTCGGTCGTAGGCGAGAGGGCGAATGCACGAGCACTGTACAAGGTAGGTACGAAAACGCTTGGGTACAGACAGAGCTGCCGTAAGCAATCAACAGTGTACTCGAGAGATACTGCCTCTCTCGTCTCCCCCCCTGGCGCGCTTGCCTTGCAAAGCGACGCTCCGTCGAGGTACTCAACAAGTACCCCCGACCCTTCAGCTCGATCTGCCTGCGCCCTTTGGCTGCTGCGTTTGCCCAGCAGAAGCGTCTAGGCCAGCCAGGCAAACAAACAGACGCAGGAGCAGCAGCAGCAATCCTCCGGCCGCCGATACTCCATTCGTACCGCTCGCAGCCGCAGAGGGACAATCCGCCGCTGCATTTGCCCAGGCAATTTGCAGGGGCCTAGGTTGGCTCGGTAGCACCCGATGCCTCCCCCGCCTGGGCCTGGGCCTGTTGTGCCTGTAGGCAGTTGTACGAGTGATATTGACAATACCTACCAAGCCCAGCCCAGTACATGCGCGCCCAGCCGCTCTGCCCTTGGACAGCCAGTCACTCGCTGGCGCTCGCCCACCAACCCACTGCCGCTCAACTGCCAGCCCAGCGCCAAGCGCCCAGTTACAGCGCTGCGCGCCCACTGCAGAGCGCGCGCCACACAGCTCAGCAGCACTGGACCGCCCGCCCAGAAAAAATCCCTTGAATTGCCTCCTCAGCTCCCGCCCCTTCTTCTCTTTCTCTTCCTCCGCTTTTTTTTTCTCCCTCCTCTTCTTCCTTCTCTCCTCGACACCCTTCGCCCACCGACGAGAGCATCGCTTCGTTCGGTCCATCAATCGTCAACCTTTCTTCTTCCTCCTTCGAGCATCGCCGCACCTTCGATCGATTCCATCGAGGCGAACCCTTGCAGCCCATCCCGACTTGCAAAAATAACCTTTTGTCGTTGTCTTCTTCTTCATTCGGCCTTCCTTCTTTTGTTCGTCTTTCGTTGCCACTTTTCCGCCTCCTCGTCACCGACATATCACAAATTCGGAGCCTCGAGCCCATTAAACCCGCTATATCAAATCCTCGTCAGTAGGTAAGTTGACCTTCAGGATTCACAGCTCCTTTCCCATCGTCATTCTGTTGTCTTGCATCCTCCCCTGCTCTGCGGCTGCGATGGTGCTCGTCCTTCTCCTATCCCGCAGCAAACACCTGCTATTATGGTTGGGCTCTCTTTGTCATGCAAGGTTCGGTTCGGCCTGGCCTAGCACCGGACTTTCTGGTGGCGGACGAGGTACCTCTCATGTACCTTAGCCACCGCCCTTCACCATGCCCAGGGCCCACTCCCTTTGTCAAGCCATCTCATCAGAACCCTCTCAGCTTTCTTCGGTTTCTCTTTCTCCTCTTCACTCCTTCTGCCTTCTTTTCCTTCCTTCATTATCCACCCCCTCGCATTTCACGCCACCACTCTCTATCTTCATCTTTTCGACACGTCGGTCATCAGAAGGGCATCTATTAACCCGCCGCCCCTTTTAGGATTTGTAGCTTTACCGACTTCTCAAACGGCCTGCTTCTTTCCCGCGTGGGAGGAAGCACATCAATACATTCACCATGACGACCATGGTAAGCACCCTCTCTTTGTACAAGATCTGCTATTCTTATTGTTTCCCCCTTTGATTGTGGCCTGCTCTCGAGATCCGCTTGGAGCCTGGGTGCATTGCCTCCAATCGTGTCGAATGACTTGGCCAGTGCGCCCACAGGCTCTCTGAGGAATATCACACCGCTGCTTCGCTCAAACTCATGGCTTCAGTGATGGCTGTGTCTGTGGAGCGGCCGAATCCATCTCCATCCAGTGTTATTCCATCTAGTACTGGCATCTGACTAACTTCTGTCTGTCGCTAGGATCTTCGTGTCGGTAACAAATACCGGATCGGTCGAAAAATCGGTTCCGGCTCCTTCGGCGACATTTACCTTGGAACGAACATCATCTCTGGAGAGGAGATTGCCATCAAACTTGAGTCTGTCAAGGCCAAGCACCCTCAACTGGAGTATGAGGCTCGTGTCTACAAGTCCCTCGCCGGTGGCGTTGGCATTCCTTTTGTTCGTTGGTTTGGCACCGAGTGTGACTACAACGCCATGGTGCTTGACCTCCTGGGCCCTAGCTTGGAAGATCTCTTCAACTTCTGCAACCGCAAGTTTTCCCTGAAGACGGTCCTCCTCCTTGCCGACCAGCTCATCTCGCGCATCGAATATATCCATGCCAAGTCGTTCATCCACCGCGACATCAAGCCGGACAACTTCCTCATGGGCATTGGCAAGCGTGGAAACCAGGTCAACGTTATCGACTTTGGTCTTGCCAAGAAATACCGCGACCCCAAGACCCATTTCCACATTCCGTACAGAGAGAACAAGAACTTGACCGGCACGGCCCGTTATGCCTCCATCAACACCCATCTCGGTGTGGAGCAGTCGCGCCGTGATGACATGGAGTCGCTCGGCTATGTCATGCTGTACTTCTGCCGTGGCTCTCTCCCTTGGCAGGGTCTTAAGGCTGCCACCAAGAAGCAAAAATACGACCGCATCATGGAGAAGAAGATGACCACTCCTACCGAGGTCCTTTGCCGTGGCTTCCCTAACGAGTTCGCCATCTACCTCAACTACACTCGATCCCTCCGTTTCGACGACAAGCCCGACTACAGCTACCTGCGCAAGATCTTCCGCGACCTTTTTGTCCGCGAAGGCTTCCAGTATGACTACGTCTTCGACTGGACTGTCTACAAGTACCAGAAGAATGCCCAGGCTATCGCCCAGGCTGCCGGTCAGGCCAACCCTGAGGATGAGGAGAAGGCCCGGGCTTCCCGCATGAACGCCGCCGGCCCCGTCACCGCTGCCAAGGCCGGCGCCGTGCCCAGCTCCCGACGCAAGATGCTCGAGCGTGGCTCTGGCGCTGGCGTTGACACCCCGGACACTAGCCGTGCCATTGGTGGAAGCGATAGGATGTGAGTCTCGAACATATTTTCAACCTAGTCCGACAAGTCTCATCGTAAGGGGTCACTCCTCCGCGCGACTTGCATTTTCTTGATTCCGCTGTCCGAAGAGAACTCTGCTGACAAGTATGGCTGACTCAGTGGACGCTAAACAGGCTTCGCTCTGCTTCAAAAGGAGCGGGATATGCCTCTGGTAACTATCGGCCAAATTGAACGATGGTACATTGCGCTTTTCTTCTGCACCTCTCTGGTAGGATCTGAGCAAATCGGTGGCGAGCTGCTGCGAGAACCCTTGATCTCCATCCAAATCGACATTCTACACACGCAAGGGGCCGACAGCAGCCATTTCCTTGGCGACGGCTTCAGTCGTCTTGGGCCCCCTGGTCGATGTTTCTGGTCCTCAAGTTCGTTTTCTTGCACTCCCCCCTTTCCTTAGGTTTTGATGTTTTTCATTCTACCCACACGCATCGCTTTATCTTGATCTTCGACGCATCTTACATTCACGACTTGACGCATGGCTCGGATGGTTCTGGATTGACGGGAGGGTGTTTCTTCGTGGCTGGAGTCTCCAACGCTCCTTCTGAAGCACCCTTCCGTGATTCTAGAGAACATCTGAACGGCACGTCCGGTAACATTTGGTTGTTGGACTGTTTTGGCAATCTCGAAGCGCCACGGGTGCCGTCTTTGATGGCTCACCCAAGGTTTAGAGATGGCCGTACAAGCCTTTGCCAGCTCGAGCGTCTAGGATGCTGGGCTTGGGTCCATGGTTCTCGGCAATTCTTCTCCCACCGTGGTCCCCCAAGTCCAATCGTTGCGGTATAGCTGCGTCCCGAACGAGCAGGTGTTGTCCTATCTTTCTTTGGTCATTAATATTTTTCACTCTGTGCTCGATTTTCGTTTTCTATTCTTAAGCCGGCGCGTCAAAAGGCAGCTTCTGGGGAAGTCGATGAGAGTGTCCCGTGGGTGGAGAGGGGGCAGTCTCTTGGTGTGGATTGACCCGTCATCTCTTGGCCCTCTCGATCTGGCGGAAGGTGGGATGAGGGATGCCTTGAGGGAGATGGGGTTTCAGATGGCACTGGCGACAAGCAGCGACATGACCATGATTTGCAATTGGGCTATTGGCAAAACAACATCCACTTCAAGGGGATCAGCCTGTTGCTCCAACATGTGAGGGTCGAGGGCAATCTCTACTATGGCTTAACTATATGGTAGGGTCGCGCGGATCAAGGCCACGACATCTGACGACAACTCTTATCCTGTCTTGACCCTGGCGTCGCGTATGTGGCGTCTGGGGGAAGTTCTCGGGACCAACGACAAGTACACGGCCGAAGCTGCAGGAGAGGTAGCATGGCCAAGGCTTCAGCCAAGAGCTCTAGTCACAACGAACAAGCCTATCCCAGTAGGTCATATAGTTTGCAATGAAATTCCTTCTTCTCTTTCCTTGAACACAGCCTTTGCACAGCCGCCAGTGACCATGTCTGACGCGCGCCGTCGTTGTTGAAAAGGCTCGGCTCCTCCCAGCCAGGCATACATATGCTTGAGGATGGTAGTAGTAGTCGCGTGCGTGGACCAAGAGCTGCACGAGGCCATCTTGGTCACATGTTGCCTCGCCCGAGTGAGCCTCGTTGGGGTCGTACCCATGAGTACCTGCGTAGTGCTAGCGGGCGTGGCGAGCCCCAGCAGGGCCTGGGCCAGTACCTGGAGCCACCGCTAGCACCCGGCAGTCCGGCCTGAAGCGCGCCTGGCAGCGGTCGAGGCTACATGGCGATACCTTTGCGAGCATGCACTGCCCGCAGCTGACCTGTGGCGGAATCCCACTATTGCGATGGCTGCTCTGTCCACGATGCTCGATTGTGCACCTTGTGCGCCGATGCAGAGTCACAGAGCAGGCGGCCGTGGCGAGGAGAGGAGGAGAGCGGAGGCTCACTGGGAAGGTCAAGTTGCATGACTTCGTACTCGTACAGGCGCAAGAGAAAAGATACATGGCGGGCTGGTACCTGCTGGCCACACGGAATGGCTGCCGGCGGTGGGTTGTCGCGCGCTGCAGCCGCCAGGACGTGACGATTGGATACCCGAGGTGGAGGTATCGGCCCCCCCCCCCAGCTGAACACATGAGGGCGACATGAGGTGCCTGTGGAGGTACTAGGTAGGCAGGTAAGGTACCCGACAGTACATGTAGTAGGTATATTAGGAGGGCTGTGCCTGCAGGAGGCATCCACGGACGAGCGCCAATTGACGACTCGAGCTTCTTTGTCTTCTTTGCTTGCTCTTTTCTTGACTGACTGAAGTTGTTGGTATGCTGGCGAATCCGGCGTGAGCTGTCTCTGGGTCCCTTTGTCTCTCATTGAGTCTCTTTGTTTGGAAGGAACACGGTGCTCTTTGAGCGTGCATTTACACAGTGCTTGGCCTGGAGAGAAGCCCACTACTTTAGTATAAAGGCCCCAAGAAAGACGAAACGGAAACGCTCAACGCCTGCTCGCAAAGGACTCGAGTCTCGAACTGCCACGGCGACGAGGGAGGGGACAAGATGACGGACTCGACGCTGGACCTGCTGGTCCTGACGTTCAACTGCGCCGCAAAGCTCGTCAACGTGCCCGAGTTTGCGCGCCATCTGCGGACTGCGCTGGAGCGGGAGGCGGCCGATCTGCCAGAGGTGGTTGTGCTGTAAGTTGGGGGTCTGCCTCATCACCCATGGGACTGCATTTCTTCTTCTTTTCTTCTCTCTCTTCCCTTTCATCTCATTGCCGCCTTGAAGCTTGCTATTGCGTCTCCTCTTTCTCTCAAGAATGACAATGTCGGGGTATATGGGCTCATCTGTTGTCAAAGGTCGTTACAAGAGGTGGCTCCCCTGAGCTATGCCTTCATTGGGGATTACTTCCTCAAGCAGTATTTTGAGCGGTTCGGAGAGGCGCTCAATCTTGCGGCCTCGCTTCATCTACAGACGGGAAATCATCAGGATGCCTCGGCTACTTCTTCCACCTCCTCCCTCCCTCTTGTGCATACATCACCGTCAAACGGAGGCAGGAACCACTTCACGCTCATCAGGGCCCTCAACGTGGGATACACGGCCATCATGCTCTTCGCCAGGCACCCGGACCGGCTGACCAACATCCAAGCGGCCGAGGTGGGCTTCGGCGTCGCCGAGATGGGCAACAAGGGGGCCGTCGGCCTGAGGGCGCTCTACGAGGCGGGCAACGGGGAGTCGACGGAGCTGACGTTTGTGTCGACGCACCTGGCGGCCATGGAGTGGAATCTGCCGCGGAGGAACGCCAACTGGGGGGCCATTATGCGCGGGCTGACGTTTGAGGACCCGGAGGAGGTGCTGAGCCGCATGAGGAGGGACGCAGCGTCGAGGAGCCAGAGCCGGTCGTTGTCGTCGTCGTCCGAGGAGGGGGACGCCTCTGAGCAGGCGCGGCTGCTCAGGGAGGAGCATCACGAGCAAGATCTTCGGCTGCAGCAGCATTTCCACAACCTGTCCGTCTTCAAGCCGTCGTCTCACCTGTTTGTCGCCGGAGACCTCAACTACCGCATCTCGACCACCTCCCCGACGCCTTACTCGGCGTTTCCCAACTTGGATCCGGGATCGGAGAACTATTACACAAACTTCTTGCACCTGGACCAGCTGACTCGCGAGCGACTGGCCGGCCGGACCCTCCACGGCCTTTCAGAGAGCCCGGTGACGTTCCCGCCTACGTACAAGTACGTCGTGGACTCCAAGGCGCCTCCCGCCGGCGACGGCGACGACGGGGATGGGGAGGAGGAGGAGGAGGAGGAGGTCAAGTGGGTGTTCGCCCCGCACCGGTATCCCGGCTGGACGGACCGCATCCTCTTCCTGGAGCTGCCGCCGTGGGTCGACGCCAAGATGAGGGTCCGCGCCTACGACGCCCTGCCCGTGATGCGAACCAGCGACCACCGGCCCGTGTTCCTGCGCGTGGATGTGCCTCTGGTCTCGCCCGCCGACCTCGCGCCCCCGGCCGCCGTCCGCGAGTCTGCTGCCGGCGCTGGATCCGCCTCGCCGGGGGCAAGCAACGGCGTCGACCCGCGCGTGAGGCTGCCGGTGGAGATTGACCCGGAGGCCTGGGAGCGCCGAGCGGCTGGCCGGAAGCGCGAGATTGCTGCCGGGTGGACCATGTTCCTCGGGAGCACGAGACAGGGGGCCTTGATTCTGGGGACGCTGCTGGCGGCGACGGCTGGGGGGTACTGGCTTTTCCGATCTTCTTCTTAGGTTGGGGGAACGGGAGACGCTCGTGATAATGTCTGAGTGGGCTGAAGATTCTTTATATCTCTTGTACATGGGAGGGACCGACTGGAGTATAGATGGGCGGGTTTTTTTTAGGGTTAGAATGTGTGATGGCGTTACGTGGTTGTTTTTTTTGCTTTGTGCTTGTCTATTGCGTCTGTCTATGATATTTCGTCTCGAGTCTTGAGCTTTTATGTTTGCCTTTTACGTTTCAACCTTGATGTTGCGCTTGACGATGATGGTAGGAATGTGGTTGAGCTGACGATATATGGTTGGTCTCTCCAGATAATGGGTTTTACGATGTTTCAAGGAATTTCAACGTGGCAGATGGATGACTGATTTCCTACTACCTATACGAGAGTTACTTGGCAGGATATAACGCTTATATATTTGCTCCTTTCACGATAACACATCGTTCTGAGAGAACTCTTCGATAGTCATTATATAGGTACCTATGCTTCGTCATTGACACGCTGTGGCATGTATCCTGCATGTCAGCCAGCGCTGAGTGGACTTGGCGATTGATGAATTACGAGTTATTCCTGACGCTTTCGTCTCTCGCTCTTTCTTTAATCTTTCTTCTCTTTCTTGTCCCCTTTCTTCTTCGTCTCTTGTTTCTCCTTGTTTCATCTGATTCTCATTTCATTTCAACAACTATGGGATCTCAGCAGCCATCAACTTTCCCCTCCATTCTCCCCAAATCCCCTCCTCCTGCTTTTTCTTTAGAAAGTAAGAAGGGGGAAGGGTTGAAAGGGAATAAAACAACAAAGTGCAATGTAGAGCGCGCGCACGCATAACGGGACTATATACAGGCTGAACAGTGACCATGCCCCATGAACAAGGAAGCAGTAGCGAAGTGCCGAGTACACACACGCACACTCTCTCTCTCGCTATGAAGTACAAGTGAAGCGGAGAAAAGCAGCGCCTTTATTAACGGACAGATATAAAAGGAAAAAGAAACACAAAGAAACACATGAGGCAATATGCTAGACGGGGGAGGAGGAAGGACGGCCAAGGGGCTATTATACCAGCATATACTGAAACCGTCGGTTGCTACTGGGGAGAGGTAAAGGAAAGGGACAGGGCTTTTCCCCATCATGCAGTCACTTCGTTTTGATTTTCTTTTGTTGTTGGTCTCAAAAATCTTCAAAGTAGCGGTCGTACTTGTTCGCCATCTCGACGGTGTACGCGGTGCTTCTGGCGTCATCCTCCGGGTATACGTCGAAGCACTGGTCGTCGCCGGGGTAGCGGATGGGTGGGATGATGGGCCCGCGGTGCCGGCGGCTGAGCATGTCGTCCCAGTTGACGCCGCGGAAGAAGGGATGCGCCTTGACGCGGCCGGCTCCGCCGCTGATGTTGCCGAGGCGCCGGGAGCGGTCGATTGTGCAAAAGGACCGGATGATGTCTTGGGCCTCGTCGGAGATGACTGGCTCTTGGGGGAAGACGACGGGCTTCTCGACGATTCTGGGGTATGACGTTGGCGGTTAAGCATTGGACAAGGGAAAGGAGACGAAAAAGTGAGAATATAGGGAGAAAAGGGGGGGCAGGGGATAAGGGGAAGGAGAAGTGTGAAAGTGAATCCGTCTACTCACTGCTTGTAAATCTCAATAGGATTCTGATGCCAAAACGGAGGGTAGCCCGTCAAGAACTCGTATATCAGTATGCCCAACGCCCACCAGTCCACCGCCGTCGTGTGGCCCTTGTTATGAATTACCTCTGGCGCCAGGTACTCGGGCGTGCCGCATAGCGTGTACGTCTCCACCGGCCGGTCGTCCTTGTAGCCGAGCCTCTTGGCGAAGCCAAAGTCGACGAGCTTGATATGCCCGTCCTGGTCCAGCAGGAGGTTCTCCGGCTTCAGGTCCCGGTAGGCCACGCCCCCCTGCTGCTCGTGCAAAAACTCCAGCACGAGCACTATCTCGGCGGCGTAGAAGCGCGCAGTTGGCTCGTCGAACCGGCGGTACTTCCGCAGATAGCTGAAAAGCTCGCCGCCGGGGACGTAGTCGAGCAGCATGTACAAGCAGTCGTGGTCGGAAAATGACCCCAGCAGATTGGTGATGAAGGGGTGCCCTGCCACATCTGCCAAGATGGCTCGCTCGTGGCGCACATGGTCGATTTGTTTCAGCTTGATCACCTCCGTCTTCTTGAGGATCTTGAGAGCATACACCTCAGGGTTCTTCTCTTCCTCTAGAGGCTTTGTGGCATTGGCAGGGCGGACGAGAACCACTCGAGCAAACGTGCCTATATAAAGACCAAGGTTGGTTGTTTAGCAAGACTGGGCATCGTGATATGGAGTCTTCCAGAAGACCATATAATTTGGAGACCAAAGAAGTAAAGATAAAAGGGGGGCCAACGAACCAGTGCCCAGAGTCCGCACCCGCTTGAAGTCGGATAGCTTGAATTTGCGCGTTGGTGGTAGAGGTTCGAGCGTAGGATCGGTCGAGGGATCGCCGGGCGAGGTCGTGCCCGTAGCCAGCGCAGCAATTCCCGGCTGTGCCTCAGCAAGAGTGGCCGCCATTGGCGCTGCCGTGGAGTGCAGGGCAAGCTAGAAAAGAGGCGGCCGTATGTTTTCCCGCTGGCTAAGAACTTGTCGGTTGCTTTGGCGGACGCGGTTTATAGGACGTCCATGGCCTCGGATGAATAGAGTAGAGGGATCGAGAGACGGAAAGGCGGAAACGCAGCGGGCGATGGAGAGATAAGATGCGCGCGCGCAACAGGCCGGATGCGATTTGTGGTAGGCGACACAAAGGAAAGGGCGCGCAAGATCTTGGAGAGAGGCGGCGGCTACAGCATCAATGGAAGCATGGCGAGAGACGCGGCAGAGGATCCGGCAGAAGGTCTCCAACGAGCGGCGGGCGGATGGCCAGGAACTGATTGTCCTCGTTCGAATCGGCGCTGACGGAGAGATGGTGTTCGCCTGTCGATTGGGTAGTTGTTCGTCCGTATTTTGTTTTCCCTTTCCCTCTGCTCTGGCCGTGGTGAATGCGACAAAGAGAGGGTTGTCGTTGGCTTCGCGCTGTTATACGCGGCCTTTGCGACTTGTTGTCTCTGCGTCGGCGAAGTGAGCGTTGTGTGTCAGAACCGGGTGTGAATCAGAGATGGCGGGACAACACCAGAGCGAAGGATCACAGAAGAGGCCCAAGGCAGAGCGAGCGAGCGAGCGACAGAAAACTTGAGGCAGAGGCCGAAGGCTGAGGCTGATATCTTAGTAGTGGTCCGGACTTGAGGTGCTAGTGCGAGCAGCAATTCATCGTGAGGATCCGGCGAGGGGCGGCTATGACGCAACAGGCGCCAGGACGGCGGGCCAGAGGGACCTACAGGAGGGGCCTACAGAGGGGCCTACAGAGGGGCTACAGCGGCCTAGAGCGGTTGGGGAGCCCCTAGCGGGTGCTGTCGATGCACCAAGGGGCGCGCTATGGGCTGCGCTACCGGGTGCTAGCATCGCGAGGGTTTGGGCGGGCAGGGCAGCTTCAGGTTGTCATTGAGAAGGATAGGCAGGGCCTTTGGGTGGGTTTGGGCTTGGGTTTGGGATCCATGGATGGATGGATGGATGAATGCTTGGGGGTTTGATCTAGGGAGGGGGCCAGGCCGTCGTCAATTGAGGGTGCAAGGCATGGAGTCCGTATGGGTACGAGGTAATTTGTAGATGCGATGGGTAGGTTGCTGGAGGTATCCAGCGGTTGATGATGAAAACGGACGGGACAAGACTCGTAGCAGTTGCTGCCAGAGGACCTCAATTGTCCGAGGTCGCAAGGCCTGAGTATGATGAAGAGGCGAACAACAGAAGACTGGCCACATCCTGTCAGATGCTGGCACTCGGGGCACTCTGGGCTCAAGGCAATGCCAACATGAAGTCAGCTGGCGTGTGAGGTGTGTATCAGACTGCAGTAGCAAGTAGGCACATTGAACTCGACCAGCTGCTTTGCGCATATCCATCCTTGGTAAAGAGCATGCATGCAGTCCATATGTAAGTCATCCAATACTAATCGCACCCGACTTGACAGGGACATGAGTGGTGGAGGCTATTTGCAGTAGCCTGCTGGAGCCAATGGAAGATCACATACCCCAATACGACTTCATATAACAGCCGAGCGGTGGTTCATTCGGAAAGCCGATCCCATGTGTCCATTGCCGGGAGCTACATGTACCTACATGTAACCAGCATGACAGAACAATGCCAGTTCTGCTGCTCGCACCAGCCCAGAGACGTCCATCAGCTGTCTCCTTCGTAAGGACTTGCGCATGTATCCAAATCGATTCTGGTGATGACTTTGGATGACATGGATGAAATTGACCAGTAGGTACATGTACTACTGGCCTTTCGTCCGCTACCGGTCTAGTAGATACGGCCCGGTATTGTAGAAACGGGGACAGGGGACGAAATAACTCCTCCTCCCAACGTCAACCTCAAACACATCGATAGCTTCAGCCTCTTACACGAACGGTATTGACCGGGAAGAAGGGACCCCGAGTCCGTCACGGACGGGGTACGGAGTGCGTGTGTATGGGTAGCACTAGGTAGGTACGCAGAGCGATTCCATGACCTCTTGTAGGATAGCCATGAGCTTGAGAAGGTCCAAGATGCGTCTGGAGATGTGACGCCTGGCTCTTGGCCCCGGCCTTGATCTCACCGCGCCCCTGTCGTTGTCCGGACCACTGGAGTTGGAATTTCAGAGTATGTACTGTATTACGAGGTCGTCAGGGTGCCGAGATGGCACATCGAAGCCCCTGGTTATCGTGCGGCATCAGCGGACCTGTCGGGACGTGCCAGCTCGGTCTCTACTAGGTAGTACTAGTATGATTGAGTACCTACTATCTAGGTAGTACCATGAGCTCAGTACTGTACTGTAGTAGCTTGACCAGACAGCATCGCCGAGGGCAGCATCGGACTGTGATTGAATGGATGGATCCATGCCAGTGTGTGCGGATGCAGCCCTGCAGCAGACAAGCAACATAGACAAGGCAGACTTGTTGCTGGCGGCTGACTGGCGACCCGAGAAGAGGCGCCAGCTCCTCCCGTCAGGGTTCGCCGAGCCCCGCCAACGGCCGCTAGCAGCACCTACCTAGTACCTACAGGTAGGCAGTACTAGGTGCTGGGTAGGTCCTAGGTAGACGCCTAGCTGCAGCCTGGACCGCTGAGGGCTCCCTGTGGCCGGCTCTGTAATAGTGGAGGTACTGGTCGGGTACTTGGGTTCGAGGTTCCATCCATCCAATGTCAGTCTGGCTCCGGCTGCCCTCACCACCACCACCAGACCTCCAGCAAACTCCCCCTCGACGCCGCCATCGCCAGCTTCATCCCTTCAGTTCCCGCGCCTTCGCCCTTTGCCATCAGCGACCCTCTTCTTGCTCCGTCCAGCGGTTTGCCAGCTCCAGCTCCAGCTCCTGCCCCGTCCCAGGCTCTCGAAACAGCCTCCCTGCTCTGCTCCTTCACCCGCAACGGCCCAATCCCGGCAGCCCGACGCCAGCGAACAAAGAAGCCCGCGGCTCCTCCAGCCATCCGACGGCCGGCAGTCTCTCTGCTGTCGCGCAGGCTGATGCCATCGCCCCTCTGTTAGCACCGTCATGCGTCCTTGAACTTCGCCGAAACCATGTTCTCCAACCTGTCCAACATCGTCCAGCGAGCCCAGCAGCTCATCGATCCCACCCAGGGACTCAACCTCTCCAACTCGGATCGCAATCCCTCCAAGGCCTCGCTGTTCCAGAGCCAGTTCCGCCTCCCCTCCTCCCAGACGCCCCTGTACGAGATCAATGCCGAGTTGACCATCCCGCCGTCCAACTCGACGCGCGGCGATCCGGACCACGACAGGGGGTGGCACTACGCTGGAAAGCTGCACCTCTCCGAGGCTTTCCTATGCTTCTCGACAACGCCCACGAGCTTCGCCCCCTCGGCCAGCACATCGGCGTCTTCCGCCTTCACTGGCCAGACCAATGGCAGCGGCCCCAGCGGCAGTGGCTTCACATGGCCACTCTGCGCTATCAGGCGGGTAGAGAGACTCAACAGCCAAAACTTTCAGGTATGTGACAGTGTGATTGCTAGCTACTGGGTTGGACGTATAGCTGCATGTCCTGTTTATTAGTGGCGTCGGCTTTTGCCATACACCCTCAAGCGGGTGTAGCTACCTACTCCAGGTGAATTCGGGGCTAACACGCATGTTCCTGCCAGTTCGCTCTCGCGATAACTACCTGGAATGGCTTGCTGGCCGACGTTGCCAAGCCCAAGGACACCAACAATAGCAGCACCAACAAGGACGTCCGGGAACAGCGCATCACGATCCACCTTGCCGGCACCCGGCAGGCTTGTGAAAGGTTCTGCGATGGCCTAAAGCGAGGGCTGAGGGCCGGCGTCGGCAACGTGGGCAAGCTGCGCAAGGTGGTGGCCGAGTGCTACTCCGAGCATCTCTTACGGACCGACGACCGGGCGGGCGTGTCGCCGCCGGATGCAGGACTGGGCATGATCTTTCGGTATCCCGGAGACCCAAAGAAGCTCCGAGACAGGGCCAAGATGAGGCTCTGGGCCGAATACCTTCGTGACAACGGCCGGAATATGATGTTGATTCGCCAACCCACGTTTCATAAGCTCATTCGCGTCGGTCTCCCCAACCGGCTACGAGGCGAGATATGGGAGGTGACCTCTGGGTCTTTATACCTACGACTCGAGAACCCAACACTATACACTGATACTCTAGCCAAGTTTAAGGGCCAGGAGTCGCTTGCCATTGATGAAATTGAAAAGGACCTCAATCGCAGCTTGCCCGAGTACCCTGGGTACCAGAGCGAGGAGGGCATTGGCAGGCTGCGCCGCGTTCTCACGGCCTACAGCTGGGTTAACGCAGACGTGGGCTACTGCCAAGCCATGAATATCGTTGTGGCGGCGCTGCTCATTTACATGTCCGAGTCGCAGGCCTTCTTTCTCCTCTCCGCCCTGTGCGATCGTCTGGTCCCCGGCTACTACTCCACAACCATGTACGGCACTCTCTTGGACCAGAAGGTGTTTGAGTCGTTGGTTGAAAAGACAATGCCCATCTTGTGGGACCACCTCGTCAAGAGCGACGTCCAGCTGTCCGTCGTGTCTCTACCTTGGTTTCTCTCCCTGTACATCAATTCCATGCCCCTGGTGTTTGCTTTCCGTGTCCTGGACGTCTTTTTCGTCGAGGGGCCCAAGGTGCTGTTCCAAGTTGGCCTTGCCATCCTTCGGATCAATGGTGAGGAGCTGCTGGATGCGGCCGATGACGGCGCCTTCATTTCCGTCCTCAAGTCCTACTTTGCCAGGCTTGACGAATCCGCACATCCAAAGTCAGAGAACCCCAAGCTTAGAGCGGTGACGAGATTCCAGGAACTCATGGTGGTTGCCTTCAAGGAGTTTGCTGGCGTCACCCACAGCAGCATCACGGAGTTGCGGCTGAAGAAGAAGGATGCCGTTTTGAGCAACATCGAGAGCTTTGCCAAGAGAACGGCCATTCGCAATCTGGGGCCTGACAGCAAGCTTCTGAGTCCGGAGGAGCTCGGTTCGCTGTACGACCGCTTCTACAATGTCCTATACGAGCGACAGCAACGGGGCAGGATGATTCAGGAGGAACTGCAGCGACAGGCAAAGAGCAGCAGGCTACGTGGCTCTGACAACTACCCCACGGCTGCGCCCAACGAGGTCGAAAAGGGCCGCGTCGGCCTTGGACCGAGCACCAGCTTGATGGACTACGATGCCTTCCGTGAATTCCTGGCTGGCATGTCGAGATGGGCCATCTCAGACGCGTCCGCCAACGCTTCCGAGAACAAGCCCTACGGTACCAGGAAGACTTCCAATGCCCTGTCGCCATGGGGAAACGGGCCCGAGCCTGCAGAGCATGAGTTTCTGCAGCGTCTCTTCAAGAAGTGGGACGTCGACGGCGCATCGGCATTGACACTCCAGAATGTGGTTACGGGCCTCGCTGGGATCAAGGGCAAGCGAGACATCATGGGCACAATCACATACTTCTTTGAGCTATACGACGATGACAACGACGGAAAGGTGGACCGAGAGGGCATCTTGCGCATTTCCGAGGCGCTGCTCTTCCTATCACGCCGCGGTCTGGAGGGCTCGCTGAGCCCTGGAGCCTCGACCGTCGGCCTTAACGGCGATGCCACGAGTGCCAACGACTCGCAGTCCAGTCTGCCCGCCGACATCTCCAACGCTGAGCGGTTCTTGGGAAGCGTCAGTGCGTTCATCAGGCGATGCTTTGAGTACGCCGATCCCGACCACCCAAAGAACCAAGACGGCGCTGTCTTTGACACACTGGGATCCAACGACGAAATGGTTGACCCCAATGCTTTTGCGATCGGAGATGACGAAGATGAGGAGGAAGACGACGAAGACCTCCTGACCATGGAATCATCACCTACCGCCACTCCCACGAAAGCCAAGAAGCCCTCTGACTTGCTGAGTCCGGATGACCAGAGCTTGTCCAGTCACAGCGGCGACAACGAGTCCCGTCGCCGTGTGTCAAAGGCCAAGGCCGAGGCGGCCAATGCTGCGCTTGACCCAGCTCATCCCCTGCACATCACTTTACCGACGTTCCGGATGGTCGTACTAGCAGACGAGCTTCTCGAACAGTTCTTTGAGTCATCCTTCCCAGCGTCTCTCCACATTGTCGAAGGCCTCCAGAGCGCCAGCAGCTCCTCGTACGCCTCCTCTCTTACCACATTCTCCAACTTGGGCTTCAATACGCGATCACAGACACAGGCCCCCTCCGGACCCATGGGCGGCGGCCGTGGCTTGCGCGGCGTCTTGGACAACATCGTCACCGACGGAATGCGCGTGGCAAGCGAGGTGCGGAGGCGGATGGAGGAGGCCCAGAGGGAGCTCGAGAAGAACGCTTTGCCCAGCCAGCGGACGGAGGAGGACGAAGAAGACGATGACGACGTGGGCGTTGCCATTGGCGTCAGGAGGGGTACGGGAGGCGCCAGCGCCGATATCGAACGCCGGTCCGTCATGAGCGCAGACCGCGACCTCTTGGACGGGGTAGACGCGGAAGTGGGCTCAGGGGCGCCTGCGAAAGAAGCAGGACAGAGTTCCAACTTATTAGAGGTTGACGCAGCGGCCGGAAGACGCCGAGCAAATAGCGCATCGACAACAGGGGGGCCGGGCGTCTTAGAATTCGAAGGGTAAACAGCAGCGGATAGCGGAAGGGGAGGGATGGATGGAGGGAGATGGATGCCACAACCATGTTCAGGTAATTGGGCCACTCCGTGGGAAATGAAAGCACTGAATCCCCGAAGTTTGCATGACCGCCAGCTTCGTGCCTCTCATTTTGTCTGTTTCTTATCTCCTTTGTCACATGGTGTCAGTCTGGATAGGTATGGTGGGAGCAAGTGTATGACATGTTTTTTTTCTAACAGAACAAGATAGAGTAGAGGCGCGGGCCTGGTCCATGGCCGACTGGGTTGCCGTCTCTTATGTTTCCCTTGAGTTTTATTGGGGAATACGGTCTGTTACGGGTCCTGCTTAGACACGAGATACAATACATGGAATCCAATCTTCCAATCTCCAGTTGTGGTGTCTCTTTCTCTTTATCGTAACTACCTACTAACGTGCAGTACGTGATATTGTTGTCCATGATTGGCGGACGGCTTCCGATGGAGCCTCGTCGCGCCAGATGGGCAGATTCGATGCAGATACGCCAATAGGACTTACTGCCAACAAATGAATCAAGGGACCGCGAAATGACGATAAAAGTCTATGGAGATTGAGGGATCCTCGTCAATTGAGGGTTGGCGCGGCAACTTGGCGACACAGGCGAATTTGACGCTCCTGGAATCACAGCTTTGCAGGTTGGTAAGTAATACCATGATAGGAGATGAATGGATTGATGGAATGTCTGATTTGAAGGAGCCTGAAACGTCGAGTCTGGGTTGTTTTGGCGATGTTTCAGACTTTAGGGTCTTGTTCTTTTGTCTCCTCATTGACCAGGGGAAGGGTGGGGGGGAGAGGAGGAGGAGGAGGAGGAGGAGGAAATTGTTCCTTTACGGCATGCAGATGCCGCGAATTATCAAGCGACCCTCCTTTCCTCTCCTCTCCTGCCCTTGTCTGAGCAAACGGATCGCCGTCAATCTTCAATAAGGAATCTTGTTGACCTAGTAGTAGTAGGTGTTTCCCCTCCCCTTTGCTATATCGTGAGTAATCTTGTGTGTGTGTGTGTGTGGTTGTCGGATGAATGGCATTTTGTTCATTTCCCTAGGGCACAGACAGGAGGGAGACAAAGATATTAGACGAGGGGAAGGGGGGGCATTGATCGCTTAAGTCTTCCCCGGCTGATTGGGATGGGATCTTGAGATGAGATTTCTATGAGCTGATGGGAGAGTCCTATCTAAGGGACAAATGGAGTATCACCGTGGAGGTTCAGAGATTTGTTGGGAGTTGGAAGGGGTTTTGCGTGGTGGGTGGATTGATTGGATGAGATTAATCATGGAAGGGCAAGGGGAGGGGAAACGTTTGTTATTATTTGCTAGTAGTAGTAGTAGTAGTAGTATCCTGATGCCGTTGCAGCCTTTCTTAGGCTATGTTTGTAGGGAGTGTTTCTTGTCCTCTCCTTGCTTCTGGTGCGAGGCAAGATTACGGTGCAGTACCGTATTAGTCCTCGAATCTAAGAAACAATAACTGGCTTCAGGTAGAACCTACCTACGTCAGGGTTGTGTCTGTACATAGTATACGTATACGAGATTATCTTGTTCCGATCTCGATGGCTTAAAGTGGGCAAGGATATGCCGTCGGAGCAGTTTAGAATCAAAAAGGGCCTCCATGGTCTGATTACTGAGCTGTTGCTGCTATGTAATACTCCCAGAGATAAGGTATATCCGAGGGACCTCGGGAGACAGCCATTGCCGGGAGAATTTGCAAAACCTGGAAGTCTTTCGCCTCTGCAGCCATAGACTAGGTAACATCTGCAAGTTGGCATCACATGAAGCCGCGAGAGGCATCCATCAACAAACACTATAGGCAGAGAGAGACTGGCTGCATCAACCGCAATCAAAGCCGTATTACGCAAATCAGACATAGTATCAGACAAGGGCCGCTGGCCGTGAGCCGACTTTGATCGTAATCCATAACTTCAATGAAGTGCTCAAAGCCTCAGCAAGCGCCGCAAAAGTAGGGAATACCTGCGAGGTGTTTGCGATGCACGGCATGTTTCAGGTAGCCGTGCCTCCACTGCGCGGTACCAGATACCACCTAGCGGTATTATTACCTTACTCCGCAAGGTACTGTAGGTACTAGGTAAGGTACAGACAGGTAGGTACGGAGTGCCCTGATGCATGCCATGGGTTGCTTGATGGGATCCCTGTTCCATTTACTTTTTGCTGCTTCTCAACGATGCATTTCCCGGGGAGGCGGGCATCTGGCATATTTTTTTTTTTCTTCTTCTTTCATTTGGCGCCATCTCATCTCATCTCGGCCGACTCGAGATTTTGATTACCAGTTCCCCATGTCTAGGCAATGCATGTAGGTAGGTAGTTAGGCGTCTAGCGAGTCAAGTGTCGTTGTTTTGGGCGAGCTTGGTAATGAACATGTGCCAGTAATCTTCTCAGCAGCATCGTCGGTAGATAGGTGGCTTAGTTGTTTAACCCATATTCCAACTCACAGCAGCGTCATCAGGACGTACTCGGCGGGTTAACTAATGACTGGGCCACTAGGCCCCCACCTCTCTTTATAAGAGAGGTGGGAATTTAATTTATATCTTGCGCCTTTATATATCTAACCTTTATAACTTAACTGCATTATAACTCTATTAAATTAACTTAAATTAATGCTAAATTTTAATAATATATTATTTTATATTTTATTATTATTATAACTAATTTTAATAAGCTTTTAGTAAAGCATACAGCTGCTATAGTACACGCTTATATTAAGGGTAGGATAGTTATCTGCTAAATATAAAATTCTTATTTATTATGCCTTTTTATAATTTATAAAATAGCTGCCCTCTTTTATATTAATAAAAGCCTTATAAAAAAGTATATTTAGCTTTTAAAGAATAATCTAGTATTACTAAAAGATAAAGGAGGCAGCGCGCTATTAGCCTTAATAAAGGAGGAAGAGATAGCTATTATTATATATATATAATATATTAAGGGCAGTACTTTTACCCTTATAAAAGCATGTTTAATTAACTAGGCTAACTTCTTTTATTATTATTATTTATTTTTACTAATTAAAGACTTATTAAGATATTAGTTTTATAGCTTTAAGAAAAGGCATTTTAAATTATATTTTTAAAAGGCTAAAATTAAGAAGATCTAGTAAGCTAGTATAAAGCTAGACTTAGCTAAGCTTAAAAAGTAGTATTATAAACTTAAATATATTATAAAGGCATTTTTTATTATCTTTACTAACTTTTAGAACTTTAATAAGACCTTATTATAACTTAGCTAAATAAAAGGTCTTTTAAAGCTTATATTTATTTAAAAGAAGGTAAAATAATAACTAATTATCTTTTAATTAAAAAATAAAGAATTTTTAACTTTTATTAATATTATTAATACTGCTAGCTAGGCTATCCCTTCCTTTTTTATCCTCTTTATAAAAGTTATACTTAAAGACTATACTATAGCTTTTATTAATAAAAATATAGTTATTATGCAGATATTAACTAGCTTTAATAACAGTTAACAGGCCCTGCAGTAGCTATAACACTTTAACTATAATTCCTTTGCCTTAAGCCTTAGTTTTAAAGGCTTTATAGTTAAGAGCTAGTTTAGCTATATAGTAGATATTATATAATTAACCTAGGAGGTATTAAAACTCTACTAGTAAGGCTATATTAAAAGAATAATAAAAATAATATGCTATTTATTACTTATAAATAGTTTTTTTACTTATAAGGATCTTAAATTTATATAGTATTATAATTTATTTAATATTATTCCTTTTAAGCTTCCTTCTTATACTAGTTATTTCCTTTAACCTTTTAATATTAGTATTTATTAGTATTTTAAGTAGTAGTAGTAGAAGTTACTTTAAGACTTTATCCTAGCTAGTAATATAAATATTATAAAATATAACTTCCTTTATTAATAAGATAAGATATATAAGGCTGCCTTCTAGGCTTATTATATTTATATTAGATTTAAGAAGACTAGCCTTTAGCTGCTAGACCTTAATATAGTATTATTACTACTATGCCTTAGTTAAAAAGACTAGTAAGAGCTGCTTTTACTTAGTCTTATTACTAAGAATATAATCTTACTATAATTTATAAAGAGGTTAGCTAAATTTATATAAAAAAAGCTTAAGATCTTAAGTAGCCTAACCTAAAAGGTTATTAATAGCGCACTAGCTTATATTAATTATATAATTATTATAGACCTTTAAAATAAATGCATTTAATAACTTTAGGAATATTAAATATAGCAAGAGGCTTACTATATAAAGACTTACTGCTAGGTTTAAGGCATTAGTAATAGCGCTTATATAATTACCTAGCTTTATAATAAGGTAGCTGCCTAATAGCAGCAGAAAGTAAATACTAAAGCCTAAGCCTAGTATTATAACCACTAAGGCTAGATTTAACAGTAACAAGCCCTTAAAGCAGCTAAGACCTTATTTAAGCTATAACTGCAAGGCTGCGCTACTGCTATTAAAAAATAGCATTAAGAAGAGGCATTTTAAGCCTATTTATAAAGTTAATAAATATAGGAAGAGAAGGATATAATAAAGCTTTATAAAAAGTAGTAGGATAAGGCTAATAATACTAAGCGGCATTATTTTTTAATAATAATGCTAAAGGATAACCTTTATAATATCCTTAGTATTAAAGCTTAGGCAGAAGAGCATTTAAATAAGACTAAATTTAAAAAGAAAGATAATATAAAAGAGGAAGCTTTACAGTCTCTTAAAGCAGGCTATTTTATAATACTATTATTTAATAGCATTAACAGCAGTAGTAATAATAAGGATAATAATAACAGTAATATTAAGATTATTATAACTTCTGGCTATATAATAATGCCTTTTATATAATATTTTAATATTCCTTAATTCTTTTAAATAAGCATACTTAGTAAAGAATATAATTAAGAAATAAATAAGGAAATTAATAAGGATTTAAAGGCATTATAAATATAAAAGTTATTATTAAAGGATAAGCCTTTTATTATAATTATAAGGTATAAAATTAGTATACTGCATACCTAGGCATATCCTTTTAAATAGTTTAAATTATAGATTCTACCTTTTTTATACTTTTAATTATAATAAAAATTATATTATAAGAAACTTTAAATACAGACCTATTTATATATTATTTCCTTTTTTTAAAAGTAATTAATTTAGTGTTATAGTGATGCAGTTAAGTTATAAAGGTTAGATATATAAAGGCGTAAGATATAAATTAAATTCCCACCTCTCTTATAAAGAGAGGTGGGGGCTTTGTGGCCTAGCTACTAATTAACCCGCCGAGTACATCTCGGCACTCTGTTCCTGCATCTTGAACCCGCGGCTGCGAAATGATGGCGTCAATGACACGCCCAGCCTTTGACGGCCCGCAAGATTGCAGGTTCTACTGCGTCCTTACTGCTTCGAGCTGCTGGATTCGGGGTTCAGCACCACCAAGGATCCACTGTCTCGAGCCGATAATCTCGAGTATGGATGGATGCCCGTAAAAAAGGGGGGGCCCTTGCACTGCCTTTTGATCTCTGCTCTGCTCTGTATGTATTGTTCGTTCGCCTCTTGTGCCATGATGTACATACGTCCTCTTGCAAGCCAATGCACTGTATGTAATGTCATCTAGTCTCTTGCGAGATAAGTCTGCATCCGCTTCGTCTGGTGTGGCAACTGAGAAAAGAACTCGCCATGATAACCGGTTGCGTGTTTGTTGCTGATCGCCCAGCTAACGGACCCCCTTTTTCGGCTCTCCGTAGGTGATGTAGCTGCACAGTACAGAAAATCGCCCGATATGACTTGACAAAATACACTGTGCCTCTCGTACCAGGTTTCAGTACCAGGTACTGTAGGCAACTTCTCGAACGTGCCGGACAGCGCACTAACCTGACTGCTGCAACTCCCGTCTGCTTTCGTACTGGGTACATACAGCGCGCAGTCTCGCACTTTCAAGCACCTGCAAGATTGAACAGAACAGAACGTGGAGGCACTTCCAACCTGTGATGTGACCTCAACCGTTTTCTTCCCCTTCCATACCTAGGTATCTTATGCAAGGCGCCACAACTTGAACCGACCAACCAACATCTTACATACCTACATACTACCGCATAGTACTGCATACACACAACACACACACACGCACATTCACCTTACACCTTGCAACTGGGCGCTCGCCGGCTGATTACGGGCGAGTCGATGCTAAGAGCTTTAGCTGCCGCTCTGGCTGGAATGACGCTAGGCCCAGCCTTGCACCACGGAATTTAACCTGCCTGCTCCCCTGTGTCGCGAGTCAACCGACTCCAAGACCCCTTTGGCCTGGACACAGCATCAACCGCAATTGATAGCACAGCATGTCTGCCAACAGCTTCTACTTCGCCGGTAAGCGCCTCTGATTTCCCCGATTGCGTCGTCGTGTCGTCAGTGTTCTGTCTGTCTGCCTGCCTATCTGTCTATCTGCCTGTCCCGTTTCGTTTCGTCTGCATCCGCCATGCGTCGTGTTTCTTTTCTTGTTTCGAGAGCGGGAGGATCGGTGCCTCGTCTTTGTGTGTGTATCTCGTCCCCCGATGCCGCGTTGCCAACCAGCGCGCAGCGGAACACGAGAGAGAGAGAGAGAGATCGCAAGCAAGATTGCACACGCATGGCCGGCGCCAGAGACGCGCAAAGGGGCGCCTAGGCGAATGGGAGATGACCTCCCGCCTGCATAATGACTCTCATCATCAGGTCGAAACAGCTCAAGGGGCCCAAGCGGACCGCGGCGCCGCAGCCAACGCCGCCCAGCCAGAGCATCTCGCCATTGGCCGTCCTGCTGTGTCATGTAGACGATCACGGCATGCCGTCCTTGTTTCATGTTTGCCCATCGCTCGCCTATCTGTGCCTGCACCCGTCCGCGACGCCAGCTGATGTCGTCTCCTATAGGGCAGCAACCCGCCTCCTCCCAGGCGCCCGGCCTGGCCTTCAACGCCGCCGGCAACGGCAGCAGCAATAATAACACCGACAGCCTCGCCTCCAACAACCCCTTCCGCAACTATCGCGCCACCTCTCCCGGCCTCATCGACGTCTCCTCCTTCCCCACGACGCCTACCTCTCCCTTTGACGACCCGATGCCGTCCCAGTCCCAGCGCCCTCTGTCGAGGAACCCGTTCCTCGACCAGCCTCTGGCTCCGCGGCCTGTCGACGCCGCCGCCGCTGCTGCTGCTGCTGGACCCAAGACGCAGTCTCTCACTGCCGAGGAAATCTTTGTGCGTCCGCACCCCTCCCTTCTCACTGGCCCAATGGGCCACCGTTCCTCCTCGCCCATCCATGCTTTCTGGTGTAGCAGAGGGAGGCAGTTTGGGGGGACTGACCCCTCAAAGCTTGTGCGACAGCAACCCGAGTGCTAACGTCACTGTGTGATAAACGTAGGGATCCCTGACGCTCGATGATTCTCCTGCGTTTTCAACCAAGCAACCCTTCGATCCGCAGCTGATGAAGAAGCGCCCTACCGACCGACCAGCGCCACCTCGCCGTGAAAGCGAGAGCCAGGTGTCTTCGCGAGCTGCCGAGAAGCATCGCCCTACTCGCTCCCAGGAAGAGGCCCTGAGGGCTCGCAAGCCGCCCCCGTCAAAGGCAAAGCAGCCAACAACCCGCCCCAGCCTTTTGGACGATTCGCCGCCTCGCAAGCCCGTGCAGCGACGCCCGAGGCGCAACTCGGACTCGTCCGTCATGGACTTTGATAGCAAGTCCCTCACGGCCGAGGAGAAGCGCATGATCGAGGCCCGACGCCGCGAGCGTAACAAAAGCAAGGCGACACGCCCCAGCCGCAAGATGGACATTATCGACCAGCTGGACGCCACCAGCATCTACGGAACAGGCTGTATGTATACACACATTTCCCGCCATTACACCCCCCCGTCCATTCGTCTGCTGCAACTCACTCCCCTCGACAATGCCCTCTACACTCTTTGTCGTTACTGACCCCCGGCCCCGCAGTGTTCCACCACGATGGTCCCTTTGATGCTCTGAACCCTCATCGCAACAGACAGAACAGCAAGAAGCTGTCTCCGATGCAAGCATTCCCCGAGGGTTCCCTCAACAACACTCTGGGCGGCTCTGGCCCCCTCAATGCCCAGGCCGATCACTCGACCTTTATGGGCCAAGGCAATGAAGAAGCCTTCCGTGACTATGCAGCCAGCGCAAAGGCCAAGAGCGCCAAAGAACCCGTCATCTTTGATCCGCAGGCTCGCGCACCCCTGGTGCACGGCGACGAGACCCACGGCTTGGGCACTTCGACTTTCCTTGAAGGAACGCCGGCTGCTCGAGCGGACATTGTCCGCCGACAGGCAGAGCAGGCCCAGGAGATTGCTGAAGGCGGCCTGCAGCGGAAGAAGTCGGTGGCTCAGAGAATCAAACAGAGAGTCAGGCCCGACTACAGCAACCGGCCCATGCCCGGCCACGGCCGCTACGACTCGGACGATTATGGCTTCAGCGAGGAGAGGATCTCCGTCCCCAAGCCTCCTCCGCGCGAGCGAGAGGGCCGACTTTCGCCGCCCCCCATGCCGCGACGAAACTCGGGAAGTGCTCTGGAGTCGCGATCGACTGGAGAGGGCATGGCGTCGCCGATCGATGAGGCCCCTGCCAAGCCATCTGGCCTTTTGGGCCGCATGAAGAGTCTCAAGGGAGGCAGGCGACCAAACAGGAACGCCGAGGGAGGAATGGCCTCCTGAAGCAAGTCTGAATTTGCATTTAGCGGAGCGTGCGTATGACAACGTGAGCTGGACGGACGATACGAAAGCTTCGGTTCCATGGTCCATGAATATGATATCCCACATGATGTTGAGAGAGCCGACAAAGGGGGTTTTAAAACGTTTGGGCATGGGAGATGCCTGTCGATTCAACGGTTTGAGCCTTGCTTATCCGTCGGGGCCCGCAAATGAAGACATGTCTTCTTGTCACGTCTGAGCCAGCGGGCTGTGTACTTAATATATGAATGGTCTCTTTCTTGTTCTTTTGATTTTCTGCGATACTTGAAGAAAGAGAGAAAAAACCAACTGTTTGAGGACTTCGGGAAGCATGGCAGCTTTTGGGGTTTCTTTGTTTCTTTTCTTGCGCGCTCTGTCTCCGTCATTTTCTTCTTTCGGCTGGAGGTGCGAACCAGATGGAACTTTGAGTCAGCTTAGTATCAACGTGTTTGAGTATTCTGTTTGACTTGGAGGCCGCGATGGCATGACTTGAAGCTTGCCTTTTTGTTCCACATGTTTGCTTGCCTTTTTATTTCACATGTTTGCTTATCCTGCAGGCTCGGGCGTGGGCTTGGTTTTTCGGTTTGTTCACCAGTAAACAAGAAGATGTAGATTTGTGCTGTAGAATCAGTAAAGCAACGAATCGCATTCTGTGTTGATGATTTTCCATTCATGATTGATGGGCTATCATTATAAGAGTGGTGTTAGTCTTGAGTATGTGCATGTAGCAATACTTTTCTGCCATGTCCGCTCTGGCTGATTTATTTCTACCTTCTCCACATCCCATGATCCAACCACAGACGTACAACAAACGATATTCTTCTCCCTAGCCATTGAATTCTTCTGAAAACCTTTCACGGGCCGCGCACCTGGTGATGCCAATGACGGGATTGAAACTGAGCATCGTATGATGAGCTGATCCCTTGGGACTCGGCGCCTGTCCGATTGACCGGATATTCATTCAATCTTGATGGTGGCATCACCCCCAAAGGAAGGTCACACATCACTGCGATCTCCAGACCTAAGACGCCAGGTTTGAGACACACGCGCGAACTTGAAGCTTGCTTGGGCACCACCTAGCCTTGCCATTACCCTCCATGGCTTCATCAGCCCACAGCCCGCAGCTCCCAAAGCCATCTCGGCCGAAACCCGTCTCGGCAGCAGCCCTCGCGAGGATAGAGAAGCAGCGTCGGGACATTGTGAAGCGCCTGGGCCCGTGTCCGAGCGGATGCAGTGATCTGGACGGCTATGTCCTCCTTGGCGGACTGGAGCGAGGGAGCGTTGTTGGGATCAGTGCCGAAGAGGAGGATGTTGTGGGTGTGACGGTGAGTTTGCTACATTCCTACATATAAGAGAACCAGACGTTGAGCTCGAGAGTGTTGGCTGTATATATTTCTCGTCACTCATACATATCCGAAATCTTCTCCTAATTACCTTGTATATCAACGAACGAATGCTGATTCTACGGCCACGATAGCTAGGCTTACAGATATCCATATGCTCCCTCCTATCCAAGGCCGTCCACAAAGTCCAGATTGTGACGCCCAAGCCGCCCAGCACCATTCTCGTGCTGCTCAAGAACGCCATTGCCGCGGAGCTCAAGGCGCAGGGCGTCACGGCCGCCGAAGACGTTGCGGCGCAGAGGAGGGATTGCCTGGACAGGATCATGCTCTCGCGCGTGTTTGACATGGATGGGTTTTGCGAGGTGCTGGCTGATTTGGAGGATGGGCTCCCGGAAAGGGGGGTCGATGGTGAGAATGTGCGAGCGGTTGAGGAGTCGACTGGGGACAAAGCTCAGGATAACAAGGACATTGGTGGTGGTGGTGCTGCTGCTGCTGCTGCTGCTGCTACAAGTGTAGAGCGTGAGCCAGGGCAGCAGCCTCCTGTCGTTGCTGAGATTCAGGACAGCCAAGACGAGGACGAATCACTTTCTCCTTTACCAACACCACCTCAGCCCGCCGTTCAAGACGAGATACAGCAGGAACACACGGTAGATCAAGCCGAAGCACAGACTACAACCGACATACCCGGCACCATCATCATCAACAACAACAACACCACTGCCACCGATGTACCCAATCACAGAGCGACAACAACAACAACAAACCCCGACATCATCATCGTCACCCACTTCTCCTCCCTCCTCACCAGCTTCTTCACCCAGCGCGACAAGCCCACCGCCCACGCCACCATCCGCCACCTCTCCGCCCGCCTCCGCCGCCTCTCCAGGACGCTACCCTCGCATCCTCTCGTGCTCATCATCAACTCCACGGACTCTGGTGCGGCCGCTCATTCCTCTGCCTCCCACGGCCACGAGATCCCCCCGTCAGAACAGTCTCCCGCGCATCACAATAGGAACAACAACAATCACAAATCCCCGCCGGCAGTGGCCCCGACGCTCCGCTCGATTTTCAACCCGGCTACGGCTTCTGGACAACAGGGCTTCTTCAAGCTCAACAAGCCAACCTTTGGCCTCGTCTTTACGCAGCTGCTCGACCTCCACCTTCTCTGCACGCGGGCTCCGCGTCCCCCCCGCAAGGAAACAACTGCGTCGTCGCGTGCGTTGACGGTGGTGGAGGTGCTGCTGGATGACACTGGCCTGTGGCAAGGCGAAAGGGGTCGTAGGAGGCGGAGGGAGCAGCGCTGGACCGTCGTGGAGTCTTCATCCGGCCGGATCGTCGATGCCGTGGACGGTGAGAGGCTTCGAACGAGCGGAGGGAGGACAAGTTGAGATTGATGCGCGTAGCATTGTCTGCTCCATTGTAACATTCCATACACTTCCTTTCATCATCACCGCCTCTCCCCATTACCAGGAGCCCAGCAAGCTTCACACGAGCTCAAACAGCGTCGTCGTTCAGCGTCGCCTACCAACCATAGAACAAACTCAATACAGGCGAGGCCGATGCTTCAAGTTTGTAGGATTCCGCATATAGCACGAGATATACAAATGAGTCAATCAATCAATCAATCAATCAATCAGTCAGTCAGTCAGTCAGTCTACCTCCAATTATAAAGCACTCTGCTTCCAAAATGTACCAGCCGCTACGACCCCCTTCCCCCACGCATCCTCTGAGAGTTTGAAGGAAAAGGCTCAACCCCTTTTCCACAACAAGTACAAGCCTTTCCTTCTTCCACCTCACCTTTCTCTCCCTCCCACTCTCTCTCTCTCTCTCTCTTTCTTCCAGAATGGCCATGAACAGGCCGACTCGTTCACTGACTGCCACAGTCCGGCCAAACCACTCACAAACGATAAAGCAGCACAAAAGGGGAGAGGGCAACCAAAAGAACCGCGAGGAGGAAATTAAGAAGAGTACTAAACACAGAACGATGCAACGCGAGCCCGCTGCGTAATGCTCCCAGGTGATGATTGTTTTAGCAGCGGCGGGCTCCTTGCTCTTCTCTGCGCCTATGTAAAGCGGCAAGCCTTCCCTGTTCCCAGCCCGACCAACAACTCGCAGTGCTTCATACAAGGTATGTAATTGGGAGGCAAAGAATAAAGAGAAATAAGTGTTCGACAAACAAGTGTTTTCCCGCTCAGGCATACTGCTCTCACCGATGAGACGCAATATCCTTGCGCTGTCATGGAATACAAGAAGGATTTCCTGGAAATTAAGAGATCTAAAATGTCAAGGAACAAGGACTACCACTATCGCGGCTGTGCAGATTGTGAAGGCGGCAGCGCACCAAAGACGTCTGACCGTCTGTTGCTCTGCCAAAAATCAATGGACTCGACTACATCCTCGCCCCGTTCATCTTCGTAGGCGAACAAAATCTAGATGACGAGTTAGCAATGAACAAGGCTTGTAGTAGAACAGGTCGGAAACAGCCACATACCTCGTGAGTGCTGCTGTGGAGCATCCGGATATTCTTGTGCGGCACAATGTGCACGGCGCCGTTCTCAATGTTGCGCAGCTCGATAAAGTTAGGCTCAAAGGCCAAAATCCAAGGATAGCTGAGCGCAAAGCTCTGAGGAGAACCCTCCCAGTCGATTCTCCATTCCGGCCGGGCCCTCCAACCGTTTCGGTTGACGAAGAAGGAGAACTCGGAATAGTTGAGGAGGAACTCTCCGTTGAGACGCTCGATGTGGATGGGCTTAGCACCTTCTTTGCGAGCCACGAAATCCAACGAAGTATCCGCTTGGTCGAGGAGTGACTGCGTCTCAAGAGTCTCCAAGGACACAACCTCGAAACCCCTGGCGCAAGCCACGCAAAGCTTGGACTTGAGGAAGTGGACAGAGGACGATTCTGTCGGGATATAAAACTCCTTGAACGGCCTCAGCTCGTCAAAGCCGCCGCCCATCAGCTTGCCGAGACCCTTTTGCTTCTTGCCCTTGGTCATGGCATCGTTAGGCTCAAACACCTTGATTGTGGTAGACAAGGTGGAAGACTTGACGCAGCATACGAGATGCCGGCCCATGCAGATGCCAGACTTGAAGAAACTACAATGGTTCTGGATCTTCTTAGGTCTCTTGGCCAGAGCAGGATCATCTGATGTCAGCGCAGAGAGGGAATACGACTGCAGTGTCTTGTTAGAGAGCACAAGCAGAAGTTGGTATTCTTCAAGAATATCAATCTGGGTGACGTTGGCCGCTTCGAGAACGCGTCGGGGCACTGCATCCTTGTTCTTGCGATCCGACATGTAAATGCCGTTATCGGTACCGTAAAGAAGTTTGCGACCACCGTCTAGCAAGCAGCGTTAGATACGAGCTGTCAAGTGTAAAGGGAGGGTAGAGCAAGGGGGGAGGGGAGAAAGCCATGAGAAATGGCATTCAGTGGCTTACCAAAGGGTGAGACGCAGTTGACGCGGTTGGTTCCCACAAAGAAGTTGCTCGAAATCACGTTGGTGGTGAAGAAGTCTGCCCGGGCCCGGAGACGCTGCTGCGCCGCATCAATGTATTCGAGCCACTTCTTACGAGCTGCTTGGTTTGAGGCGTAGACAGTCAGCTCGTATCCAGCCTTGCCAAGATGCCTAAAGGTGATCGGCCAGCCCTCTCCCTTCTTCGCTTCCGAGGCATTGGGTCGTATGACTGGTAAGATGCTGGAAGCCGAGCGCTTGACGCCGCCGTCCGACGGTATCACTTCTTCCATCTCGCGGATGGACAGCAGCTCCAGCGGGATCGGCCGTCGATATGCCTTAACTTCTTCGGTTTTGCCAGTCTGCTTTATGCGAACAAGCAAAACAGCGTGATCGAAGAGGAAAGCAGTGAGTTCGGCAGGGTCGGTGGGTGACTTCCTGAACTGGCTCTTGAACACGAGCTCACGACCCTCTTCGGTAAGCTTCAGGTCAACCCGCTCATTGGGTCGGAATCGAAGCTGCTCCTGCAGCCTTCGCAGGTTGAACCGGTTCTCGGCTTTACCAGACTCTGCATTGACTCTTCCGAGAAGGTCTCGGATGAGGGTGAGGACCTTTGGAATGTCTTCCTTGTCCGGGTTGCCATCTTCAGTGTACTTCAACACGTTCTCGAGCAATAGAGGATATCTGGCCAGACGTGTCGTCGGCTTGGTGAGGTAACCGTTGAGCTCTAGCTTCCTCGATTCTTTCCGCCGCTCAATCTCGTCTACCAGCTTGGAGAAGAAGGGGTTGATTGATCGCTCAGCCTCGAATTCGAACTTGGCCTCCAGCTGCCTGGAACCGTAATAGATGAAGGGCTCGAACTGCGGCACGAACTCCAGGAAGATATCACCAATGTTATGGACAATAGGGTCCTTTTGCTGTCGGGTAGTAAGAGAGCTTGCAAAGCGCGAGCTGACACCGTGGACGCTCGGATGGTCGATGATGTTGCTGAAGATATTCTTGACCACTCTTTCTCGGCGTTGCAGGGGAATCGGGGAGGCCTTTGACCGCAGAGGGATGATCCAAAAGTCACGGAGGTACTCAAGGTCCTTGACGAAGTCTCGCTCCGTGTAGCATATCTCGGATATGACCTCTTGTCGCTTCTTCTCCCGCTCGCTCACCGCGTCAGCGATCTCCTTAGGCACGGAGTTGATCCACAGCTTTTGCTCGTCCGTCTGGTCAACCTCCTCATCGTTGACATTCGCCGAGTCTTCCTTGCGCAGCCCTCCTGGGTTAACCTTCAGGTTTAACCTAGAAACCTGCTCTAGTCGTCTAGGGCAAGCAATGGAGTAGCAGAGCTGGTCTCTTGTGCAAGTGGGCGAATAGCACTCTGAGAGCAGGACAAAGACACCGTTGACGGGGTTTTTGCCCTCGGGCTCGTCCATGAGCGTCTCTCGGAACTGGTACATTTCTGACTGCGAGTCTCGTAGACGATGCTCGTAGGTCACATCGTGGAAGAACTTTTGCGCATCCAGAGCTCGGCCGAGCAGTAGAGCCAGATTTCGGTCGGTAGTCCTGATGATGTAGGACAGCACGTCGACCGCCTCTGAGCCACTAAAGGCGTTCTTATACGTAAGCTCGTTCTTCGTCCTGTCGCCCACGTTGATTTTCTGCCGGAAACACTCAGCCACTCTCGAGAGGAGAGCTGGGTAGACAAGCGGAGGGCGGATTTTGGTCGTGGCAGTCGTCGGGCGCTCGCTCTCAATCGACTTGCTCCTCGACGGCCTCTGCACAAGAGTGCCGGCGTCGGACTCGGATGGGGCTATTGTTGAAGTTGTCGAGGCCATGGAGAACGTCCTTGCATGATCACCAGTCGAAGAAGCCATGCTCGCCGTGCGAGTCTGGGTACCTGGCATAGGGGCATAGCCGTTGTGAGCGGGATATCCGGCCCCTTGGGTGAGCTCGGCCGGCGCTCGTCGGTTGGGAATGATTCGCCCACTCATAGTTTGTTGACCGTCGCCTTCTCGAGGGTGGTAGATTCCCGTCAACGACATTGTGCGATCCTCGTGTCGTTCCGGTACCACCCTGCCCTGAGCGGTCGTCCTGGATTGGGCAGCATGCTGATACGGTGCTTGCCGAAACTGGTTTGCAGATGATTGTTGAAAGTTCTGCGCCGGGGGATACATCTGTGGCCGAGGCATGGCAGCCAGAGACTGCGATCGATATGGGTCGCTGTTCAAGGCAGGACCCGGCCCTGGTTGATGCAGCCTAGGAACCGGACCCCTGGGGCCTCCGGATGGCAGCGGCGGGCCACGTGAATCAAACCGGGGAGGCGGCGCGCCTGGAGGCCCCGGGTAAGGGCGCCTCGCTTGCTGATGCTGCTGCTGCAAGTATTGGGCTTGAGACGAGGGAACTTGAGGCCCACCATTAGAAGCCGAGCGTTGGCCCGGATAATGGCCGTTTGCCATGTGGTTGTTGTCGGCCGGTCGAGGTCGAGGGGGCTGCTGCTCGTTGTAATATCCCTGGCCTGGGCGAGGAGGTGGCTGGCGATGCATGCCGGAGGCGGACGACATTGTGTGCGTCCGTCCCTGGTCAAGCATTGGCGGGACAGAGGCCGATGTCATGGTCTGGGACCTGCCCGGAGGGGGGGCAGCGCCAAAGATGTTCGAGAACGCGGCATCTCGTTGGTAGTTTCCATTCTGATCGGGATAGCCGCGCTGGCGTTGTTGGCCAGGAGGAGCCCGCGAGTTATACTGATAGTCGGCCATGCTTGTTGCGCTGCGAGAGGAGCGAGATCAGTCAGACGACGGGTACTCGGAGAGAGAGTCAAAGGAGAGGGGAGACAAACAAGGTCAGGCGTGAAGCGCCGAGGCAGCTGCTGGGCGGTCAGAATGCTCACGCCCACAGCCAGCAGCGTTACCTCGCGTTCTCGTCGCGGGAAGCCGTGCGGAGGGTACAAGTCGACGCCCCCCAGGCTCAAGGATGTGGCGTCTCCCCTTTGAAGATGATCTCTCGGCCGTGCCAGAAAGGGGAGCGGGTGGCGGAGCGCTTGTCTCCCTTTCTCGAAGGCGTTTGCAGCTGCCGGACCAAGACGGATAAGTATGCAACGCCTCTGTCGATGTCGCTACGTCGTAGCCTTTGGACGGAGGAGGGAAAGACGCTGCGTCGTGTCAAGAAGGTGGCATCAGGGGAGTGGGCGCAAGATTTGCTTGCGGCGTGGGTGACGGATGGCGGTCGCGATTTTGAGCCCCAGAATGGCCTTGCTGCTGCTGCTGCTGCTGCTGCTTCTTCTGCGGTAGAACAGACGCCTCACGAGCCACGGCCGGCAAACGATCAAAATCGACGAGACTGGACAGCTGGACCGACAGACTCTGGCTGGCTGGCGACCGAGCGACCTACCCGTGCGGTCAGTAAAGGTGGCTTGGCTGCTGCGATCTATAACCTGCTCGAGGGATAGTAGCAAGGTTAGTGGTAGGCACTTGGAATAGGTAGCTGGGGGGGGGATGAGAAGTGGTCGCCGCTGTGCAGAAGTACTGGACTAAGGGATACAGGTGGGTTGGGTGCTCCGTGCCTGTTTGGCGGCGTGCAGTGCTGTCCACGGGTGCTGTTTGGCACTACCGCACCGCCTGCAGGGGACTCGAACACGCCTGGAAGACCATGCGGAGCGCCACTGTGGGAGCCACTGGGCGCTCTGAACTGACTACTAGTGTACTGGTACCAGGTACTAATAAGACACCCAGACGTTCTGGAGCGAGCCCGTCATTCGGTGCCTCCACTTTGATAAGGCACTGCCGGACACCCTGATATGATCCAGTACCCAAGGTATTAGTGGGGAGAATTGGAATTAATATACTAGATAGAGCTGATTGAGTATCCCATTCTGATCTTTAAGGCAAATGGAAGGCAACTTGGGTGCTCTAATGGACACGGAGAGCAGACGACAATCTGAAGTTGAGCATCGCAGCAGTGCCTGTCTGATGGGTCGTGGGGACGAGGAGAGTCGCACGAGGCCAGAGCGAGCCTACTGAGTACTGTCATCACTCCTGACAAGTACTGCTACCTTACTCATAGGTAGGTATCTTGAAGCGGATATTCAAGAGCGACCTCAGCTCAGCAAGCCGCTCAGCAGGAAAAACTTCGGCCATCCCTACGCCCTTCAGTTGGTACGCTCACGACGAAGGGAAAGTCAAACCACGTTCATACGCACTCTTTGGCACCGCCTGAGTACAGGTACGAGTGACCAACTAACGGAGCTTGAGTCTGCGCTCCGAAGCTGCGACAGACGATCCAGGGTAGCTGACCCAGCCAATCACAGCACGGGACGATCCCAACTCACGTGACCCGCAGTCCCGTCCATTGGCCATGATGACGCCTGCTTCAACACCGGACGCCGAAGCCTCTCATTCTCCCAACCTGTGGCGCGTGGTTGTGTCGTGAACCGCCTCTTCTTCTATTTCCCTGCTACGGCGATAGCTACAGCTACAATCATGGAGTCCGAGCTTGCTCCCAAGTTTGCGCCCTTTGTCGGGATGGTGAGTGCTCCTCTTCTGCGCCCAACGGGGCCCCTGACAGCAGTTACCTGACACGCTTTGATCCAGGGCGGCATCGCGGCTGCGATGATATTTGGATGTACGACTTTCTATCCCTTGCCCGACTTTGCCCTCGGCTCTGCTAAACATCGTGTTATCATGCTAGGTGTCGGTGCGGCGTATGGCACTGCGAAGTCAGGAATTGGTATCGCCGGCGTGGGAACCTTCCGGCCGGATTTGATCATGAAGGTACGGCGAGGACGCCCAAGCTTCTTAATCGTCTTGTTGTCGTTTGTTGAAACCCAAACTGATTTACGTAATCCAGTGTCTGATTCCCGTCATCATGTCCGGTATCCTGGCCGTCTACTCGCTCGTCATCGCAGTCCTCATAGCCGAAGATCTCGCTGCTCCGTCATCGAAGAGCTACAGTTTATTCACGTTAGTCGATTCGAGGCGGTGCTTTCTGTGCTACATACTTACTAACATCCGGCATAGGGGCTTTATGCACCTTGGCTGCGGCTTGTCCGTAGGACTGACTGGGCTCGCGGCTGGATACTGTATTGGCATTGTCGGCGATAGTGGCGTCCGTGCCTATATGGCCCAGTCGAGGATATTTGTTGGCATGGTGTTGATCCTCATCTTTGGCGAAGTACTAGGACTCTACGGGTAGGCCGTCTCGCTCTATTCGCTCTCGACTCAGCTAACCCTTGTGCTATAGGCTCATCGTTGCGCTTTTGCTTAACACCAAGAGTTGAACTCGACACACTGAGGACGGACATGCTCTTTTTCACTGTTTCACGGATGTTTACAACCAAATGGCCCCGGTCAATGTTCAATGTTCCTTTAAGTTGTTCTCTTAGACGCCGTGTACAATCTCAACTGAGTCGACGTGGCGTGCCTACTTACTACGCGCCTCGAGAACGGTGGATTGCGCCGATATGAACGGGCTGATCAGGGCTACCGGGAATTTGGCAGGTTGACGAGGCTCCTGTTGAAGAGGCTATTACACGCAACCCAGGGTCCTGGCAGCGTAGAGTTGGGCATCAGAGCGACTGGAAGATGATCACCACGCTGCAGGCTTTCCTCTACTAGCACCTTTTCCTTACAAGCTACGAGACCGGAGTAATGTTAATACTAGGTACGAGGCAGTAGCACGAATAGACAACGGAATGATTAACAGTGGAGGTTCCCATTTACATTTCATAGACGACGTAAACTGCCTCAAGTTAGAGGCAGCTAGAATGAAAGAATCGACATCACTACCAGCAACGAGCAGTGTCCGACTTGTGCGAAACAGCAGATCAACCCTCCTCTATAGTAGCCGCCCGCCGATTCGCCTGAACAACGTCTTCCGCCGGCTGTTGGTCGCCTCTTGTCGAAACCGAGTCCAGTTCCTCTCTCGCTCCTCCCACGTCTTCATCTGAGCCAGCATCCAATCCCACTGCTTGTCTTCCTCCCTCAACATGCTCTCGCCAACCTCGCGAGCTATCCTCTGCTGGCGGGCCTCGGCAGCCGCTTGCTCGCCCACCAGGTAAGGATCCTCCAGCGGACGGACAACATGGCCCTCGCCGTTGTCGCTCTGCCGGGTTATCGTAGTGTCCCGCATGCCCACCACTTCAGCCGCGGCCTGGAAGCGTCCGTCAATGACGCGCCTCTCGGCGACCTTGCGGTAGTGACGGGCTGCCGGGGCGCTGCCGGCGGACCACGTTGGGATGCGGAAGCTGTGGTCGTTGAGGACCCTTGGTGAAGCTAGAGGCGGAAGCGGCGGCAGGCCAACTGGCTGTCTCCCGGTCAGGGAGCTTGATGCTGCGGAGAAGATTTGCCGCGGCGTCGAAGCTGCTGCGGTTGATGATGATGATGATGTCGCTGTTGTCGTCGTTGTCGTCGCTGTGCTTGTTGGCGCCGCCGGCGTGTATGCTGGAGAGGCCTCACTGTATGTAATCCTCGAGTGGTATGAGGGCACCTCCGAGACTGTCTCTACCGTCAGCGACTGTGAACGGTGCCTTGTCTGAGCATTCACCGCCATTACGTCACACTAGCCGAGGTGTTTCCCAGCAACCTGCGATATTGTCCGAATGGATGCGATTACGGGGGTTCAAACGTACCGTAAGAAGGCGCCGCTGAGCGGATTGAAGCTGTATCAAAGTCATCGGCGCTGTACCGGGGAGCAGATACGTGGGCTGTCATGGCGATGGCGAAGCAGGTGCTTGAGAGCACCGAGGCAACGGAAACGCAGTAGATGTATTTCACGTCCTCCAACGTTGAGTTTATACAGAGAGCACGCAGCCAAAGGAGACGAAGCAATATCAATGCAAACTCGGACTTGAAGCAGAGTGAGAGTAAGAGAATACGCAGAAAGATCGAGGCGGCGAGGAAATGTGCCCGCTTTAAAGACGGTCAGCGGAAGCTTGGTCACTGCCAGCCGGGGGGGTTGGCACCGTTGTAGATGCCGTCACAGATATGCGGAATATGGAGCAGGACGAGGAGAGCGAACGGGGGGGTTGACGACGACTTTCTCGGCGCAATCCAGGGGGAGAGAGGGGGGGGCATATGTACGCTTTTATGTTGTTTAATGCAGGGCGGATTCACAGCTGAGATGCGGCAGCCAACGAGCCCATCACGCGACTCTGGTCTCTCCGCAGACGGCTAAAGGTTACTGTATGTAGGTACGAGTACTACTCGTGCTGCACCATCGAGAACCGCGGGGGCGGGGAGAGGCGGCGGAGCAAGCTGGCACCCTTGGCGCATTGCCTAGAGCTTACCTGCGGGAGGAGGGACGAGGTCCGAGGGCGAATGAGCGGACGGCTTCGGGTCGTTTGGCGACCTTTGGGAGGCTTTACCGCCAACTCAGCCTAGTAACTGGGGCGGCTGCTGCAGGTGAGAGAGAGAGCTCGGTTGAGGTCCAGATGGTACCTTAGGTTGTTCAGTGGCTTCGGCTGGCTTGGAGTTTGCTCTTTGAGCTCCGTTTGTGTTTCTTTGTGCTGGCAGGGGATTGGCTGACATGTGCTTCCAGAATGCTCCGGCTTTGTACCGCCTGGTAGTAATGCTAAGCCCTGAGAATGGGATGATGGAACAGGATGGACTGTAACCGACTGAATGCTTGACATTGATGCCGAGGGACATTCTGTAGCTCGAAAGACTTGACTCTCCAACAGGCTGTTTGCTTGACGAATCCCCCGTGCATACTGAGTATCTCTTTGTGCGTACTCATACATGAGTACAACAATATCAGCAGAGATTCTTCTGCGAGATAAGGCAGGGCAGTAATAATAGGGAATGGCTAGCCAGCATCCCAACTTGGCTATCCAGCACCCCAGGATTTTGGTGAGAGGTACTAAGGTGTACTTCTGGTTACTGATAAGCTTTGACCGTTTACAACACCTAAAAATTTAAATCATAAGTAAAAACTGCATCAGAAAAAAGTCGCGCGTAAGGAGAAGAGAATGAGTGTCTTTTTTTTATAGTCTGATATCCTGATGCGGCACCTTTAAAGGTTAGTTTTCTGAAGAGGTAAGTATGAGTACTTAGCATGCAAGCGCTGAGTCAGCGGTAGTGAGGGTACTTCGCATAACATGCTGCTGCTGTACTCTTTGCAAGTACCCCGGGGTGCTGGATAGCCAAGTTGGGATGCTGGCTAGCCATTCCCTAATAATATGGTACCTGTACAAGCTGTACCAAGCAGCAGCTGGAAGAATACCTACCTACCTATCTCTCACGAGCATACCTACGGATGCAGTACCTTACAAAGTAGGTGCTCGCTCCGTACCTACCTACAGTAGTGAGTGGCACCCGACGTTGCGGTCTAACCAGGGATCAAATTGGCCCGATTAGCCGTTTGTTGCGCAATTCATTGTTTGCGAGGTACTCTGTTTGGGTGGTATGAACGTGTACCGAGTACCTGCCTGTCTACCTACTAAGGTAGGTAGGTACCTAGTATGTATGTATGTATCTCAAGCTGTACTAAGCTGGATTGACCATGCTGCATGCAGTGCCTTATATACAGAGCTGCCTCCGTTTGCCCTTTTGATCTGACCCGACTGACTGCAAAAATATCCGGAATCCAGTGAGCAGAAGTGCCTTGCAGTGCTAGACAGAGTGCGGTGGAGTTGGGTTAGGTTGCGCTATCGAGACCGGGTCAGGTACCTCAGCTAGCGGGCAAAGTACCTCCCGTGTTAGCGTGTTGTGCAGTGACCGCGTAAAATGGTTCACGCAAAAAAACGCGTTGCTTCTCGCGCCGCTACAGGTACAACTTACTACTAGTAGAACATTCAAGTTCCAAAGTCTCCTCCACGGCAGCCTCTAGGTAATGCAGACTCGCGCGAGCAGCACAAGGCGCCAGCATGCTGCAGAGAACCCAGTTTATGCCATAGTTATGAAGCACATGTCCACTCCCTGATCACGGTTATGCCAACGTCCGCCCACTTGTGCAGCAGCCATGTCAGCCCGGGATTCAGAACCCCCAAGTGCGCAATCTGATGGCTCACGGCGTTCTCGCCATATGCCCGCGCGAGCAAGCCTGGCCGTGAGGCAGAGAGAAGAATCCCACTCCACCACGGGCGTCAAGCGGAAGCGCACGAATACCATCTCGGCAGCGGGCGCGTCGCCAGCTTCCACAATGGACGACAACGACGACGACTGGGACGATGTGTACGATCCAGACCAGCCGCTGGAGGAAAGGCGCAAGGTCCAGCAGGGATTCCGCGATCTCCTCCGCAACATCACAGAGCACAGCGAGGAATATCTGCAGGGCGATTCTCACGGCCTACACGAAACGATCCTGCGGGCGAACGAACTCTCCAAGCAAGTTCGGCAAACCACAGAGGCCACCATCGACTCGCGGTTGCTTGTCAGCACCACCGACCTGTCATATCGGAAGACACTGCGACTCACCCAAGGCAGCCTCTCGCAAGGCATTGACGTCGACGACTTCATATCGAAATGCATCGCGTACATGCGCAACGGCGGCGGGGTCGCGAGCGAGGACTCTCTAGAGCTTTCGAGCACGCAAAGGCAACGGAGGCGGACGATGCACGATGGAGCAAACGACGACGACACTGGCGATGTCGGAGACGAGGGCGACATGATGAACTGGGCCCATCTCGGTCGCTTCGCCTGCCTGCCGAACATCAGGCGACCCGCGCTGCCGGGCTTTCTTCTGGGCCCGTTGTCGGTGGAAAAGAAGGCACGCAAGGCGGCGAAGCGAAGCGCCCCGTTCCGCCCAAACAGCTTGACAGAGACGAGGCCCGAGATCCTAAACGTGGATGACCTGGCCAAGAAAGAAAACGACCTGACTGCCATTTGCGGCAAGATTCTCCAGCAGCTGTACAGGATTCAGGCTGAAACCCAGCAGACTGTGGCAGACCTCATCACTGATGACATGGATGATGAGGAGAATACCCGAATCATGCACCAGCACGGGCTTCGCAGTACTGGGGGGATTGACCTGATGCGGTTCGTGGTCAACCCAAAGTCCTTTGGACAGACGATTGAGAATCTCTTTTACGTGAGCTTTCTCATTCGGGATGGGAGGGTCGAGATTGCTTTTGACGATCACGACCTCCCTTCGTTAGGTGCGTTCTCCACCTGCGCAGTGCAGAGAGCAGACATGGCTTTCAAGTAAACGCGATTGTTCAACTGACACCGTCTTTAGCGCCGGTAGATCGAGAGGCAGAGGATACGGGAGCTATCCGGCAGGCGACATCGAAGCATCAAGCCATTTTCTCCATGGACATGGAAACGTGGCAAGACATCATCGACACACTGGGTCTCAAAGAACCCATGATTGAACATAGACGGGAACTGGCAGTTTCTGGACCCGGCGCCAGGGGCTGGTACGGTTAAAGATGGTAACCCATTGAGTTGCTGAAACGGTCAGCGACTCTTTGTGCCCGTGGAGATGCCGCCTCTCCCTGGCGTTTCATATAATTCTAGACAAAGGAGTGAAGGAAGAGAGACGGTGAGGACTTTGACCGAAAAAGTACAGACGGATTGTGCTCGTACGCTATGACCTTTTATTGCGCCCCTTCACCCTTGTGGTTTTGGGACTTCACCTTGTGCGTTCTTCATGCTGAAAGAAGCATGAAACGTTCACGACACTGGACAGAGTTGCGCGGTGGCAGTTATGTGAAGCATTGAAAATGGACAAAGAAGGCTTCTTTGGGACGACTTTTGGGACAAGGATTTCTGATGACACTGGAAACCATCTTTTTCTTTTCTGCGCTTTGTGAAGGCAGGCTTTTGTTATCCCGCATAGTTGTGGTGACGAGATAGGATGCTCGTGTGCATCCATTGTGTCTCTCCACGGCGGGAAACGCTCTCTACATGCCCTAGCAAGAGGACGTTATATCGTCGTGGCTAAGCGTATATATATATATATATATATAGACATGGCCGCTCCCATATGAACAAGGAACACCAACTTGATGTACTTCATGGCATTCCACTTATGTCCGATTCTCCCATCTTTCGCACCCCTATGCTGAACTGATCATGTCTGGATACGGATACGGTTACGGATCGAGGCGGGCTGAGCCCGACGAGGGGGAGGAAGAGGAGGAGGACGCTTGGGTATTCAAGAACCGCAACAAGAGAGACAGGACACAGTTCAAAGCCGGAAGTATCCCTCGGCCTGTAAGAAAGCTACGACGCGAGAAGAAAGAAGACGACGGCGACTCTGCAGCAGTTGCCCCCCCAGCCAAGGAGGAACAGCACGTCGACACGGCCGCATCCGAGGAGGCCGCGGCATTCATTCGTGCGTATGAGGAGCAGCGGGCGAGCGAAGAGGCGGCGACGTACGGAAACCCGCCGATCGATGACGAGAACGCTGATGGCGCATCTGCTCGAGAGGAAGAGCAGAGCCCGATTGTTGAGGACTTTGAGGCGAATCTCGATGATGTCCTAGTCATGGCAGCTGGTCCGTCGCTGGACGATGAGCTGGGCTCGGATTACGACGGATACAGCGACAATGGCGAGATCAACGAAGAAGCTGCTTCTGACGAAGACGATCTCACCATTGACTCGGTGGGTGCAAGTCCTTCGCCGTCAAGCAATGCTACGAGTGACGAGGCGAGTGATGCTGGGAACGATTTGGTTGAGTCTACCAGCACGGAACCGGCTCGGAGCCTGGAGGGTGACGTTTTGGAGATGCGCCGAGAATACGATGGCCTGAAGAAGGAATTGGAGTCTCGCAATGCAAGGACTGCAGAGCTGGAGGAGGAGCTGGAAACTCGCAGCAAGCGCGCCGAGGTACTGCAGACGGATCTGGATTCTCGAGACAAGCAAATCGCAGCATTGGCAAAGGACCTGGAGGCTCATGAAGAGAAGGCTACAGCACTGAGGGCAGATTTGGCTTCTCGTGACGAGCGGATCGCGGCATTGACAAACGACCTGGGTGCCCATGACGAAGAACTTGGACGGCTTGCAAAGGAACTGGAGACTCGCAAGAAGCAACTTATGACACTCACCAAAGACCTCGAAACTCGTGACCAGAGAGTTGCAGCACTGGAGAAGGACCTGGAGTCTCGCAACAAACAGAATGCAACACTGATCGATGACCTGGATGCTCGCGACAGGAAGCTTGCAGCACTCCAGAAGGAGCGAGAGGCTCACGACAAGGACATTGGCGCAATGAAGAACAGCCTGGAGTACCGCGACGAGGAATTTGCAGCACTGAAGAAGCACTTGGAGGCTCGGAGCAGCGAGATTGCAGCTCTTGAGAAGGAGCTGGGGTCTCGCAACGGGGAGTTGGCCGTACTCAAGAGGGACTTGGCACTGCGCGACAAGAGGATATCTGGACTGGAAGCCCAGAACTTGCAGCTCACCAATGGAACAAGCAAGACGGCCTCGACTCGGGACTCTGCCACCAACACCGAGGCATTCACCGGAGACGCTGTCTCACGGCCAGGCTCGTCTAGGGGAGTTGAGATTGATCAGCGACTCGTTACGGCTGAGCGGAAGCAATCATCATCACCAACGTCTCCTTCGGCCATGAAGACGGCCGAAGTGGTTCGATTCATCCAGATGATTTCCGCCATGTTGAAGGCCTTCTATATCGCCGGTATCAGCCTGGCGAGCACGGCATCAAAGGAAGCAAGTTTATTCCTCTCCTCTGTGGGCAGATCGGAATCATTCCGACGAGCGGTAGATACCGCCCGGCGATCGGTGCAGGCATCCGCCATTTATCTGGCAACTCCCTTCTGGATCATCATGAGCTTTGCCATGTTCATGTCTATATGGCATGAGAGGAGCTACTGGGTGCAAGCAAATGCCGTGACGAGGAAGCATTTGCTGAAGCATGCGACGGGAGTGTCTGAGATTGCGGACTGGGAGGTGTTTTTTGCCATTGGAAGTGCGGCGATGTCGTAAGTTGGCATCAGGGGTATTGTCAGTCAGTGTACCGAGTACTCGTATGGATGGCGGTTTGTAGTTGGTTCTTGGAGGAGTTGCTTTGTATCATGAGCAGTTTCAAGTTTCAAGTTGTTGTCGGAGTGACATGACGTTGATGGGTTTGTTTGTCATCATTGGAAGATACTAGGTACTTAGACACGGTCAGTTTAGAAACTCAATTGGTGTTTGCCGTTCTATGTAAGCCATGAGGCGGCAGTTGAAATTGAGTGCGGCCAATGATGCCTTGCCGAGGAAGCCCCGCTGCACCCCGCGAAGTTCAGGTTGGTTCCTACGTGGTTCTACAGCCGTGTATGTAGTACTTGTACTAGAGTTTTTGCCTGAATCCCCAGGCGTTAAATGTTTACTTGCCAAGGTACCAAATGGCATCAATTGGCGTCACCTACCTGACTTGCAAAGAAGGAAATACTATTGGAGAGGAAGGAATGGCAATGCCACACAGTAATGAGATGCAGGAAGCAGCCAGAGCTTTGAGCTTGAAATGCGTCATCTGTGGTAGACAGTCTCAAGCCCCGATAACGTGGCTCTTCAAATTAGTACCTCTCGCACACACAACAATCGAAGTTGAACCTACTTACCTAGGTAACAAGTGTCACAGCACGGTGCCGCCAAAAAGGTTGGTGACGATGATGGCAAGGCGGCCGCCGCACAAGAGGAAACTTGGCAGCTCTGCTATGTAGAACTTGTACTACCTAGATACTACTACTACTAGCCGGAAAGACACGGAGACCGACCAGTCGAACTCTCAACAGGCAGCTGCTGGCCCCGTAGAAACCTCTCAGCCTCTTGCAGAATGGGGGGGAAACTGGCAAGATGGGGTCAATTGGCCCAACCTAGACGGCTAGCGGCTGCACGTGACCCGGAAGAAAGCTCTTACCGGAGTGGTCGCTTTCCCGTCCTAAACTGCTCATTTTGAAAACTTCTCCCGGCCTTTACCACCTCATTCGCATATCCATCGCTGATTGCTCTCGGTCATCTGCCAAGATGTTCAAGAGGTGAGCCGTCAATCATCGAGCCCGTCGCCCTGCACACGAATTGGATCCCCCAGCTAACCGTGCCCTCCCCCGACAGCGGCGTTTCGTCCCTCGCCAGGGCTGCCCGCCCATCAATTACCGCTCGACGAGCTATCCGACCAGCCTTCCCTCGAACCCCCCTCGCGAGGCTTGCCAGCACCCAGAGCGTCGGAGATGGCAAGATCCACCAGGTAAGATGGTGCTCAGCTCGAAAGAGGCATTGGCCAATGGAGAGAGAATTCGTCGCTAATAACCCGTCCAGGTCATTGGTGCCGTCGTCGACGGTTAGTACAAGGCCCTTGCGTTTTTTTCTGGTTTCCATATATACGCACCTCAACACATCAACGGGGACCATCAAGCATTGCGCTGGCATTAGAGCACGCGGCTGATCTCTTCCATAGTCAAGTTCGACACCGCCAAGCTGCCTCCTATCCTGAACGCCCTGGAGACCACCAACAACAACCAGAAGCTGGTCCTCGAGGTCGCTGTAAGTTACGCCCGCGGTCGATGATGCCTGTTGCGATTAAGTCACTCATCTGACGCCTTGTACAGCAACACTTGGGCGAGAATGTCGTTCGCTGCATTGCCATGGACGGTAAGGATTCCTCGTCGTTGTCCCCGCAGTGGGCGTGCAAAAACTCATGTATGCAATAGGTACCGAGGGTCTCGTCCGTGGTTCCAAGGCCACTGACACCGGTGCCCCCATCACCATCCCCGTCGGCCCTGCCACTCTCGGTCGTATCCTGAACGTCACTGGTGACCCCATTGACGAGCGTGGCCCTGTCAAGACCGACAAGTTCCTGCCCATCCACGCCGACCCCCCGGCTTTCACTGACCAGTCCACCTCTGCCGAGATTCTGGTCACCGGTATCAAGGTCGTCGATCTGCTCGCTCCCTACGCTCGTGGTGGAAAGATTGGTCTGTTCGGTGGTGCCGGTGTCGGCAAGACCGTCTTCATCCAGGAGCTCATCAACAACATCGCCAAGGCCCACGGTGGTTACTCCGTCTTCACTGGTGTCGGTGAGCGTACCCGTGAGGGTAACGATCTGTACCACGAAATGCAGGAGACCTCCGTCATTCAGCTTGATGGCGAGTCCAAGGTCGCTCTGGTCTTCGGTCAGATGAACGAGCCCCCGGGAGCCCGTGCTCGTGTCGCCCTGACTGGTCTGACCATTGCCGAGTACTTCCGTGACCAGGAGGGCCAGGATGGTGAGTTTCTTCCTTGTCCTTGCCGAACCGGCTTCTGTTTTGCGTGTTTCGTCTTGCACACACAGCGCTAACTGCGGCTCCACAGTCCTGCTCTTCATCGACAACATTTTCCGATTCACCCAGGCCGGTTCTGAGGTGTCTGCCCTGCTTGGTCGTATCCCCTCTGCCGTCGGTTACCAGCCCACCCTCGCCGTCGACATGGGTGGTATGCAGGAGCGAATCACCACCACCAAGAAGGGTTCCATTACCTCCGTCCAGGCCGTCTACGTCCCTGCTGACGATTTGACCGATCCTGCCCCCGCCACCACCTTCGCTCACTTGGACGCCACCACTGTCTTGTCTCGTGGTATCTCCGAGCTGGGTATCTACCCCGCCGTCGACCCTCTTGACTCAACGTCCCGTATGCTTGACCCCCGTATCGTCGGCCAGGAGCACTACCAGACCGCCACCCGCGTCCAGCAGATCCTCCAGGAGTACAAGGGTCTGCAAGATATCATTGCCATTCTGGGTATGGACGAACTGTCCGAAGCCGACAAGCTTACCGTCGAGCGTGCCCGAAAGATCCAGCGTTTCCTCAGCCAGCCCTTCACCGTCGCCCAGGTCTTCACTGGTATCGAGGGCAAGCTCGTCGACCTCAAGGACACCATTGCCTCCTTCAAGGCCATCCTCAACGGCGAGGGTGACAGCCTGCCCGAGGCTGCCTTCTACATGGTTGGCGACCTGGCTTCCGCCAAGGCCAAGGGTGAGAAGATTCTGGCGGAGTTGGAGAAGAACTAAAAAGGCCCCAGCTAGCTCGTCCCAAGAGCTGGGAGTAGTCGGCCTGTGTATAGACTAGTATAGTAGTTAAAACAGCTATCTGATTGTAAGAGTTGTTTCAAACATGCTATCCTTGGGCTATGTGTACGAAAGACGAAGAGACGTTGCAACTATTAGTATCAAAAAAATTAATATTTCCACTACTACTGTAGACCACTGTGCACATTGTCCTGTAAACCTATGCATAGGTAGGTACTTGCACATTTATTAACTCTTCACACCCAGCAATTCGTCCAAGAGGAACAAGCTCGTTGATGTATTTGAGACCTGTATTTACAAGAGATACTAGGTAGCTTTCGTTCAAAGCCATTAGGTATCCAAACCAATCACCCCAGGTGTAGTAACTCTCTTGCCAAACAGTGATTGTAGTCATACCTAGGTAGCTGCCTAGAGATCACCAAGAACCTCACTGCAAACCCCCCTTTTGGCCTAATTGCACGCCATCATAGCCCATGAAGCTCTTCAACGGCGAGACAGCATCTGCGTCTTCAAGTATAATCTTGGCCAGCTGCGTATGATCTTGAGCATCAAGAGCCGCAAACGGAACCTGCAGAAACGGCTGCCATTGCGCATCGAGGTAGAGGCAGATATCCCGCATCGTGCGGTCTCCGACACCTTCGAGCCACCAGACACTCCACTGCACCAGCTTGAAGAAGGCTGCGAAGTGCGCAAGGATGACCAGCGCGCGCGGCTGCAACATGCGGGCAGCATCAATGTACAGACTGGGGAGAAAGGTGAAGATTGTTATGGTTCGCAGGCTCATCATCGGGGAAGGGCCCTGCGCCAAGTCCATGTATAGGCTGCCTAGGTACTTTAACGTTTGATGATATGTCTCTCGCAATGGGTACTCGGGGTCACTGGGGCTGATGGAGGAGATCAAGACGACAAGATGGGAGGGGATAAAGGCGGCGGCTTTCTCCACATCAGACTTGGGGCGGAAGAATAAGCCGTTGAGGCCGCTTTCGACAACGGTTGACTTGGAGACGATATTCATGACGAGGAGGATGCCCTTCCACACGACAAGCCAGTCGAGTATGTACAACTGCTTGCCGTCGGGTTCGCGAAAATGCTCCGACGACAAGGCCGTGAGGAGCAAGGAATTCACTGCCAGAGCAGGAAAGTCGCCCGGCTTGGCTTCCTCAATTGCCTTGCGGTATCCGGCCAACGCCTTGACCCGGTAGGACAGAGCGCGCTTGGCGTCAAACTGCTGGTTTAGGCGCTGCATGTGCAAGCCAGCCAGGGCGAAGATGGAGTCGAGCAAGAAGGGCGATTCGGGTCCGTATCGAACCAAGAGGCTCCGCATGATGTAGTGATGCCCATCGTCTGCGACGGTAGAAAACGAAGTACACGTTTGCGTCGCATAGAACCAGAGTGCCTTCATGTCCGCCTCGTCAAGCCCCATCGGACAGCATAGCAGCTCAGCGGGTATGTGAGAAGACTGGACGTTGTGCTTTTCTACAAGAGAGAGTATCGGCGTCGAACACAATACGGACGAAGTCGAAGATATGCTGGCGAGCTTGGCGGTCGTTGGAGACGCCGCCGCGGCGGCGGGCTTGAAATGCGTCAAGGGCCCGTCATCAAGGGACTCCGACGAGGACGGAGTCGTGTCCGCGGATCTCTGCGCCTTCGGGGCAGTGGCATAGACGCAGTCTGCCCTTCTCAGCCTGCACGAGCGGCAGACGGGTCGGGCCTCGTCGCATTTGACCTTGCGCGCCTTGCAGCTCTGGCAGCCGGACCTGGACTTTCTGTGAGGGCGCTTCGCATGGTAGGGCTTTGGCGGGGGGCTCTCGTCTGAAGGGTGAGGCTGGCTGGGGGAGGCCTGCGCAAGCGATGTCTCAGCCATAGTTGCCGGCGAGAGTGTCTGGCGGCGGCGGACGGTCCATGGAGGAGGTGCTGGAAGAGCCGCGTTGACGACGATGACGCTGCAGATCGGGCATGCGAGGCATCGAGGCTGCTACTAGCTCGGAAGGAGCCACGAGGAAAGCAGGCGCAAGCCGCAGGGCTTGTTTCATCCCACCAAAAGCTTCTGATTCGGTAGGAACGAAGGATGGTGTGTATGTAAGTACCTAAGTAGGAGGTATGTAGTCAGAGGGTACCTACAACTACTAGAAAGGTATGTGTGTATGGTAAGGTAAGGTAAGGTTGGTTAGTGCTGATAACCTCGGTTAATGGCCCTTTTCACGCCACATTCTCGCTGAGGAAACAATGTTTCTAGTGGAAGAAACACCTCTTAAAGGTAATACTAGTATAGTGAATGCTGTACTACCTGCCTCTTTGATACAAGACATCGAATCATAGGGAGGTTATATATAGAGTTATAGGTAAATTCGTCATGGCTTGAGCAACAACTGGGTATCCAAGCGGGGGACAGAAAAAGCGAGACTAGATTTCAAATTGACGCATACAAGCTCACAATATGTGCACTCAGTTGAGAGATCGACCCTGATGGCTGAGATGTGCATAATTGGAAACTTGTGTGTTCATCACGGAATTTTAGTCTCGCTTTTTCTGTCCCCCGCTTGGTATCATCCCACCAAAGTTCAGATACCTAGGCCTCGCAGATTCCATGCTATGCCGCATCCGGTATGAGAGCAGCTCGCAGCACCATTCCGGTATAGCTGCAAGAACAGGCAAAGATTTCTGCGCTAAATCACTCCATGCTCCAAATCGCCAGCCAACTAGAAGTCGTATGATTCCGTCCCGGCCAGAGAGACCCAGATGGAGCACCCGAATTAAATCCCCTCGCTGCCACTACTACCGCAGAAAGAATACAAACCACGTCAAACCCTCGCCAATTGAACCATCTCCCCCGTCCAGCCTCCTCCTCCCTCCCCGCAAAACTTGGAAGCTTCACCAAGCTCGCAACAAGCCAATCCTTCTCGATCGAAAAAGAAAAAAAGATTACACAACCGGTTTTTTTCTTTCTTTCGCCCAAGATGCTGCGCTCCTCCGTGGTTCTGCGAGGCAATGCCCTGACGCAGAGCGCCCGCCTGGCTGCGTCCCGCGCCATGTCGTCCCATGCGCTGTCCAACCCGACCCTAGCCAACATCGAGAAGCGCTGGGAGGGAATGCCTCTCCAGGAGCAGGCCGACCTGTGGATGGCCCTGCGTGACCGCATGAAGGGCAGCTGGACCGACCTGACGCTGCAGGAGAAGAAGGCCGGTAGGTGCTTTTGTTTGACGCTTCGATTTGTGCTTTTTTTTTTCTCCATCCCCCCCCGGAGCTCCGTCGAAAATCCCTCCCGGACCCGAAGAGCTGGAGACAGCCGAGCTTCTACTCGATGCAATCCGGAGCTGCAGCGTCGACTCCGAATTTTTCCCTTTTTCTGCTCGCTTTGCTTCAATGGCCCGCATTAAGCTCGAATTACGATGATCCGGCAATCCGATCCCATGCTGCGTTGCGTGGATGTCAAGCACCAACCCCGAAGGGCAGAAGAAGACGAAGAAGAAGACGAAGAAGAGAGCAGGGCTTTGAATCAGAGCCATTAGGGATTCCTGGACCGAGTGGCCTAGTAATCACACGTCAATGGGAATAGCCGAAGCAGCGTCTACTGCCCCCCATGCGTCGCCCTGTCATGTCATTGCTGCTCTTCCGCTGCGAATTGTTGGCCTCAGCTGCTGACCCGAGTCTCCTCACGATATAGCATACTGGATCGCCTTTGGTCCTCACGGCCCCCGCACCGTTGACCCTCCCGGAACCAATGCTCGCATTGCCTGGGGCGTTGCCCTCGGCCTCGCCGCCAGTCTCGCCCTCTTCGCCGGCATCCGAATGGCCGCCAAGCCTGCGCCTTACACCATGACCAAGGAGTACCAGGAAGCCTCCAACGAGCTGCTCAAGGTATGTACAAACATGCAAGCTTGCTCATGCATCTCCTTCCCCCCCTTGCATGTGGCGTTTTTTCTCTCATCTTTTGGCTGGCCCGGGACATGACATTGGCTGACCCCGAAATCCGAACAGCAACAAAACGCCGACCCCCTCACTGGTATCTCTTCTCCCGGATACAAGGGCAAGGGTGTCGTCCAGTCTCCTCCCAAGAACTAGAAAAAAAACGCAAACACACGATATCATCGCTCGCTGCCCCGTAGAATCCGGAGCGGACATGGGAGGCTTATATCAAAAATCACAATATCTGTACATTTATAGCTTAGTCTTAGAGAGTAGGTATGCAAGACGGGGGTTCTTCGCATGGCGTTGATCATTCAAGTGACGAGTCCAGGATGATACTGTCTCGTGGCTCAGTGTCATCCTTCTTCCTTACCACCGCTCCTTTTCCGTCCAGCAGTGAAGCTATTGGTCAAACAAACACACGAACCAAACAGTGTAGATATGTTTGCCCCGAGAACTGCGAGGCCAGCCAGCCTTTGCGTGTTCCTGAATGTGATTATACAAGTCTCAAAAGCTCCTCGGCCGTCAACCCCTACCTTCACCCGCTTGCCTGAGCTGCTCCAGCGAGTGCTGCGGACTCTGGGGGTTGAACCGCTCTTCCTCCAGCCTCTGTAAAAGCTCATGCCGCCCATCTTTGCCCCAGTACTCTGCTTTTTCAAGCCCCTTGACGCAGGCTTCCGTTATGAGGACGTACGGCGTTGGGGCGTCAAACATTGGCTCGGCCAAGACGCGCTCCATCTCCATCTTCAGCCCTCGGGCGCCAGTCTCGGAGGCGAGGGCGCGCTCTGCAATGGCGCTCAGAGCTCTTTCTGTAAAGTACAGCTGAGACGGGTATGTCTCGAAGAGCGCGGTGTACTGAGCCACCAGGCTATTCCGTGGTTCCGTGAGGATTCGGTAGAGGTCCTCCTTGGACAGGGGGCTGAGGGCGCAGAAGTTGTGGAGTCGGCCTATGATCTCGGGGATGAAGCCAAATCGCTGGAGGTCTTCGGACGAGACCAAGTCTAACGGCGTAAAGGTCGATGCCGCGTGCGGGCTGTAGTGCGCCAGGTGAGAGTATGTCTCGGGAGGCAGCGTGTAAGAGCCCGCCGGCCCTGTGTGCCGGCTCTGCACGTCCCCTCCAAACCCCATCGCTGGCTTTGACACCCGTCGAAGGATGATCTTGTCCAGCCCTACAAAGGCGCCGCAGAAGACGAACAGGATGTTGGTGGTGTCGACGGTGTACTGGTCCACTTTGCCTGGAGGACTGCTCACTGGCATCGAAGTGGTCGGGGGTCCAGCGGCGCTGTAGTTTGGGGGGATTGGCGAAGCCGTGCGAGACGATCGATTGTCCTTGGCATTGACCGTGACCTTTGTTCCCTCAATGAGCTTGAGCAGGGCCTGCTGAACGCCTTCACCACTGACGTCTCGACCCGTCGTTGTCTCTCTCCTGGCCAGCTTGTCAAACTCGTCCAAGACAACCACACCGTGCTCGGCTGCCTTGACATCGTAGTTGGCCTCAATCAAGAGCCTTTCGATGCAAGATTCCACGTCCTGCCCTATGTAGCCCGCTTGGGTCAGGGAGTTGCAGTCGCAGATGGTGAGCGGAACTTGTATCTTCTTGCTCAGGGTTCTGAAGTGCTTCCATCAGTCGAGCGAATTCAACAGCATGGTGTCTGCGGTTCCTTACTCTAAGATGTACGTCTTGCCAACACCAGTCGGGCCAATGACGAGGATATTGCTCTTGTCAATCTTGACGTGCTCAGGAATAGCCGGTTCCTCAGATTTGAGAATCCCCGTCGCAGAACCGCCCTCGGATGCATTCAAGTCGTGTGCCTGGCGGGTTGAGGAAGCCTGGCCAGGTGCTTCGTCTTTCAAAGGACCCCTGTTACCGGCATGCATCTTGAGCGTATGAGCAGTGAACTTACCTTCGAGAGGAGACGAGTCCCAGCGCCTTTGTGAAAGCTCCCTATCACGTGCAAAGCGTTGACGCAGTAGCTTCTCATGCTTCTCCTTATCCTCCTGCTCATGCTGCCGCCGCCTCCTTAGGTTCTGGTAGTGGTTGAAGATGGCAGCGCAGATTGTCTTTTTGGCACGGTCCTGGCCCACGACGTATTCATCAACCCGCCTTTTCAGGTCACGAGGGTAGAACTTTGGCACTCCGAAATTCACTTTTCTAAACATGGGCCCACGGCCAGACTCCACGGAGGGATCATAGCTCCCGGTGAAGCCAGAGCCGAAGTCTGGCGTCTGCTTGGATCGAAGGGGCGCATGCACCGAGAGATGCCGGCTGTTGTGGCCCGCTTGCACAGTGGCTCTGTATTTCAAGATGGGGAGAGGATGCCAGTGGGATGAGAGACGTCGTCGACAGAGGGACATCATCTTGATGGATGTAATATGCACCCTAGCATATTCATGGGGTGAGAGATGGCGATGGCGATGGCTGGGTGGTGAAGTGAAGGCGATATGGGCGTGGCGAGCCCCTCAGACCATCATAGCACACGGCAGTCCAGGGTAAGAAGGCCAGCCAGTGTCCAGAAGAGGTGGCAATGTTCCGCATGCGCAATCTCACAGACAGTTCAGATCTTTGCTGGATACTTTCCGGGGTGCGTCAGGATAGAAGTCATGTGTTTTTGTCTCGATCAATCGCGTGCAAAGTAGCGGGATGCTGCTCATGAGGATGACTGTGAAGCAACAGCATCGGTTGGGAGGTCCGTAGCAATCCGATGGACTGGGACGGTGATGCCAAGGTACGCTGAGATAAGCAGCTGCTTCCCAAAGCTTAAGCTTAGAGGCGCCGAGTCTGTTTCACAGCCAATCAGCGTAATGCGGAGGCCTTGCTCCAGTTGCCCAAGACTCTTGCCGGAAGGGGCAATGGAAGTGACGCCCTGTACATGATATAGTACAGTAGGTACCTAAGGTAAAGACTGATTGATGTTCGATGCTGTGAAACAATGAATGGACGATAAGGACATAGGCATCTCACTGCGCAGCCATGGCTCACCATCAGGAGCCTCATAATGAACCAATACCTAGTAATAGACGGTCATCACATGTAAATAGAGCTGTCAACTCGAGCCTTGGTTCCACTTACCCGCTTTCCGGCGTGATTCCACCTTAATAATAATACTGCAGGGTTGGATAAAGATGGACAAACTCGATCGGAATATCAACATGCCCCAAGATCTTGACAGCCTTCTGATAAGTATCCATTCCAACGAGTTCGGGTGACCAGCTTGTTCAGCTACCCTTCTATCCCCACAGGAGACTACCTTATCTCTTCCTTATGCTGCTCCCTATTACTGGCCTATTTGTAGACCTACTGTAGGAGTAAAGTCGCAAGAGCTTCTGTGCATGATGTCAGAAACTAGTACGAGCGGCAGTCCGCGGAAAGTCCGCGGAAAATTCTCCCAATAGGCGCACCTGTCAGTGCCCATGGACTCTGATAGCAATTGCTATTCTTCCAATCCATGGACTCGTTTGTAGTAGAAAGGAAAAAGAAAAGCTCTTGGCTTAAGCAGTTGGATGATATTCCAGAATGGGCCGGCAACCGAGACAACGCCCGATTTCGTGCCACTTGTGTAGGGTGCGCAAGTTGCGCTGCAGCCGCCAGTTTCCGTGTTCCAACTGCACGTCTCGAGGTGTCGTCTGCCAGCATGAAGGGATCGCGGTCTCGGCGGTCTCGGCGGCGGCGGCGGCGGTGGGAGGACAACAGCAGCAGCAGCAGCAGCAGCAGCAGCTCAAGTCTCCGGCTCTGAAGGATGCGTCGACGCTGGAGCTGCTGGCTCGTCTGGAGCGGCTGGAAAACATCGTCGCAGCTCAGGGGGCCGGGAGGGAAGGCAAAGACGCGGACAACTCCGGCTCCGGCTTCAACTTCAACTCCAGCCTCAACTCCAACTCCAACTCAAATTTTAACTCCAACTTCAACCCTAGAAAAGGGGCAGAGACTCAAGCAGAACAGAGCCGTCCCGTCACCTCCCGCCCGGTGCCGCCTAGACTGCAGCGCTTGACAGCGGACGCGCTGGAGCTTGAGCGATCCTGTTCCGACCAAAAGCTGACGGTGAGCCCGAGCATCCTCTCCTACCCACGGGCCTGTCTCTGCGCGGTAAGGAGTGCTTTCGGGATGAGACTGAGACTCAGCGCAGGACTCCTTGATATCTGAACCCATCATCTTCCGTACCTGTCCCATACGGCTGGCCCCAACGCAGCCGTCCTATGCTTTCCAAAATGGCCTCCCAACGTCCATGGCCGGGCCGATGGACGCCATCAAGTGCATCTGGCTGCCTCGGCGAGATGAGATGCGCATCATCCTCCAAAAGTACATAGCTGATATCTCCTTGTTCTACCACATCATCCACGTCCCCACAGTCCAGAGCCTTGTCGAAGACATTTACGCAGGGCTGGAGGCAAACGTTCGCGTCGACGTCGGCGGCATCCTGCTCCTCCTCAGCATATGCGCAAGCACGACGTATGCCTGGTCGCCCCCTGACGATGTCCGGTGTCTGTTCTCGGACCATGTCGAGGCGAATGCGCAGTCCACCTTTTGGATCAAGGAGGCGCTGGACGTCATTGACCACGCGCAGAGGACGGCGCATGCGTCGTTGGAATGCATCCAGGGCCTCATCATCCTGTTCTTTGTCTTTTGTAATCACGAGAGTGTGTCGTTCCGTGCCCGTAGTGTCTTCATGTCGGCCATTGCAATGGCGACGGAGCTATCGCTGCATCGTCTCGACGATCCCCAGGGCAGTCCCATGGGGACGCTTCTTCGGATGAGCGAGGCCAAGAAGGAGATTGCAAGGAGAGTGTGGTGGTTCATGGTTGCAACGGACTGGTGAGTCGGCGCCCCATATCCATCAAACATTGTTCAAGGGGCAAGCCGCCACCCTCTCAAAGCCCCTGTACTGACCGACTGCAGGACACTTGCTCAGTTCAACTGTCCCCAGGAGGGCTTCTACTTCATCCACCAGAACCAGATGGCGGTCAACAAGCCACGGAATGCAAACGACGAGGACATTATGGAAGGCGTGGAAATCATCGATCGGCCAGTCACAGAGGCGACCTGCATCTCCTACTTTGTCCAGCGCATCCGCCTGGCAGAGGTTTGCCGGACATTGATTGATCGGGCACCCTTGGGCACGCCGACTTCGGAAACCTCTGTGTACAAGGGTATACTGGAAGTAGACGCGAAGCTCAACCAGTTTATGCGGGAGGCCCCGGACTTCCTTTCCCTCGAGTGTTCTCATCTGGATAGCCTTCCCATTACCGACCCCAGACGCTCGCCTTTCATCACCGCGCAGCGCTACATGCTGAATCTGCTTCTCCACCGGCAGCTGTGCAAGATTCATCTTCCTTATCTGGCCCAAGGGACTGTCGATCCTGCCTATGCGTACTCACGCGACGTTTGCCTGAGGTCGGCAAGGGTGGTCTTTGAGCTCGATCACCAACTGCAAGGAGAGTGCTTGCCCTTCTTCAACTCCCGCCTGAGGTTGGCCATGGTTTTGCGGAGCCTGTTCCTGGCTAGTATCGCGCTCGTCTTGAACGCTTGTCTGACGGGCGATGCCGAGGATACTGGCGAGGGAGAAGATGAGATCGCTGGTGCGTGGAAGATATTGCACGAGGCACAAGGCCAATTCCCCCCGGCGGCAAAACTGCTGGAGTTGTCCATCCAGATTCTCAGAAAGTATAAGATTAAGCATCGCGCCCTGGATCTTCTGCAACAGCAGGTGGCGGGGATGTCACCTTATGGCGAGACGTTTCCGATGACTCCGGACTCGACGAATCACGATATGCGCATGAGTACGATGCAACAACAGAATGTAGGTACGGGCACGAGTACTGGCACAGGCACAGGCACAGGCACAGGCACAGGCACAGGCACAGGCACAGGCACAGGCACAGGCACAGGCACGGGAACAGGGACATGCACAAGCGCCGAACCGGACAATGTGTTGCTGGAACAACAATGGCAGATGCTCGAAGGAAAGATGGATCTGAACACGATAGATTGGGATAAGTTATTTTGGGGTATTGATGCCCCGTTTATATAATCTAATGACATGACATGATTCTTTGATGATGAACCAGATGATACTTTGGCCCCTGGATCGTCTACCAGCATTTGATGGCCTGCTTTTGTAGCTTGCACTGATAGATAGAAGCTACAGACGAGAATGGAAGACTGATGTTTTTGGTTTTGTTAGAACTACATGAGCCAGGTATCATTGCTCTGTAGCTGGGTAGGTAGGCTCGCACTTGTTTCATGGCCTCGACTCATGCCAAGGGACGATTGTCTCGTTTCAGGAGAACATGGGTAGGAAGTCTATAGTCTAAGCCCTGCAGCTTGCTATTTCTTGGTCGTGTCTTCTACGCACGCATGTCCATTAGCCACACACTCCCCCCCCTCGAGATATTGTCATTAACTCCTCTTACCTCGCACTTTCTCGGCTGGTGCGTTGCCTTGGGGAGGAGCAAATAGGGGCTGGAAAGTATAGAAGCCTTTGTAGGGTGAGATGATTCAGCTTCGTGCCTCTTGAATCGATAGATGATAGGTTACACTTGGTGAACACTTACCACCGATGACGCCGCAGAAAACAGTGAGCGCAAGTGGCAGCGCTCTTTGAAAGCCGCCACTCATGATGTAGGTGCAGAGGGTGGCAGGCCACTGATCGGCAAGTATTTCAGTAGGTATGATATGAATGTTATACTGTAGGTAGGATGCTTGATGCTGGATAATACCTTCACAATGAGAATCTCAGTTTGGGGGTTGGAAATCTGAGCTAGCACGAATTGCGTTAGTGCAATATCGTTTCAAAAGAGTCGATCTGGGCGTGATCTTGGACTGTTTGACATCCAGAGACCCTTCAGTGATAAACTGTGATGAACTACAAGATTGGTTTGAGAAAGGAACTTTGATGTTCTAACTGCTAAGATATGACAATGGAGATTTCCAGTGATCTTCAGCAGTGGCAGTGGCAGTGCCAGTCAATGTGCGGGATCTTACACAGCCTTCTTTAGTACCTAGGTAGTAGGTAGGTATGATCTGGTACGATCGTGTATAGAGAAACTGGAGATGCTCTTACATCATCAGATGTAAGATTGCATAGATCTAAAAACTTCCACAACGTCGGGCGGCCGCTGAATGTGCGACAGAGCTGGTATACAGGATGGATATAAAGACGTATCTGGCGAAGGATGGTAGTATTGTGGAAAGGACTGGATAATGCAGGCCGACTAATTCAAGCGATTGGAGCTGAGTGTTGAATTGAGTTTTAGTAGAAAGGCTTCGAGATAGTCCAAGACCCGACTTCAGTGGTCACAAGGTGGTTGGAGAAGTTCAAGCGGCCACAGACGATGCTTCGATAGTGTATGTACTAACAAGCTCGATTCTTTTATTACCATATCGAATGAGAGAGACTCATGCGGATAGATAGAGAGGGCTGCAAGATAATATTCAGCATTACCTCTAATACTAGGTACCTTGTGTAGTCGTTGCCCTTGCCTGCTTCCCCTCCCCCGCCCCCTCATTTGCCCCAGGGCTGTTGTAGTGGCTTGTACCGAATACGCAGTAACTGAGCATGACTTGGACACGATAGGGGCGGTTTCTTGCCTCATCACGGACTGCTCCAAGTGGCGGCTGAGCCGTGCCCAATAAGAGATGGCCTGTCGCATCGCCCCCCCGCTAGGTCTCTGTATGTATGTAGGCGGCTGTCGACTTTGGCGAGAGGGCAGTTGATCTTGTTTGCGCAACCCAACAAGCACCAACGAGCACCAACAAGCACCAACAACAAGTAGTACGAGTACAAGCGGACACCACCATCAGAACGCACAGTATGGTGCCACGGTTACCTCGTACGGCTGACCTGCATGCAGCTGCTCGACTACCCAAGGTACTGCTTCCCGACCCTTGGTGAGCTTGCCCTACCTTGCCTACATGTGTAGTAATATGTACCTACCTACACCTTGCCTTGCCCTCCTACTCCCATGGACGCCAACTTGATCATCTTTGTGCTTCGTTGCATCTCTCCGCGTATGTACTTGCACCTGCTGCGCGCTCCCGCTAATCATGCAGCACCCTCTGCAGCCAGCCTAACGATCGAGCGGCTATGAAGGATTACTAGTAGGTAGTATGTACAGTAACTCTTCTTGAGATACTCTACCTACCTACTAGCAACTCATTACCTGACAAACTGATAATCTACCACCACTACCTCACGCTCTTTTTCTTCTCTTCTGTGTGCACAACGCTGCGCTTCCCTCTCCGCCCCTCATCCGAGACAGACATATCCCTGCTCTCGTGGTCCCTCTCGTCAGCCCTTGGGAGGGGCATTAACTTCCAAGCCGCCTCTTTGCTCCCCCATCTGCTCTCCCGCCGACAGCCAGCCAGCCCGTTTTCCCCAACCGCTAGCCGCCGCCATCTCGTGCTTGTCGCCGCAGCTACGACAGCTATAAGGACGGATCCATCACCAGCCAACAACGACCAACCTGAACCCGACGCAGGCTCCGCGCTGGACGAGATAGATCCCCCTTCCGCCCCGAGACAAGATGCCGGTGCTGCTGCTCGACCAGCCCTCCGCCGTCACCCTCGCCTGAAGCGACGATTGCCGAACCCAGCCATGGCGACGATTGCCGTCCCCAGACCCGCTCTGCCTCCCAAGAGCGCATCGCAGCGCGGAAGCACTCCCGTCGACTCGTCCTCTCCACTTGAGTCGCTCGGCCTGCCATCGCCCCCACAATTGCCAGGCTCCCATCCCATTCCCATCTCCAACAGCCGCAGCCCTGTCTGCTTGTGCGCGGCCGACGACGACTCGGCCTCGTCGTATACGCACTCTCCTCCCCCGAGCCATGTCCGCGCCCACCCCCAGGCCTCCCTGCTCTACCCGCCCGACGCCTTTGCCCGGGTCGACGGCGAGCATGCCTCGATATACGAGATAGATGCCGCGAGCGTGGCCGAAGCCTTGGACTTTGCCTCTCGCCAGCCGCTCCCTCCCCCCTCGCTGGTCTTCCCCTGGCTGCACGGGCTGCACCCCGAGAACCACACCCAGCGGACCTTTTTCGATGGCCACCAGTGCAGCCTTGGGAGCATGCCAAACTGCCTGAGGGCAATCACCATTGTCAAGGCAGATGGCCATCTCGACGCTGCCCGCCTCAAGGGCGCCATTGCCCCCGCGGAGTTCATGCGGCTCGGGGCCGCTCCCGAATTCCTCGATGCGGACCCCGTGTGTGGCCTGTCTGTCCGTAACTTCCACATTCAGCCTGCCAAAGTTGCTGCGACGTCGGACATTGTCGTCTACGGGCTGGACCCGGACGAGAACCGCAGGGTCGCATGGCAAGTTGCCGTAGCCCAGAAGCGATGGCGAAACAAGCAGCTTGCACAGGCAAAGGACATGCCCGTGTACAGCACCTTTGTCTGTACAAGCCCGTTTTCCGTCTTTGAGGAGTCCCATGGTGACCTGGTGGCCGTCGATGTGACCGGTAAACGCACCGGCCGGGTGCTGGACCTGGCAGAGCAGGAACACCAAGAGATGCGCAACATGACGGCGATCTCCGAGATATGCCACAACGTCTTCCTAGGCCCTAGCCCTGAGCCTGGCAGTGCCGAGGAGCAACGCTTTGATGTCCTCATCGAGTGCAGCGACACGGGCCGGCTGGATCCGAGCGCCATACAGTTCATCGCTGAGCATCCTGGCCAGCTGCCACGCCCAACCTCCATCTGCTTTCCGTCGTCGGGGAGTGTCCTGCCCCCGAGCTGGTCTCAGGCCGAGGCCGACGCAATCATCAAGACGTGTAAATGGATACACCGCATCTCCCACAGCACTATGCCCGAGCCCCATACCACCTCCTCCCAAGACAGTGTTGCGCTGCAACATGTCAAGTCTCATAACCCAGCGGCCGGCAACGCAGGCGGTCGAAAGGTCCTCATTCACTGCGCCGACGGATACACGGAATCAACGCTCCTTGCCATTGCCTATTACAGCTTCAACACGGGGCTGCCCGTCCCCGATGCTTGGATCAAGCTTCACACCACTGAACGCCGCAACTTCTTTGCCTACCCCTCTGATGTCTCGCTCCTCTCGGCCATAGGCCCTCGTTTGCTGTGCGAGTCCCCGATGTCCTCGGGTAAGAGCCTGGAGGACATTGCAAATCTCGCAAGGAGCGAGCCAGCCTGGTTCTCCGACCTGGATGGCTCGCTTCCCAGCCGCATCTTGGATTATCTATATCTGGGCAATCTCGTCCATGCGAACAACCCCGAACTCTTGGCGCAACTCAATATCCATCAGATACTCAGTATTGGCGAGTCCGCGTCCTGGACAAAGGAGGACCTGGACAAGTGGGGCTCGGACAATATCTGCTTTGTCCAGGGCATCCAGGACAATGGCATAGACCCCTTGACTGAAGAGTTTGGGCGTTGTCTTGAATTCATTGGTAAGCTTTGCCATCTCTGTCGTTCTCGAAAATGGTCTTGGAAACCCCCGAGAAGGGAGGAAAAAAAAAAAAAAAAAAAAAAAAAAGAACTCGGAAATGGGCTAACGAACTGATACAGGCAAGGGAGTCCAGAAAGGCACGGCGACGCTCGTCCATTGCCGCGTCGGCGTTTCACGTAGTGCCACCATCTGCATAGCGGAGGTCATGCGAGCGCTGAATCTGTCGTTCCCCCGCGCGTACTGCTTCGTCAGGGCGCGCCGCCTCAATGTCATTATCCAGCCGCATCTCCTTTTCGCCTACGAGCTCTTGCGCTGGGAGGAACGCCTCCGACAGAAACGGGGCTCTCTGGAGCCCTACAAGCGAGAGATGGAATGGGGGGAAATTGCGCGAGAAATTGCCCTCATGAACCGCCCCTATTCTAGATGAGGGGGATGCGCTGGGGGGTTTTTGTTTGAGTGCGTCTTGGTTCTGCAAAGTCGGCTTTTTCTTACATACTAGTAGTATCATGTGTGCAGGTATTGTTTTTGGATGGAATAGCACAAGCTTTTTGGTTCTTCTGGGTCTCAGGATCTCGAGCTGGCGTCTCGGGGCCTGTCTCATGGGGTTTTATTTTGAGGGTTTCACTGCGCGTTTATTACCATGTATAATCATGACGATGATGATTGTCTAGTTCTTTTTGCTTGTGTATACCTAAAACGACTCGACGTAATGACTTGACCCAACAGTGACGCCTGATTCCTTGAACTCCCTTCCTAACTGATGTGACCTTGTCCCAAAGAAAAAAGAAGAAGAAAAGAAAAGAGAAAGAGAGAGAGAGAGAGAGAGAGAGAGAGAGAGAGAGAGAGAGAGAGAGAGAGAGAGAGAGAGAGAGAGAGGAAAAGGGCAAGTCTCATAAGTCGGGATCAAAGTCGATGGTATTTGCTCCAAGTATTTACTTAGGGATTGGGTAGATCAAGCCTCAGAATGACTTGCGTTGCCTTACCTCAGACGTGCTACCGAGTGCCCCTATCCAGATCTGATGAGAGTATGGGGATGTAGCGGGACTCCTCACATCGGACATACCCAGCCCTTGTTGTTATTGACTAGACTGAAGGGTCACTTTTGCTGTCGCCCTCTAGAACTCTGTGTCCCCCCAAAAAAATCATGTCAGTAACTCCTTGCCGCTGGGATAGTGTAGATTCGAATACAGGAAAAAAAAAAGGGGGGGGGGGGGGGTTCCTTACGAAAACTGCTTCACGAGATAGCCCTCTCCGCCATGCTCCATATCGATGTTGTAAACGTAGAATCCGCCATCACTCGTCACCACCATGACCTGGGGACTGCTGCTACTCATTGCCACGACGCTGCGCAGGGGATTGGAGCCCTGCCCTCCAGGTAACCGAGCCCCGTGTCCGGCGGACTTGGGGATCTTGATATAGGCAAAGTCTCGGAGGGGTTCCCACATCTCGGTCACAGACTGTGGGAGATAGGAACCTACAACGCCGGCAACTCCTCGACCCATTATTTGGGATGACCGACGCAGCATGCTGCTGAAGGAGCCGCTGGGGCCGCGATTTGCTGGCGTGGCACTGGCATCAGGAGCAGGACCATTGCTTCCAGGCTCCGCAGAGTCACTCTTGGGAGATTCAGTCGTGCTATTACTGGGCGAGTCTGCGCCATCGTGGCTTCGCGCCCGGGACCATCGATCTTGCCTTGGAGACCCCAGGGATTCAATGGGGGCACCGGCCGGCGTGGTGTGTCCGGGCGGAGGGCTGAGCCGGAAGATGTGGACAGTGTCTGACGCCGAGGAGACACATAGTAGGGTTGAGCTAAGGTTGAAGGACATGCTGTAAATGGTTGAAGGATACGTGCCCCGCCGGAACTGATAGAGCTTTTGGCCTCGGGGCACCGAGAATATGCGGATAATGGTACCGGTTTCGCTTGCGGTTGCGAGCATCGTCCCTTCGCTGTTGAGGCTGATGCAGGATAACGGCGAGCGATGGGCTTCTATCACATTGACGGCCTTGAGTGTCAGGGTATCAAACATCAAGACTTCCCCAGACGTGGGCGCAACGTATGCCGACTGCGGCGGAGCATGGGGCGGCCGCCTGGTATCGGTCTCTTCCCTCGGCTTGGGAAGCGGATATGCAATGAAGCAATTCTCGGACGATGCTGACAGCGCGCATATGGCCGACGGGTTCGGCGAGGTAGGAATGGTGTAGAGAAGGCTCATGTTGCTGATGTCGTACAGGTAGATCTCCTCCTCGAGAACAACGGCCAGCCGCTTTCGATTGAGTCGTACGGCCAAGACGGCGGATGGAAAGGTCAGCTCGCATATGACCGACGCTCTCTGCAGTTGCAGCGATGAGCAACACACGTCAATATCGTTGGTTGTTGTTGTTGCAAGCTAGACACCTACCTTTGTGTTCTGGATGATGAGATGGCGAGGAGAGAGAATCAGGGCGACGAGAGATGTGGAGAAGAGCATTTCGATAATCGCGACATTGCCGTCATCGCTGCTGAATATCCGCGAAAACGGATCCGTGTGGTAGATGCCGAAGCCTTTGGATGTGCCTGCGAACAGCCCGTCAGCCTTCGCTATTCCTACCGGGGCCGCCAGAAGAACAGCGCCCAACAGCTGTTCCGGGGCATTTTACCAACAGCGAGGCAGCTATGGTCCTGGTTGAAGGTGATGAAGTTGAGAGTTGGCGTCGACATTGTCGTGGTGAGGCGCGAGATGCCCCCAGGCGAGGACGGGTTTGGAGGAGCGAGAGTCTCTCGGCGTGGGCTCTGTCTATCGTGTCGCTGGAGAAGATGACGTCGTTGGAGCTGCGAAGGGTCGCGTCAATGAGGAGACTGGCCCAGATAGGGCAGACGGGATGAGCGCGACCAGGAGCGAGTTGGTTGTGAGAGAGCGCAGGTGGACAGAGGCTCGTGAGTATCTGGCCGGGATATGATTCGTCTGGTGTATCGAGTTGCTGCTGGTATGCGACAAGAGGTCCAGGCGGACAGACGAGGAGGCAGCAGCAGGACATGTGCAGTGCAGCAAGCTCGCGGGAGCTTCTGATAGGGCGCCTCTTCCCTTGGCGGTGCAAAGTACCGCCTCGGTACAGGTACCGCCTGAGGGGTACTTGCGAGCGACCTCACTACAGTTCCTACCACAGGTACATCGGTACATGCCTGCTTGCCGTATTTAGAGGCCCCGCACATCTTGAGGACTCGGACCTGGCAGCTGCCCCGTGATACCTTCAGGTTTCTTTCCTGCCAAGGTACCTTAGGCCGTGATCCAGAACGGCTGGTTATTTGGCCTGACTGATTTGCCGTGACTTCTAGAAGAGATAGGCTAGCAGGGGGGTTACAGCTTATACCGATTTACTCCAGTTTTTCTGCACACCTACCCTATAAGCATCTTCTTTTTATAATTCTAAGAGCAATTCTTAATAAAATTAAGTGAAATCTTTATATAAGCTAGATAATATTATAAAGATTACTATATTAAAATTTTAATTTTTTAGGAATTTATTTAGATTTTATATAAGTAAAGTAGCCACCTAGGCCTGGCTGGCTATTTCTTAATTAGATATAAATTCTGGCTGCTTTTCAGCCAGCCAGCTGGCTAGCAGCTATACCTTTTACAGGTGCTCCAGTCGCGTTTTTGGCTCTTCCGCACACACTCCGCAACCAGCCGCTGACCCCTGTAGAAAAGATACCTAGCCAGCGGCTGGGACGCTGGAAAAGCCAATGTACCATACATTGCATTGAAAATCTAGGCGAAATAAGGTATAGTGCCTCCATGTTTGTCAGCAAAACAGCTCGGCTGGTTTCAAACCAGCCGTTCTGGATCACGGCCTTAGGTACCGCATGAGGTAGTACGAAGCCAAGGCACGATGTAACGCCTGTGTGAGCGTACAGCAAATCAGCCATTGCACATGTACTCGTACCTCTTCGTAGAGGTAATAGTGGCTGAAGAATGCCGAACCTATATGCGAGTCATCTGCTGATACCCTTCGCTATCTCCAACTGAGCACATACGATACAGCAAGGTAAGGTAAGGTAAAATAAGGTAGAGTGAGGATACAGTGAGATGTGGTCAAAGCAATGGATGCTGATGCTGATTCCAGTCATCCTACCTACCTAGGTACTGTATAACCGGCAGCAGAGGGCCGTGGGCTCCTTTCCCCCGAAGAAGCAAGTACAGTATCTATTACTCATGACAGCAGGTTTCTCGCCTTGCAGGAGACACCATCGTGCCTCCCCCGTCCACTGACAGCTCGCACAGATCCTGCCCCATTACCTAATCCGCACTGTCCTCCAACCAATCTGTGGCTTCTCATTGGAAGGAATTCCCCCCCAAGGTGGAGCAAGAACTCATCGCTGTCCTCAAGTTGGGGTCCGCGGTACTGTATACTGTCTCTACTACTTGCTTTTCTATAGGGGGCTCATTGTTCCGGCAAGGCCGATGCGCCCCCCCTAAACCCAACCAGCCCAGCCAGTCACCCGCCCTATTCTCGTTAACCTAGGCTATGCAGTGGCCACGAAGCGGTATTATTAGCCCGCTGCCGTCATAGTTTTTTTTCGCTCCAGGTGACTGGACTGCTGCGACAGCCCGAAATTCCCAATTCAAGACTCAACGCCTCCCCGTCGAGCAAAACTCTGCCTCTTCCGCCTCACGACTTACTCCGCCGCTCATTTCGCGATTGCTCCACGGATTGGGTCTGATGCATGCTCCCACGCTCCAATAGACCTCTCTTCTGCTCTTGCTTGGACTCCGACATCTCATAGCTGTTCGCCATGTGGAGGAACTCTCTGCTGAGGGGCGTCCAGGCCGCCCGCCTCGCCACGAGGCCGACGAGGCTTGCCGCCCTCCCCAGGCCCTTGACCCTGACCACGAGGCGCCTCTACGCCGCCACGACGACGACGTCCAATGCTACGGCCTCGGCCCCCGACCCCAGTGACAACTTCCTGTCCGGAAGCACTGCCAACTACATCGATGAGATGTACATGCAGTGGAAGCAGGATCCCAAGAGCGTCCACGTATCATGGCAGGTCTACTTCAAGAACATCGAGAGCGGCGACATGCCCATCTCCCAGGCCTTCCAGCCGCCCCCGAACCTGGTCCCCGGCATGACAGGGGGCGTCCCTCGTCTCGCCGGCGGCCTGACCCTTGACGACGGCTCCGACGTCACCAACCACCTCAAGGTCCAGCTGCTGGTGCGCGCATATCAAGCCCGTGGACATCACAAGGCTGACATCGACCCTCTCGGCATCCGCAACACCTCTGCCGGCTTTGGTAACATCAAGCCCAAGGAGCTGTCTCTCGAGCACTATGGCTTCACCGAAAAGGACCTCGACACCCAGTACACCCTTGGACCCGGCATCCTGCCCAGGTTCAAGCGGGAGGGCCGTGACAAGATGACCCTGCGAGAGATCATTGCCGCGTGCGAAAAGATCTACTCTGGCTCATATGGCGTTGAGTTCATCCACATCCCCGACCGCGAGAAGTGCGACTGGCTGCGCGAGCGCCTCGAGGTGCCCCAGCCCTTCAAGTACTCCATCGATGAGAAGCGCCGCGTCCTCGACCGGTTGATCTGGAGCTCCAGCTTCGAGTCGTTCCTCGCCACCAAGTATCCCAACGACAAGCGATTCGGTCTTGAGGGTTGCGAGACCCTGGTTCCCGGCATGAAGGCTCTGATTGACCGCAGCGTCGACTACGGTGTCAAGGACATTGTGATCGGCATGCCTCACCGAGGCAGGTTGAACGTGCTGAGCAACGTCGTCCGAAAGCCAAACGAGTCCATCTTCAGCGAGTTCGCAGGCTCCCTCAACGCTGGAGATGAGGGCTCCGGCGACGTCAAGTACCACTTGGGCATGAACTTCGAGCGCCCCACGCCTTCTGGCAAGCGCGTGCAGCTCTCGCTCGTCGCCAACCCCTCCCATTTGGAAGCCGAGGACCCTGTTGTGCTTGGCAAGACCCGCGCCATCCAGCACTACAACAACGACGAGAAGGACCACAAGACCGCCATGAGCGTCCTGTTGCACGGAGATGCCGCGTTCGCAGCCCAGGGCGTCGTCTACGAATGTCTTGGATTCCACTCCCTGCCGGCCTTTTCTACCGGCGGTACCGTCCACCTCGTCGTCAACAACCAGATTGGTTTCACCACTGACCCTCGATTCGCGCGATCCACGGCCTACTGCACGGATATCGCCAAGGCCATCGATGCCCCGGTGTTCCACGTCAACGCCGACGACGTCGAGGCCGTCAACTTTGTCTGCCAATTGGCCGCTGACTGGCGAGCCGAGTTCCAGCACGACGTTGTTATTGACTTGATCTGCTACCGCAAGCATGGCCACAACGAGACTGACCAGCCCTCGTTCACCCAGCCTCTCATGTACAAGCGCATCCAGGAGAAGGTGCCCCAGATTGACATTTACGTCGACAAGTTGTTGAAGGAAGGCACTTTTACCAAGGAAGACATTGAGGAGCACAAGCAGTGGGTATGGGGCATGCTTGAGGAGAGTTTCTCAAAATCCAAGGACTACCAACCCACGTCCAAGGAGTGGACGACGTCGGCCTGGAATGGCTTCAAGTCGCCCAAGGAGCTCGCCACCGAGGTCCTTCCCCACAACGACACCAGCGTCGACCGAGCTTCGCTGAACCACATTGGCGAAGTCATTGGATCGGCCCCTGAAGGCTTCCACATTCACCGAAACCTCAAGCGAATCCTCAACAACCGCACGAAATCTGTCACTGAGGGCAAGAACATTGACTTCCCTACCGCCGAGGCCCTGGCCTTTGGCTCCCTCGCCACCGAGGGCTACCATGTGAGAGTCTCCGGACAGGATGTCGAGCGTGGCACCTTCTCGCAGCGCCATGCTGTCTTCCATGACCAGGAAACCGAGGAGACATATACCCCCCTGCAGCATGTCAGCAAGGACCAAGGGAAGTTCGTCATTTCCAACTCGTCCTTGAGCGAGTTTGGTGCCCTCGGCTTCGAGTACGGCTACTCCCTGTCGTCGCCCAATGCGCTGGTCATGTGGGAGGCGCAGTTTGGTGACTTCGCCAACAACGCCCAGTGCATCATCGACCAGTTCATTGCCTCTGGCGAGGCCAAGTGGATGCAGAGAACCGGTCTGGTCATGTCCCTGCCCCACGGCTACGACGGCCAGGGTCCCGAGCACTCCTCCGGCCGCTTGGAGCGGTACTTGCAGCTTTGCAACGAGGACCCTCGCGTGTTCCCGCCCGAAGACAAGCTTCCGCGCCAGCACCAAGACTGCAACATGCAGATTGTTTACATGACCACTCCCGCCAACTTGTTCCACGTCCTCCGTCGACAGATGCACCGACAGTTCCGAAAGCGTAAGTTGCTCCCTCCCTCCCTGATGATCGGTGTTGATATGCTTGTCTCTTCTTTGTGTCTACCCTGGTAGTATCTTGTGTTGAGCTGAGCTGACATGCAATCCTTAGCCCTTGTCATCTTCTTCTCCAAGTCCCTGCTCCGTCACCCGTTGGCACGATCCAACATTGAGGAGTTCACCGGTCCCGATGCGGGATTCAAGTGGATCATCCCCGATCCCGAGCACCAGACTGGCAACATCAAGTCTCCTGAAGAGATTGACCGAGTCATCCTCTGCACTGGTCAGGTCTGGGCCAGCCTGCACAAGTACCGTGCCGACAACAAGATCGACAATGTGGCCTTTACCCGTATCGAGCAGCTGAACCCCTTCCCCTGGCAGCAGCTGAAGGAGAACCTGGACATGTACCCCAACGCGAAGACCATCGTCTGGGCACAGGAGGAGCCCCTCAACGCGGGAGCCTGGAGCTTCACGCAGCCGCGTATCGAGACGCTGCTCAACCAGACCCAGTACCACGATCGCAAGCACGTCATGTATGCCGGTCGCAACCCCAGCGCCTCCGTGGCAACCGGCTTGAAGACTATGCACATGAAGGAGGAACAGGAGCTGTTGGAGATGGCTTTTACTGTTACGCAGGACAAGCTGAAGGGCGAGTAGATGGATGGACGCGGCGGAGATTGGGGAATAGACACGGCGCCTTGACGATGGGGTTGGTACGATTGATCGGTCACACTGCATAGATTCCGTCTTGGGAGTTCATCATGGGATAGATTGCTCCGTGTCATACACTACAGCACGGTGCGCTCTGTTCCAGCAGTATAGCCCGATGGCTTCGATAGAATGATGCGATACGCTTGTTAGTTGTAATGATATGCATATTGAATACAGTCGACGTCACGTAATGCCCCTTGCATGTTTATATGACATGGCGCTATCTACACTGAACTGGTTTGCGCTGCTTACGGAGATGTAATGTCGACTTGCCACGACTGAACCACTCCGTCGTCGCCTGTGGTAACTAGCATTTCCTCCTCTCCCCTCCTTGTTGACCCTGCGTCATAGCGCTTACACCAAGTGATGTGGTTGACCTCGTACGGCCCGTGAGCGTTGGGCACCGTGGTCAGAAGCCGCCATTGTGGCCCGCCGGTTATTTGACCATCGGAAGTCTTCCGTGCAGCGTCGTCAAGGCCGTTATTCTCGGAACCACTCTGGGGATCTGCAACGCCGTCGCTATCTTCCTTGTATAACGCGATGACGCCGTCGCTGCCGGTGCTGGCTACGAGACCGGACTCGGCGCTCCATGTGGCTGAATACACGTCCTTGTCATGTACCTTGGGGAGCACGGCTGTGCATTTCCATTCTTCCTTGAACGACCGCCTCATCGTGCTCGGTATGCCGCCTAGGCCTTGCGGCATCGCTGAGCCATCGGAAACGGCACTGTCGTCGTCTTGCTGCAGTGTCCACACGCGTATCGTGCCATCGGCGGAGAAGGTCATGAGCCTGGGAAACGCATCGTTCTTCGGCCGCGGCTCCCACTCGATCCCCCACACCGTCCCCTGGTGGCCCTCCAGGACGGCCACGCAGACCCATTCGCCATCAGAGTCCTCGCGCCAGATGCGTGCCGTGTTGTCGTAGCTGGCGCTGGCGAGCACGTCGACGCTGTAGTAGCGCCGTCCGACGCTGTTGCGCCCGGGCACGTCGGGGCACCAGGCCACGGCTTTGACGTCCCCCTCGTGCTCGTTGAGGACGGCAATGGTCTCCCAGTCGTCCTCCGACTCGGCGCTGGCAATGTCTTCCCAGATCCAGATGGACTTGTCGCGCGAGCAGGTCGCGAGGTATGTGCCGGACGGAGAAAAGGCGCAGCCCTTGATTTCCGAGTCGTGGCCCTCGAGCACGAGGTTGAAGTCCCAGTCGCCGCCAGCCTTGCCCGAGTCGCCGTCGCTCGCAGTAATTCTCGTCACGTCATGGCTGAGGCCGTCGTCGTCGTCGTCGTCGCCGTCATCGCCATTGCCTCCTTCCTTGGCCCAGCGCCACACGCCGGCGGAAGAGTCAAAGCTGCCCGTGACGAGGCACAGCTCGTGCGGCGGCAAGCCGGGCTTCCAGGCGACGCTCCGGACGGACCGCGAGTGGCCGTCGGCGAGGGCGCTGTGGAAGGAGAGCGTGGAGAGGGAGAAGACGGTGACGTTCTTGCCGTGGGCGGTTGCGATGAGGGGGAGGCTGGGGTGCGGTATCGACGTCCAGGCGCGCTCGTGAAGGTCGGGCTTGAGGGGCTGCAGCGGGACGACGTTGGCAGAACAGGAGGAGGCCATGGCTGGGCCTATCAGGGCAGCAGTATCCCCTGTGCCGGCTCGCTATGGGAAAGGCAGCTTCTCGAGTGTCTGCATCCAAGTCAAATTGCGTACCCAGTAACAATAGTCCGGCCAGGAAAAGGTGGGATGAAAGTGCCCCTCACCTCTTCACCCCACTACAATCGCATGTAGTCTGCACTTGATACTGTCCGGGGTCGTCCCGAGATCGGCTCGAGCGTCTAATACTACACAAACAAGGTCAGGCGCAGCCGCTTATCGTGTTATCAATAGTACTTCCTACCTACCTAGGTAGTCTTCACATGTCTACCTAGTACATACCTTATTCAAAGCTGGACTCCCGAATCTTTCAGTTCCGTAGGTAGCCTTCATCCGACATCAAGCCTCGCGGCACAATCAGGCAATACAGGCAATACCAATCTCGCATGCGTCAAAAGTAATGTGCTTCCACAGCCGCTACATAACTATTCTAGACACTTACTAGCCTGGCTTAATCTGCTCCTTTGCAATGGGTTCATCATAATGGGGTATATGGTACACGTTAACCACCTTCAATCATGAGCAACTGCTCAGCCGGGTCCTGACGCTCGTGTGACTGACCAAGCCCCTATGTCTTAGCTCGGGGAGGAGGTAGGGGATCTGCGTGGGTACTCGCAACATTGGGCAAGTGTCTCGCTGGCGCGTCTGAATAGGTCTCCTCATAGTCGTCTTCGTATCCGTCGTTGGAGTGGGTTGAGCGGCCCCGTCCGTTAGCCAGGACGGGAGGATTGTCTGCAGGTCTTGCCGCGGCGGGCGGTTGATCTGGGACATGTTCCGACGTATGGCCGCCTTTTGCCGCTGCTTTACCAGCTTTCTTTCCCTTTCTGCTTTTCGCTTTGGCCTTCTCTAGGAGTCGCTTTCGGTCCGCTTCCTCCTGACGTTGCCGACGATCCTTGATCTCGTAGTCTCGAATTAGGGTGCGTGGGGGTTCGCCAAAGATGCGCTCGTACTCGCAGAACTCGCAAATCCAGATATCCTCGGGATTCACCAAGTTGTGGTAATAATTCTCTGTCGCAATCTGGCGTCGAGTACGCGCAGCAGCAGCGAGCTCCTTTTCTAGGCGACTGCGAGTTTTCCTGGAAGAGCTAGCAGGGACTCTACTGACTTGCTTCGACGAGTTTCCCTCACGTTGGCCCGGGCTCGCAGGGGCGCCAGCTGGTAAATGCTGCAACGCTTGGGAGGGAGCACCTTGGCCTACAGAATGGCCTGGATGATCATTAGTATGCGACAAGCCATCATGACAGGTAGAGTGTGACTTACCGGGCCACTGTATGGCTCCGGGAGTCTGCGATTCACAGGTAAACGTAAACTGGGAGGAGGTGGGTATTTCCCTGTCCGCAGCCCCGCGTTGTTGCAAAAGACTTCTGTTCTCCTGTCCCTGAAGAGGCTCTTTTCCAGCAGTAGCGATTGCGTTCGATATTATACCACCTCCGTTCTGACCTATACGTGAGTTGTGTCAGTCGAGGCCCGATTTCTGCGCAAGAAGCCATCAGAGGCACTTACCAGTAGCTTTCGAGCGGCTGGACCACGCGTTGCTTCCATCTGACAGAGCTCGCAAGGGGCTGCGTCCGTTGCTCGACCGTCCGAGCCTCCCCCTACCAGGCCCCGACAGCCCCTGACTGCCCGGTACATAAGACCCATTTCCAACCGAGTTTGGTGGGAGCAGCTGCCCTTTGTTGTTGTCCGTCTCCTTCGCCGGCGACTGGGATCTGACCGCTGTCGAGAGCGCGGTAACATCACTGCTCAAAGAAAGGCCATTACTTGCCAAGGAGTCTCCGGTGGTGGGAATTTTCCGCTTCTTTTTGTTATTCGTATTTTCAAACGACTCGTAGCCATCCACAGATGAAGCGGCGGACGGTACCAGTTGAAATTCCATCGTCTGGCGAATCGGGTCCAGAACCACCGAGGACTGTATGACCATGCCTTGAATTCTGGGCGTTGAACCTAAGACCAGCGACCCCCGCAGTTCTTCGTTTATTCCCACTGTCATAGCAGCCCCATGCCGCCGCAGCGTGGAGTGGCGCCTGGAATCGGCATGGTGATGTGGCATGGCAGATGCGGTCGATGTCGGTGGTGGTGCCCCATTATCGTCCTTTGTAGTGTATGAGGGATAGTAGAAAAGAGGAATGTGGTCGTGGATGTAGGAGGGATATTTGATCGAGTTGGCGACCTCTGGAGGTAATCTCTCTCGAAGTCGACGTTTCGGCAAGGGCCGAATAGGCCGATCGGGAAACAACAACGACACGGCATCGGGAGACATTATCAATCGTTCTTCTGCTCGAGAAATTAGCAAGCAGTCGACTGGTAGGCGGGGAGTCATGCAGTAGTGAAAAGAAAGAATATGAATGTGGGGTAAAGGCAGATATTCGAGTTGAGGGTACTCGTAGCTGCAGATAAAGATCAAAGTCGAGCAACGTGATATCATAAAGCGCAGCGCAAGGCGACTTCTCATACATGGACTGGAAACATAGATCGAAGGATAATTTGGCTGTGGGATGCATGTTTGATGAATAGGCCTGGCGGGGGGAATCGCACCTACCACATATCGTACAAAAGGGAGACGTTAGGCTTCTGCGGCAGTGTCCAGGGACTGCAGCAAGCCCACGGACGATGCAGGTTGAGCACCTGGCCTGCGTGGGAAGAGTGCGACCTGCCAGCTGCAATAATGTCGCAGATATCTCGAGCCTTTTGTGGGTTCCCGTTGAGCGCTGAGGTTTGCCTTTGATATGACAGATAACGCGGCGATGCGTTGCGAAAGACGGAAGAATCGATGGTAGGCCGATAGGCTGTCGCGCAGAGACGAGGCCGTGTGGGAGTTGTTTCAGCAAAGTAACGATGGTGGCGTGGGAGTCTCTGCCAGTCTCTGATCCGCGACTGTGCTGTGGTTACGGAACAGTGCGGTGCTTCCGAATGTTGTGTTGATGTAGCGAGTCTGCTACCACGGGCGCATAGCACGAAAGGAGCGGGAGGAGGTCGAGCAAGTGGGCGCTTCGAGAACTGAATGATTGGGTTTCCGACAGGGTAAACATGAACGAGACTCCAAAACGTTCCGGTCCGGGAAAAGAAACAGGTCGTCAGTCAATAAGGCCGCCAAGTTTGAACAAACCTGAGTCGTAATTAATAAGTCGTGGTGGATTGACTTGTGTGATTAGGAGAGTAGGGACCTAAGATAACACTAGGTCAGCACGGGTGGGAGGATTATCGTGGTTTATATAATTAGTCAGCATTTATTAATAGTTAGTATCTATAGTAAGAAAGTGCACTAACTAAAGTAATTAAATTAATTTAGTTTTAAATATATTTATAATTACTTTATAAAAAATATATATAATTTTATTTAATTAAAGTTTATTAATATTATAATAGTTATATTAACTATTTATAGATTTTTTAAAGTGCTATCTATCTATTTATATATATATATATATATTAATTATCTTTCTTCTTTCTATTAAATTTACAGCTTGCTTTTAGTTTTGCATATTGCTTTTCATATCAGCATTAGTTCGTTACGTCGTCACTGATCCCCAGCGCCACCTGCTGCATGCTGCAAAATAGCTTGTGCTTTCCCTCCTGCACGTCAGCTACTATTAGTTATTACCTAGGCTTCAGTCAACCATGCACCCCATTTAAATCTGACGCGAAATTCAGCGAGTCTTCGATCCCGCATCAGCCTCCGGCTACGATAAATCAACCAACGACGCATCTGGGTCGCAATGGACAGCCCAAGGGGCCACACTCTCTTCAAGAAGAAAGAGGGCATCTTATCGTTCACCAGCGATCGCAAAGCGATAACATGGACGCCGGCTTCGGGAGGCCCTGCGACTGTTTCGCTGCCTGTTACCAGCATCACCAGTATGTAACTCTTCTTGACACTTTCCAGCCCGTGAGTGCTACCACTGATGTCATTAGATCTTCAGCAGACCCCCGACAGCTCTCCCAAGGTCATGTTGAAGATATTCGAAAAGACTGAAAGCGCAGCCGACCCCGTCACATACCTGTTCCATTTCAATACCCCAGATGCCAAGGCAGAAGCTCAAGCTGTCAAAGACCTGCTGTCTCGTCTCTTAGCCGATCTTCGGAATGGCGAGGCAAACGTATTCAAGCTCGCAACGCCGACGGCAACACCAGCCGCAAATGGAGAGACAACGGGAGGCTCAACTTTGCTGGCATCGTCGAGCGGCGTCAACACGCAGCCCACAGCTCCCACCTGGTTTGACGACAATCAATTGAGGACGAACATCGAGCTACACCAGTCCCTCATGAGGAAAGATAGGAGCTTGCACCAGACTTATATGAGCGCTATGGAAACCAAACCAGAATCAATGACTGGGGCTGCCTTTAATGCCCAATTCTGGTCCACGAGGATAAACCTCCTCCGAGCTCATGCTATCGAAATAAGTCAGAAAAAGGGCGCATACAACGTCCTCTCGACCGTCAAACCTCGAACTGTTGACGGAGAGTTGAAATTGAATATAAGCGTCGAGCAGGTTCAGATGATCTTTTCTCAACACCCATTGATCAAGCGAATCTACAATGAGAATGTCCCACGGTTGTCTGAGGCGGAATTCTGGTCGCGATTCTTCCTCAGCAGACTAGCAAAGAAGCTCAAGGGAGAGCGCGTCACCGACAACGATCCTGCAGATGCCATCTTCGACAAATACGATGTCGACAGTAACTTGCAAGACGCTCAATCCAAAATCACGGCCTTAACAGTCCCTCACATTATTGACATAGAGGGCAATGAAGAGAATCAAGGAGGGTTCAAAGGCGGCAACGCCAAGGATGTCGAGATGCGACCCCGGTCTAACATTCCCATTGTTAGGACGCTTAACAGCCTAAGCGAAAAGATCATGGCGAACGTTCCTCCCTCAGATATCACTGCATATGATGCAGACGGGCTTTATAATGCATCCAAAGAGCTTACTCTGCGCGACTTACGGGGGGACGAGGAGGAGCGGCGTATCATGCTCAATATCAAAGAAAGGAACAACTTCTTCACGTCTAAAGACTCACCAGCGTCAAGGGACAGGGGCATGCTTGCGAGTCAACGGCCTGAAGATGTACTCGCCAAAATGCAGAATTTCAACACGACGAGGCCTGACAAGACAGGAGACATCGGGCTGCAGATTGACATAGATTTCGACATCGATAGCGACAGTGACAATGAGTCGAAGACCGGGGCGAACACCACTCGCGATGCCATCAAAGAGGCAGAGAAAGACGTCATGAATGGCATACATCAGCAACGCTCTCAGAAGTATGGACGTGCCTCGGATGATACTTCTCCAATGGGACTACCTCCCCAAATCTTTGAGAAGTGTGTTTTGACCCATGCCACAACGATCGAATTTCTTCATCAGTTCTGGGATGGCTTCCTGTCCGGAGATCCGGATCGTGCCACAGAGGTTCAATACTTGGCCGAATCGCTGGCGAGGTCCATGATGCGCATTCAGGCTGTAGCCGACGAGGCCGAGGTTGAACGAGAGAGCATCATTCAAAAACGCAAGCAGGAGATCCGTAGTCATTTTGAACGCACGGGAAAGAAGATTCGATGGAGGCCAGACATGGTTGGGGGTGGCCGCGATGCCGTCGTTAAGATGATGCAGCCGACAATGGATGCCTTACGACGAGCACAGGATTTCTATTCCAGGGCATTGGGTGAAGAGAATGTCCAAATCTCAACAGAAGGCACATAGAGATCTTCGACCTCCTCTTCTTCCCTCTCCTCCCATTTACCGAGGGACTTGCGAGCCAGTCGAAACTTTGAGGGATTGGCAATATGTCAGAGGCCGAGGTCCGCAGCGCCAGTTACTCTTCGATGCAGCTGTAAAGGCTGGCAGTCCTGCTACCAGCTACCTCACCTACTTTGACATCTCGCCATTACTTACTACTCCGACACTCATACCAAGTCCGGCTGAGTAGTTAAACTGGGCTATACGCACATCACTTTCGATAATAGGACTACATGCAGTCGAGCTCTTGACACTGCCCACGTCTCGAAATCCTCAGGCATTCTGCAGAAGTCTGGTGGTATGTTATTTCTCCGTATCATCGTTTGTCATCCCGTTGCTGCCCTCCAGGGAGCTGTCGTTTATTTGATATGGTGTTTGTCTTCAACTAAACCAAAGCCCATGCTCGACTTAGTGGCGCTTCTTTTCCTGTTACCGTACTCCTCGTCGAATTTGCGGATTAGCTTCAGAGATGGCATGTCCTCGCTGATGCTCGCAGGGATGCTCTTCAAAGCTTTCTCAAAGTGAGACTTGCGGAGGATTCGTCGCTCGGGATACTGGAAAGGGTGTGGACCATCGTGTTTCGCCGCAGCCTCGTTTTCTTCTTCAACAGCAGCCATTGCTGCTGCGACACACATGTTCTTGAGGTCTGAGCCTGAGTAATACGGCGTTCGCTGTGCGTACTCATCCAGCGACACGGACTCGTCCAAAGTCTCGCCTTTGAGCAGCAATTTGAGGATTGCCAAGCGATCTTTCTCGAGAGGAAGGTCGACGTGGATTTTTCGGGGTAACCGCCGCAAGACGGCATCGTCCAAGTCAAAGGGTCGATTGGTGGCAACCATTATGAAAGCGTTGGTCTCTTCCATCCCATCCCATTCCTTGAGGAACTGGTTGATATGTTCACGATGAGACGCCCGATTGGTAAACATACTCCGACTGGCCAATAATGAATCCGCCTCATCAATGAACACCACACACGGCGTCAATTTCTTAGCCAGGGTGAAGACAGCGCGAATGAGTTTCTCACTTTCACCGACCCATTTGTCATTGATTGACGCGCCGCTGATTTCAAGCATATTCGCGCCGCTCTCCTTAGCAACCGCCTTGGCCAACATGGTTTTACCTGTTCCCGGGGGGCCATACAGCAGACAGCCATTGATTTTGTCTTGTGCCAATACGCCGTAGGAAAATGCGTCCGGTCGCAAGAGGGAGAGTGAAGTCAGAAGCCTCAGGGCAGATATTGTCTCAGGCGGGGCATGAACGTCTGCAAACGTAATCCGAAGGTTTTCTCGGTTGACCTGACCGGAAGCAATTCGCTTCTCGTATTCGTTCAACTTTGGGGTAGCACGCGCCTCCAATGTATGGGGGTCCTCCCCAGCTGTGGAGATCCCACTGAGAGCATCTCCCTCACCGCGGTCTTCGCCGAAGAGATTATGGCCCTGCCATTGTTGGAGAGGTCCAAGGGTGATGCGCTCTTCTAAAACGGCCGGGATATTATTGATAGCAGCTTCGCCTTCTTGCGACTTGAAAGCACACGCCAAGTGGTAGATTTCTGGTGCTGGAAGAATAGAGTTCTGCAAGATGGAAAGCTCCAGATCAGATGAACGCAGATAGCTCAAGATGGAATCCAGTGACATGCCAGGCATTTGCGGCGTCTCTTGATCCAAAGCTCTCAGCATGCGAGTGATGTTGCTGACATTTTCAACAAGATAGTCTGCCTTTTGCAGATGGAAATTCGCATGAGTTGGAGCGTGTCCCTTCAGTGCGGTGTATCGTTCAACGTAGTCGGGCTGAACATGGCGGGTGACGACAAAGTCGTTGACGGCAAATTCCCTGATCGCATTCTGGTACTCTTCTGACTGTTGCTCACACGATGAGGTCCCCAGTATAGCAATAGGTAAGCCTTGTTGCCAGGCAACGTCAGTGAGGGCTCGGAGACGATTGATCAGCAGAGACCCTTCTATTGTCATGCTCAGCTCAATGATGTCATGAAGATGGATCAGGACTGGTCGCGTGTGTGATTCGGAGGATTCGGAATTGGTGGACCTAATGATCTGTTCCAGCATCTTATCGATCTTGAGGTTTTCCCACTTGCTGAAGCTTTCATACTCTCCTTGGCGTAATTTCTGGAGCTCTTCCACGACAGTCGACGGACTCGTATTACTCGCAGAGATTCCGACATCCGTATCGATCTCGTCATCATCCTGGCCCTCGAGGGGCCTCTCATCACGACCGCCCGCTGTCTTGCCATTAAGCTCGGCTGCTCTGAAACCCAACATCGCGAGAGGACCACGCGAGTAAGCCCAGTTCTGACCCAGGTATCCTCCCACGACCTCTGAAACATCGTACGCATCCAAGTAGATTAGGTCTGCGCCCATGGAGTGTGCAAAATGCTGTCCAATCGCTTCCGTAATAGACCTCCCACCGAAACCCGACAATGCAAGAATCGTTATTGGCCTTTTGCTCGTTTTATGATCGAACGTTGGTGGAGGAGACGCGAACAGCTCGCGATTGATTGACTTTCGCAGAGCAATAAATGTTTCAACGGGAAGGTCGGCGATGATATGGGCCAAGGGATAGTCGTATTGTTCAGCAAAGCTGAGCTGATCACTCAAAGGGGCCACCAGGGATGGGAACTGGTCATGATGGCCAGGGAGACCAATGTTGAGGATTCTGGGAACCTGTGACCACCAAAAGGGCCGCACTTTGTAGAAGTGTTCAGATTGCCGGATGGGATGTATTGCATTGATCATATGCGTGGCCGAGTCAAGCGCCATATCCCAAACCCGCACCGCTCGCGCTACCGTCTCTGGAGAACTCCATCTTCGATCGTCCTTGTTCAAACGAGAGTTTTCCAGGTCAAGGGCGAGGTCGCGACCTCGGGCTAAGAGACGTCTCAACGCCGCCTCGAAATAGAGTCTTAGTCGCGGGGACGGGCCTTGGTCGAGAGATAGTGGAGATAGCTTTGGATGTCTTGCGTCTTCCGCCAGCGCAATGGGTAGGCGCGGTTGCTCCTGAGAGGCGTGAAGGGTTACGTTATTACGGAGGAAGCTTGGAGGCAGTTCGACAGGCGGCAGAGCAGAGGCTTGCCTCCTCCGTTGATAGCGGGTTCTTATCGAGGCCGTCGCGTGCCCTCTCCAGCGCCCACCGGATGTTTCCGTGCCTGGTTGGTTCTCGACCTCGTCATTGTGATCTGTCGTGTCCTCGGCCGGTTTGGCGCCGTTTCCTCCGCTCCGGTTGTTGAGGTGGATAGCAGATGTATGTATGGCGCGCGGAATGCGAGACGATAGCCTCACGGTCAATGCAACCATCGGCAGGACTCCCGCAGTCTGCATCCCCATCCGAACGAGCGCGGAGTAGCAGGCGAAGGATGCCGTGCAAATCTCACCATGAAGCTGGGGATAACTGAATATAGAGAGATGTTTTTTTCGTCTAGTACCTAGGTACTTGGATGTTATATGTGCATTCGGGACATGGGCCGGTACCTACATGTATAGTAGGCAATTTGTGAGAGAGACGGGAAATTCGATACCTATATCACACAGTCCCCGGAAGAAGGAAATCTCTTAGTCCAACATGTTGCTCGTGATAGCGCTCAGCGTACGCTGATAGGTATTGTAAGATACTAATGTGGATATAGGCATTTTCATAGTGCCGGTTGGTAAGGCAGTGGGGCAGAAGTTGAGATCAGAGAGATACTACCACTAGTACTAGGTAGTAGAGGTAGTACATAAGGTAAGTACCTAGGTACCTTGGCTGCTGTGAGGGGGGGGGGGGGATGGTGGCACTGTGCATGGAGTAGTACCTGAGTGAGTGTGTACTACTAGGTACCTGTCACGTCGAGCCTTGTCCAAGTCACTGATGCACTTTAAAGTTGGTGGAGCGCGTTTCCATTAACGCGTCAAGATCGAACAACCTCTCTAACTAGTACTTCCTTATTATACCCATGATCATGGATGCAGACAATGTCTGACTGGAGGGAGCGTGGAGAAGTTCCGGATTCCCAAGAAGAGAGCGACGATGGCTACAGCGATCACGAACCACAATTACCAGTCAGAGCCGCTATCCCCAAAGCCCAGGGCGCAGAGGATATCTGGGCTTTCCCTGGATCAGACGATGAAGAGCAACGCAACATCCCCTTCGCTACGGCCATCCCGCCATTCTCGACGAGACCGACTCTGCGGGAAAGGTCTGGATCGGTGACGGCCTCTCTAGCTCTTGTGGAGAACAACTTCGAGAGCCAGGTACAGCTATCCCCTCCGAAACTCCCGGCGACGATATCCTCTTCATCTTCACCTGACGAAGTAGCCTTTCGCAACAACAACCAGGACACGACGGATGCTCCTCGCTTTTCAGATGAAAACGCCATATCTACGAGTGGCAATGATGTTGCCGGCTTCCTCTCGACACTTGCGGCCACTGACGAACAGCCAACGACAACCGAGAGCAACGAGGCTCACCACCATGCTGCCACGTTGGAGACTGCAGATGCGGCGTCTCGTCATGGACGAAGATTGCGGCCTCGAAACTTGATTCAAGAGAAACCATACTTCTACGATCGCGTGAACTACAGCAATACCTTTCGGAAGCACGGGCTTATCCCGGTCAACGTGATCACCGAACCAGAGAGGCGCCACACTCCAGAAGCTTCGTCGGATGCAGCTTCATGGGATGGAGATGATGATCAGGAGAGCCAGGATATCGATATACCTCCAGGATCCGACAAGACAGAAACTGGCGACTTCGCGGCACCCCCCAGAGAGCATGATATGCCAGATGCTGACCAGCCTTGTTTACGCATACCCCAGTCACCTGCTCGAGCCCTCAGCACCAGTTTACCTAGCTCCCCAACAACTGCAGCCGATGATGATCCAGACTTGCCAGACTTGGATCAGCTCCTGGGTCGGCCACCTACTACCAGAACGATCAATTTTCCGCGGGACGTCTTCCAGGTTCAGACTTCGACCCAGAGATTCCGGAGGCGAGATATCATCTACAGTGATACGCCGGAACCTGATACTGTCGCTGGCCGAAAGCCAAAGAGTCTCAGCCAATTGTATGATTGGTCAGATTCAGATATTGAACGAAGTAATTCCAATGAAAATAGCAAGCGGCAGGGGAATTCACCTAAAACGCCTCAAAGACCTTCAAGTTCTGGCTCCGTGGTCTCAATATCCTCCCGAGGAATCGAAACTCAAGATGAGCACAGTCGACAGGAAAGTCAAGATGGGTCTGAGAGCAGAAGCGAAGCCGACAGCGATACACACCAAGTGGTGACTCAATTTAGGCGCCGTATCCGAGGCGTCCTACCCGCTTCTTGGCTTCGACTCGATCAACAAACCAGTATAGTCCGCTCTGGCCGGAGTCCCAAGAGAAGGCCCCGGCCCCAAGCTGCTCACCAGCAAAAACGCGGGATCGCTCTTACCAAACCAGTAACTCATGAGGTTCTTTCCTCGACTACGATTCCACCGAGCCTAGGTGAAGACAGCCCCGTCCAGCGTACGGCTGACCTCATGCCTGATCATCAGATGCCGTCACAGAAGTCAGAGAGAGAAGATGAGAGACTGAGCGAGGGTTCAGTCGTGGAAGAGGACTATGTCAGTCCGGCGGTCGTTGGTAGCAAGCGTCAGCTTCGGCTTCCGAAGGCATCAAGGAGGAACAGGAAACGAGCTAAGATGTCCACTGGATCCCGGAACCGGTTTGTGCAGGGCCATTTGAAGCAGCAGGCAATCACAGGCTTTCTCCATTCTCAGTCTCCTGAGGTAGCCAGGTCACTAGCAGCCGACTACCTGTCTGATGACTCTCAGCAAATGTCGAGGAAGCCCCGTCAGAACGCGCCAAGCAGGCCAAAACGACGTTCTCGATTTCCTGTCTTGCTAAGTATTCTCGACACAATAGAGCCAGATGCCCCCAGATTCATGCGCATTGCTGCACGCTCCGCAAGACAAACCCTCAACCAGGGGCGCAGTAGCGTGCACCAAAAGAGTATCAAACTTGCTGCTCGGCAAGACCAAGTAGATGTCTTGTCTGTTATGGAGAGATGGAGGTCGGGGCTCATTAAACAGCGACCTGCTGTGACGGCAGCTCGCCAGTCAAATCATGAACGGCACCAAATCGCAAAGGCGAACAAGAAGTTTTCACGTGAAGGGCTTTCCTCCAGCTCTTTGTTCAGTACGTTCAGAGGCGCTTCCCGCAAACTCGTCAAGTGCCACGGCGAGAGTGGTTTTGTCAGCTACCGTCGAAGAAGTCCAGACACACGTGGTCATGCGAATTCGGCGTCCAACGTGGGTGTGGATAGCTCTTTACCTTCGCTTGCGATGAGAACGGCTCAGTTGGAGGTGGGTGAGAAAGCAGGAGAATCCATGATTTCCTTTCGCTCAAGAAAGGGGACGCTTGACCGTATTTTCAACAAGCAAAGACAGGAGAAACTCGCATTATGCTTGGCTGAGAATAGCAACAATACCGGCGGTGGCCACAGTATTACGGAAGCCAACGCCACGAGGCACACGCCCTCGCGTATCTCTCGAGGCCAGGGGCACAAACAGAGGCCGCCGAAACTTCGAAAGAGCATAAAGCCTTCTCGGCTCGATGTCACAGCACCTCAATATACACATGCTGACGATCCTCTTCCGGTGGGCTCGTCGGCAGTTGCCGCTGATGCTCTATTAGAAAAGAACCGGCTCTGCGGTCTGGGTCCGTATGGTACCCAATATACTCGTCATTTTGAGGTGTTTCCACTTGCCCCTGGCCTCCGGCTCCATACATCGACGCTGCTTGGCAGTGGCGTCTTTGAGGCTCTTGTCGAAGATATACAGATCGGAAAGCCTCAACTGAGCTCACCAATCGCGGTCAGATTAGGCGACCATCTTTTCAATTTAGGTTCGTGGACCCCTAGTGTGTCTTCTGAGATTGGGCTCTTCTTCGATACACTGGTTGGGTTCATCTTCGATATACTGGCCGGGCGACTCGAAGAGAGCCACGGGGAGGAGGCCATCCGGGTTACCATCAGTGCCACTCATTGCGTCTTTGAATACGTGCAAAAGGTCCTCAGGTCGGCGGAACCTGAATCTCTAACGCCCCCTTTTTTACCGCGGCTTCAAGAGGTATTGGGCGGCTTCATCCGTCGACTCGACAAGGGTCTCGCGCAGTTCTCGCTTTTTCACGCCGCTCATCGTCAACTTATCCTCAACATATTGGATAGGGTGTTGCTCATGTCCTTCTCAATGACGCGTCACTGTCAACGCATGTCACAACTCCTGGATGAGCAGTCTGAACAACAAACCTTCATGTTGTTACCGGCAGGGTTGATGATATCGGTGCTTCTACGCTGTGGTCTCAATGCAATTAAGCAGGTTTACAAAGACGCCAGTCGTTTGTACCGTCGTGACCGCTATCTGGAGCAAGCCGCTGTTGAAGTACACTCTTGGGCCATGTTGATCAAGACGTTCGAACACGCAAACTCACGGCAACTTACTTTTTGGGGTGCATTAGAAGCAGCCATCTTGACGCCCGAGCTCCTCTCTGGCACAGACGCTCCTGAATTTGAACGCGTTTGGGAGACGATGTTTACTCTACTGCCGCTCTTTGCCTTTGACAACTGTGGGAAGATTGTGACCAAAAATCGACATGTTACACAGAATGAAGGATGGGCAATCCCTCAGAAGCTTCTTCGGCGAGTTTTCCAACTCTACCAGGATAACGAGCAGCAAACCGCGAGCTTCAACAACTACTGTCGGGCTCTCATCTCGCGATGCCATTACTTGGTCTGCCAATGGGGCTGGCTTCGTAGCACGTCCGTCGTCGGTGTTATCTTTGACTTCTTCGGATCCCGGAGCTTGGCACATCTCCGAAACGAAGAAGTCTACCAGTCACCTCGGTTTTTAGAGAAACTAGGTGAAGAGCCGGTTCTCGAGGTTGAAGCGGATGACTTCTGCTTTCACATATTCCTCAAGCTCCTTGCCATAAGCATCAAGAACCTGCAGCGGTTCGGCTCTCACAAGGACATCCGCAATCTGGTAGCACGAACCATACCGAATCACAATCGCCTCTACCTTAGAGAACATACCGTTCATGAGCGGGATTTGGCTGCTCTGAGGAACCATCATGATCTCATCGGTACGCTGTTCTGGGCGGCACCACCTGAAATACGGCCCTCGGTAGCCATCATCGAGAAACTAGTTGATGCCGCTAGCTCTCATAAAGAGGCATGCATGATCAATATAAGAGCATGGGCTCAACTTGCGCGCTTCGTCGTCTCGTCCGGCGAGGCGAAGTCATCCTTCAAACCCTTCGACGAATGGAGGGACACCGTCTTTCAGCAGATGCTTGTGCAATTTAGCAATATTGCCTCAGACGTCCACCTGCAACAGGTAAATCTCTCCGAAGACAAGAGTAAGTGGATCACGCAGAGTATTGTCGATTCCACGATCAAGAAGAACAAGACAGCAGTGATGGACGTTATTCATCTGTCACTCACAGCCTCGTTGGATGTTATGAGACGTGCTTCAGACTTGGAGGCGGCAACACATTGTTTGAGTCTTCGTCAGCTGAAGCAGGTCTTCGCTTACTTCAGAGTGTCACCCTTCGAACTAGATTGGTCAATATTGCGCACAGCGCTGGCCATTCTGGACACCTTTGTATCGCGAATCGAGGAGTTCAAGGCGAGCCAGCACAACCAGCAAAGTGAGAGCCAGCTCCTAGAATCGGCGCAAGCGGACGAGGCTTTCTGCACCCTAGGGCAAGAGATACCTCACAGTTATTTCTCAATGGCCCGATGCCTCTTGTCATTGCCGGCAGAGGTGTCTGGCTTTCGAGGGTCGGCTACGGCTGACAAGGCTTGGTGTGTCAGACAGGTCACCATATTATCCGCAAGGATGGGCATAGGCTTTATTAATGGTAGCCTGATGGTCAATGGTGGCCTATTCAAGCTATCGGACATGTTCAAGAGTGGCAATTACTGTTTGTTTAGTGACCAACTGCAAGCAATGGATCCTTCGCACAGACAACATCTCATGCTGTTCATATCGACGTTGCTAAGGCATGAATTCGACGACTTTTCCGACGTTGATTTCGACATCTGCGAAATGTGGATTCTGGCATTGGTCATGCCCATCGAATACTGGAGGATTGAGAACCTGGTCGGTATCCAGCGGCATTGCTATGCCAACGGGTTTATCCCTGATGGCATGGTCAACTTACCGACCCAGCCAAGCTACAAAACCAATCAGCTCCTGTTCGAGTTTGCGATTTCGTCTATGCGCAAACGGCTTCGTCGTGCGGACCCTCAAGCTCGACGAGTTCTTTCTGCTGAATACTCAAGAACCCTCAAGCTCGTGATGAGGCAGATGCGAAATGACCTGAGTGTGACGTATGAGGGCGATACTTCACAGCATCAGCAGTACGTCGAGTTCGTCCAGGGCATTATATCATCAATAAAGGCACACGGATCCGATATGTGCACGATAGACAGCTTCTTTCTTCAGAGCAGCAGAGAATATTACCACCCGCCCATCCAAGACCCCCAGCTTCAGATTGCAGGTATGCTTTCGTACGGCATTCGCATAGAGGAGGGCGATCCTAGGGCCGCTCACGAACTGTTCTACCTCTTGTTCAATAACTTCAAACATGCCCTGAGAAAGGGAAACCTGGTACATGATGTTCGTATGCTTTGGGAAGGCATGAAGCATAAGAGCATACTGGCCTTTACACTGGGAAAGATGTTACCAGCCATACTCAGGGTGTCCTGTCTGGATAGTTCATCCTATCTCCTTCTAGACGTGTATACGGAGGCTTTATGTCGGCTACTGAGCGGGGCAATCTTACCTCGACAGCTTGACAAAGACGATCTTCCTTATGTGCTTGTCACCATACGGGCCATTGTGGAGGGGATGAGGACCATGTATCTCCGTGGCGAGGTTCTGACTGGTTCTCGGCTTCACATTCTGAGACAGGCTCTGGTCGTCTTAAACGCTCTATGGCCATCGCTGCTGGTTGTGAATGCTGAACGGCCCGGAGACTTATGCCTCGTTGACATCGCCAGTGCAATGCGCCAAATTGCTTCCTTCGCAATAGCGGCGCAAGATTATCTCCGCGACTTCACTGAGATAGAAAGCGACGACTTGCCAGACCCAGATCTGCTGTTTCAAGGCCTTGGAGTGGGACAGCTCCTGATCTTTAACGAGCACGTCACAAGCTTCACGACCAACATGAAGGATGACATTGCCAAGACGTGGATCTTCAGCCCTGAGAGGATCTCTGTACGAATGCCCACTACGGCAAAAGGATTTATACAAGATGGCCATGGTGTGAAACCTATAAACTGGGTGGTAAAGGACATCGTGTGTGATATATATAATCAGATCCAGCACTGGTACTGGCAGTGGAGTGAGTTTATATAAGACATAAATAAACTATAATATAATTTCACTTAAGTAGTACTAGGCAGGCAGTACTACTTTACTAAAAGAGTAGTATTTTTACTATACTAAGCTTAAATAAAAAAGGTACTTAAAATTATAAAATAAAGTATTATAAAATAAAGTATTATATAAATTTATATATTTTATTACTTTAAATAGCTTATAGCTATTTACTAATACCTTTATTAAGTCCTTTATATAAAAAAAACTTTTTAAAAAAAACTTATATATTATATATTTATAAGCCTAGCTTATTATATTTTTATTTATTAATAAAAGTATTTAAATAATATAAAAAGTTTTTTAAAATACTTTTATAAATAAGCTTAATTTATTATTTTAAAATAAGCTAAAATAATATAAAAGCTATATAAATATATATATTTTTTTAAAAAAAATAAAGTTTAAGTTTTAATAATATTATTATTAATAACTAAGTAATTATAAATTAAATTATTAAATTATAAAAGAATTTAAGTAATAATTTAAATAAAAGTATAATAGCTATACTTAATAATTTACTTTAACTATTTAAATATTAAACTTAAGGCTTATTAATTACTTTTATTTATTAGTTTATATAGCTTTATTAAGTATATTTAATTTTTATTTTTTAAATTTTTTTTATAAATTAATATTAAAATTATAATATATAGTTTTAAAAAAAAAATATAGTTTTTAAAAAAAGTTTAATATAAAGTTAAATTAAATATATATAAAGTTAAAATAACCTTAATATAAAATACTTATAACTTTATAATATTATTATAATTATAAAAAAATAAACTATTTTTTTATTTTAAAAAGGTTTTTAAAAATAAATATAATTATTTATAAATACTTATTTTTAAAAGTAATTATATATTAAGATTATAGTATATAGTCTTTATAAAAAAGCATAGTCTTTAAAAGGAGTTTAATATAAAGTTAAATTAAATATATATAAGGTTATAATAACCTTAATATAAAGTACTTATAACTTTATAATATTATTATAGCTATAAAAAAAGTAAACTATTTTTTTATTTTAAAAAAGTTTAAAAATAAATATAATTACTTATAAATACTTACTTTTAAAAGTAATTATATAATTAACTCTTAAACTATTTAATAGTAATTAATAATTATATATTAACTTTTTATAACTTTAGTTATTCTTTTTTTTTTTTTACTTTTTTATATTATATACTAGCTTTAATAAGTTTATTTTTATTAAAGGATAAGGAATTATTAAAAAGAAGGATAGTAAATATATAAAATAATAATTATAATAAGTTATAAACTTTATAATTTTATAATAATAACCTTTTAATAGTAAATAAGAAAGGGATAAGCTTTTAATAAAGTAAGTAAAACTTAATAATAAAAGTAATAATATAAAATTAAGCTTTATTAAAAATAGTATAAAGTTTACTTATAAATACTATAACTTAAAAAATATATATAGTTTTATTAAACCTTATATTTTTAAAAATATTTATAAAAAAGTTATAAAGCTAAGTAAAAGAATTAAAAAAAGTATAAAAAAAGTAATAATTTATTAAATTTATAAAAAAATTAATATAAAAAAAAGACTTAAAATTAAATATATTTATACTAAAAGAAGATAATAAAAAATAACTTATAAAAAAGTAAGTAAATACTACTACTTTTATAAAAATTACCTTAATATAACCTACTTTTTTAAATAAAAGCTAGGTTAAATATTAAATATACCTTTAAGCCTTAAATAATTAATTTAATATAATACTATTAATATTAAAAAAGAATAAAATATAACTTATAATATTATACCTTTATAATAAGCTAATAATAAAATAAATAGATTTTTATATACTTAAATATAATAATTATAATAAAATTCCTTAAAAAAATATTTTAAATATTATATAAGTTATTTACTAAATAAGAAAACTTAAATAATAAAAGTAGCTTTTAAACTTACTAATTTATAATAATATAATAATAAAAAGTTTATAATATTTTTTTATTATTATAAGGTTATTATAATAAAAGTAGCTACTTTTATACT